TGTTTTTCCAAGGGCGTGTAATGCCAAGACCAATAGGGAGGGACCTCGCAAACATACCAAGAGTAGTGTGGATATTAGAGAACTTAAGGAGCGCATATCAGCTCTACTGCAGTTTCCAGGTATGTCATGTGGTGTGGAAAATCCAATGCGAGATGAATTCCAAATTACTGTTAAGAGATCAAGTGGATCTGTGTATAGCAAGATGGATCAACCAGAAGCTACACCAGGGTGTGAAGACTGTAGAAGAGCAAAAAGACCAAAAATGAAAGATGAAAAGAGCTCTTTCTATCAAGGGAATTCACCAATTGCATCAGATGAAGAAGATAACTGGTGGATCAAGAAAGGATCGAAAACTCTGGAGTCTTCTCTGAAGGTTGATCCTCAGATAGAGATAACTAAACAAGTACCACGGGGTAGGCAGAAGATGGCGCGTAAGACACAGTCGCTGGCTCAACTACAAGCTGCTAGAATTGAAGGTAGCCAGGGCGCTTCAACGAGTCATGTTTGTGATAATAAAGTAAGCTGTCCTCATCATGGCCCTGGAGTGGAAGGAGAAAATCATAAGGTGGTTGATGTGTTTAGAACTTCCACCCCTGTGGATATTGTATCTGTTGGAAACTCTTTGAAGCAGCTACAGTTTGTTGATAAGCGGTCTATTGCAGTTTGGCTTACTACTGTGGTTCGGCAACTTGTTGAAGTGCCCCAAAAGAGCAGTGTGAGAGTTGGGCAGGTCAATAGAGGTGCTCCAGTTGAGGAGAAGAGCACAATTAGGTGGAAGCTTGGGGCAGACGAGCTATCTTCCATATTATTTCTCTTGGATATCTCTCTTGACTTGGTTTCAGCGGTTAAATTTCTTTTTTGGTTATTGCCAAAGGCCAACAGTACCCCACGTTTTGCCGTACAGGGTGGGAGAAACCTTGTAATTGTGCCAAGGAATGTTGAAAACAACATGTGTGAAATAGGGGAGGCGATTCTAGTATCATCACTGAGGAGGTGGGCTTTACTTCCTTCAATAAGTAAACACTATTCATATATATTTTGACAATGTATTTCTAGAAATTTAATCGGTTTGTATCATCATTTCTTTCAGGTATGAAAACGTTCTACTTTCAGCTGATCTTGTTCCTGAGGCCATGACATCTTTGATGAACCGTGCTGCATCACTTATGTCTAGTAATGGAAAATTTTCTGGATCAGCAGCCTTAGTTTATGCTCGCTATATTTTGAAAAGATATGGAAGTCTCCCCAGTGTTGTGGAATGGCATAACAATTTCAAAGTAACATGCGAAAAGAGGCTACTTTCTGAACTAGATCATACACGATCAGGAAATGGTGAGTATGGGAACCCCCTTGGGGTTCCAGCAGGTGTAGATAATCCAGATGACTATTTACGTAAAAAAATCAGCATTGGCGGTGCACGTCCTTCAAGAGTGGGTTTGAATATGCGAGAGGTTTTGCAACGACATGTTGAAGAGGCGACTCATTATCTCAGAAAACTCATTGGGACTGGTACTATGAAAGCCTCACTCGCTGAGAAAAATGATGACGGGTATCAAGTGGCTCAACAAATTGTAGTTGGACTAATGGACTGCATCAGACAGACTGGCGGTGCAGCTCAAGAGGGTGATCCCTCTTTGGTTTCTTCTGCGGTTTCTGCGATTATAAACAGTGTAGGCCTTTCAATGGCAAGGATTTCAGATTTCTCTTTGGGAAACATTTATCAGAATCATCCTTCTGGCGTCGATTCATCTAATATTGCACGATACATTTTACGAATCCATATAACCTGCCTGTGTCTTCTTAAGGAAGCTCTTGGAGAGCGTCAAAACCGAGTGTTTGAAATAGCACTTGCAACAGAAAGTTCCACTGCGCTTGCTGGAGCTTTTGCTCCTGGGAAGGGATCACGAGGTCAGCATCAGCTATCTCCTGAATCCTATGATTCAAATGCAAACAATTCAACAAATGATATGTCGAATGGTACTGGAAAAATGGCGCTGAGCAGAGCGACAAAAATTACTGCAGCTGTATCTGCACTTGTTATAGGTTCTATCACACATGGTGTTATAACCCTTGAGAGGATTGTTGGTCTACTGAGACTAAAGGAGTACTTAGATTTCGTTCAGTTTGTAAGGCGTACAAAATCGAGTTCTAATGGCAGTGCTAGGTCCATGGGAGCCTCGAAAGTGGAAAGCCCTATTGAAGTGTATGTACATTGGTTTAGACTCCTTGTTGGTAACTGTAAAACTGTTTCGGAAGGGCTGGTTTTGGAGCTTGTGGGAGAATCTTCCGTGGTGGCTATATCACGCATGCAGCGTATGCTTCCGCTGAAATTGGTCTTCCCACCAGCCTATTCAATTATTGCGTTTGTTCTATGGAGGCCTTTTGTTTCAAATAGTAACTCTAACTCCAGCGTCCATGAAGATACTCACCGCCTTTATCAGTCTTTGACAATGGCCTTCCATGATGTTATTAAGCACCTTCCTTTCCGAGACGTGTGCTTCAGAGACACCCAGGGACTTTATGAACTGATAGTTGCTGATTCCACAGATGCTGAGTTTGCGTCGGTATTTGAATCGCATGGTTTGGATATGCACTTGAAATCTGTTGCCTTTACTCCTCTTCGAGCGCGTCTTTTCTTAAATTCCATAATTGATTGTAAGGTGCCATCTTCTGGTTATTCCCATGAAGGAGTTAGTGAAGCAAAAAACCGACACCAGGGAAATGGAACAAAGCTTGTGGACAAGCTTGTATCTGTATTAGATTGCCTGCAGCCTGCAAAATTTCACTGGCAGTGGGTTGAACTCAGGCTGCTTCTAAACGAGCAGGCACTTACTGAGAAACTCGAAAATCACGATATGCCTTTGACAGATGCAATACGATCTTCTGATGCCTCTGAGAATGAGAAAAATTTCATTCAAATCCTCCTCACAAGGTTATTGGTTAGACCTGATGCGGTCCCGCTTTTCTCAGAAGTGGTTCATCTCTTCGGTAGATCGGTTGAGGATTCAATGTTGAAGCAAGCTCAATGGTTTCTAGCAGGCCAAGATGTTCTTTTTGGACGAAAAACAATCAGACAAAAACTGATTATTGTAGGTGAAAGCGAAGGGCTTCCCACGAAACCTCACTTTTGGAAACCTTGGGGTTGGTGCAACAACTCTAGTTCTGATCATATTACAGCAAACAAGGCAGGGAAGAAAAGGAAGTTTGAAGTTACTTCTATCGAAGAAGGGGAAGTGATTGAGGAAGGGTCAGGTTCAAAAAAGGTATTATTACCCCGGGCATTGGATGAGAATAGTCCCAGTATTGGTAATGGGATGACAACTGAGAGGGCTTTTGTTCAGCTAGTGCTTCCATGCATAGACCAAAGCTCTGATGAATCTCGAAGTACCTTTGTGAATGAATTGGTAAGACAGTTTAGCAGTATTGAGCAGCATTTAAGTTCAGTTACCAACCGCAGTACAACAAACAACAAGCAAATGGGAACTGCTTCTTCTGGGTCTGAGATTTCATCAAATAAAGGAAGTACCCGGAAGGGCCTTCGCGGTGGTAGCCCTAGTTTGGCAAGAAGATCCTCAACCAATACTACTGACACTGCGCCGCCGCCTTCCCCTGCTGCTTTGAGAGCTTCTATGTCTTTGCGGTTGCAATTTCTTCTAAGATTACTGCCAGTCATCTGCGGGTACTGATTCTCTTCCATCTTCTTTTTCCCCATTCCGTTTAACAGGATTTGTTGAAAAGTCAAATGAAATGGCTCTTCCAGTGTTACCGAATTAAAGCCTGAGTCATCTTTTTGTATGGCAATTAATTTTTCAGGGAACCTTCATTTAGGAACACGAGACATGCACTTGCGTCTACAATAGTTCGACTGCTTGGAAGCCGAGTAGTTTATGAAGATTATGCCGTATGCGCTCCTCGTAGTGAGCTATCAAAGGCAGAAACAGAATCAACAATAGATCCTTCTTCCATGGCAGATCTCTCTAGTGAAGTCTTATTTGACCGGTTACTGTTTGTACTCCATGGGCTGTTAAGCACTCACCAGCCAAAATGGCTAAAGCCAAGGCCTTCCTCTAATGAATCATCCAAAGACTTTACCTTGTTTGATCGCGATGCAGCAGAGAGCTTACAGGTTTGTCAAAATTTTTTATAAAATCCTTAACTGTCTGTCTTCTTGGCTGAAAAGTACGATTCTTGAAGTTTTTTGTTTTTTTGCTTGTCAATAATGCAGAATGAGCTTTCGCGGATGCAGTTACCAGACACCATTAGATGGCGGATCCAAGCAGCGATGCCAATCCTCCTTCCTTCTCTACGCTGTTCTCTCTCGTGCCAGCCTCATTCTGTTCCGCCAACTGCACTCACACTTGTTCAACCTTCTGGATCTGCCGCTGCTGGACCCAATCAAAGAAACTCCCTTGCCATATCGAAAACTGGAACTGCAGCAGCGCAAGGGAAGCTGAAGCAGACTATGTTGGCACCACCTCAACAACAAGAAGCAGACAACACGGATGTGGTTGACCCATGGACGCTTCTAGAAGATGGGACAAGTTCAGGTCTATCAAGCAGCAACGCTTCAAACAGCAGCGACATGGCCAACCTTCGAGCCACCTGTTGGCTGAAAGGTGCAGTTAGGGTCAGACGGACTGATCTAACTTACGTTGGTTCAGTAGACGACGACAGCTGAATTACTCGACTGTTTCATAGTTTTTGATGATTATGAGAGCTCTGGAAAAGCAAAGGAGCAAAAAGCTTGGATCTTCGGGTGCCTTAGACTGTACTATCATTTATTGAGGGGCTAATGAAGAAGGAAGTCTTAATGAAAGATCTCTAATGAGTCTGTTGTGGCTTCTTCAGATCTTTGTATTTTAATTACTAACCCTTTTGCTTTTTTGGTCATATCCCCCGGACCCATGCTGGTTCGGAACCCTGTTGTATATATAGGGGATTCGAAAATTAATTGTCTCAGTTTCTTGTTCCATTATTATTTATCCACTAAATTCACTATTATTCCCCTGAAATTTTTATATTCTGAACACTTTAGTCTCTCTTTTTGCTCTTTCAGTGGCCTTAATGGGGAAACTTAGCAGATTACTAATAATATATGTATATCTTTTCAAGGATCTTACATTTGATTTTACATTACAAGAGAGGGAAACAGAAACATAGAACTCTTCTCAAAAGTCTAGTACGTACAACTTATTCACTACCTCTCATGGTTTTGTCTACATAGAGAACATCATCAATCCAAGCAACTATGTTAAAAGCTAAACCTTCAAGTACTCTTGAATAGCTCTCCAACACAGCTTTTCCAACATCCTGCAAACCAAAACAAAAAGCACAACACCTTTTAAGTAATTACTATATAGTGTACTATCAAATTCAAATTCAATGAGACTTTTCATTCTTCAGTTTTTACCTTATTGTACTGAATCTTGCATATATCTAATGATGTCTGAGACAATTCTGGATAACGCTGTTTCAAACAGAAGAGCAGAGTCTCTGCTCTCTCAGCCATAACATAGTTCTTGTCTGTTCTCTCTGTATTTGACATAAGATCTTTCACCATGTTCCATGAGTTCTTAGAGTTACTAAGACAAGCTTTGCGTCTCCATGTGTACATGGAAGCTTCTACTCTATCTGCTAACTGAACAGCCTCATGCTCAGAGGCTATGTTCAGACAATCTAACAGTTGTTCTGGGAAAAACCGACCCGAACCACTCATGTAACGGTAAATAGAATCTCCAACACTGCTTTTACCACACTGCATTCAGAGATTGAACATCCAAAATTAAGACTCAAAACCTTAAGATTCTAGTAGGTATAAAGATAACAAAAAAAAAACCTTTGGAAGAGTTGTCATGTAAGACTCTGGAATCTCCATTTCACTGAGAATGCTACTGTTGATAGCCATTGCAGCTTTGTGAATCTGATTGGTACTCTCTCTTTTGTTTTTGAGTTGTTTTCTGGCTTTATCTGACAAACCTTCTGGTGGCACTAGAGGAACTGGCAACCACCATTTCTCTTCTTTCCTTTGTACAATAACTTTCCTGAATGATCCAGTCGAAGAACGCGCTGATTTCATCGACAAACTTCCTTCTTCTGCATACCAAAACTCTGTGTTTTGGAAACTATCCAATGCTTCCTGTAACAAACAAGGATCAAAAAACAGATGTTATTATGTATGATTCATAATCAGACCGAACAATCATATACATTTTTCGGATAATATATATTACCATAAGCATTGAATCTAGCTTTCTCAATGCAGGTAAGTTGATATAGATATCTGCTCTTGGTCTACTCTCCATCACCTGAAGAACCCACCAAGAAAACTTTCATTTTTCCATATTTTTTCCTTCTTTCAACTTTCAGAGAAAATATTTGACAAGTTACTTACCTCAACAGTAGCTCCATTGCTTAGATTCTGACATCTAGGGATGAATTCGACTATGTAATCGCATACAGATAAGAGACAATTCATCTCTCTCTTCCACATTGCTCTCTTCTCTGTTTCTAACGGCTCTAACCTCAGATTCTGTCCAAACACTGTAGCTGCAAACATTTATATGCATCAAATGAAGAATCGTTTACAGTTGTCTGAAACAAGAGCATATATAATGATGCTTAATGTGTTTACCATAAAGATTGGTAATTGCGTTTGAGATCGTCACTGCAGTGCAAACTCCTTTACCACTCCCTGACATGTCTTCTCCAAGTAGAAGCTTTGCGAATCTTTCCTTCATTGTCTCAAGTTCTGCACAAACCCTAGAACACATCAGACATTTTAAAAAGTAGTAGTAGAAAACAGAGAGGAAGAGAGAAAACACAGTAGTACCTGGTTCTGAAATTTCTTGGACTGCAAGACTTTCATTTGATTGCATCTCTAAACCAGAGAGACATTTGGAGCTCTTAGATTCAGTGAGGACAGGCCAATTACAAGGAGAAGCTTCACTACAGAAGCTGTTGGTTTCATCTATCTGGTCTGAAAAACCTGAAGTGCTCTCTGAACAAGTTCGAGGATAAACAAAGGAATCTATGCTCATCGTCGAGTAAACCGGAGTTTCTGCTGCTGATTGATCATTTTGGTCAATGGATCTAGGTGATTGATGATAACCCACGTCGTCGTTTTCATCTGGATTCGATAAATTCTCCATCTTTAATCTGAAAAACTCCTCAAAGTTCTGTCTTTTTTGTTCTTGTTCTGTTTCTTCTGAAGAAATAACACAAAAAAAGAAGAAGATTTTGTTGTGATTATCAAGAAACTTAAGAAATTTGAAAGCGGGAGGTTTTTGGATAGTGAAATTTCTTAGGACCAAAGAACAATAAAGCAAGAAAGCAGAAAGCAGAAAAAGAACCATAAAAATCAGATCAAATGAGAATAAAAAATCGCAATTTTATTGAAAATTTCACCGGAAGTTTTGCTGAGTAGGAACAAAAAATGAAATTCAAAAAAAAGTTTTCACAGATAACGATCACATACTGAGAGAAAGTCTGAAACTTTAAATTTGAAAGGAAAAGAACGTTAAAGTAAAATCAAAGCAACGGTCTTTATTTGATATATACCTTTAAAGCTTCTTCTTGAATTTGAAACGTACGTTTAAAGCAAAAAAAATTGAACGTTAAAATCCAAATTCCCTCCGGTTGAATCCAAAACCTTCTTTAAGCCGGCGACCGGAAAATGGAGTAAATGTGGACCGTCCGATGATAGAAAGGAAGACTGATCTTACGATCCAGACGATGAAGTGGCTTTTCCTTGGCTTCAACAAGTGTTTTTGGTTCTATGAGAAATATTACAAATACCTCTTTAAGAGCTATTTGTCTATTTGGCTACTATACTTTATCATTTTCTTGTTGGCTTAAAATATGGACTATAGTTTTCAATTGGAAAAAATCTTTATTATTGGATCCTTCCTCACCCACAAATAAATAAATTATTAGCTCCAATTGGAAATTACATATGTTTAATTATTAATGATTGCACATTCGACCAATGATCATTTTATCTTTCTTTTCTCGTTTCAAAATAATTATTTCACATTTTAAGTTTTAGACATCTCATGTAAATGGGGAATGTAGCATATTATTAGTTTGTTGAAGAAAACTGAAGATTTTTAAGAATTAAAACTCGTTCATATTTAATTTGTTGAACCCCAAATATTTAATTATATCAAAGATCTTGATTGAAGATGAGATGTGAGTGAATGTTCAACGTATATCATCTTTTGACCTTTATAAAGTAAGTAATCTTTGGTCGGTCTAGTAATAACACCTCCATTGGAAATTTTATTTTAATTTTTATGTGTCAAGTGTCAACCGTTTATTAAATTAGACCAATTATCACATGGTTGGAGATTAGCTTATCCCCATGTAGCCTACACGATTAACCGCAACACATAATAGGCTAATACTTATATTTGTTTAGTGGATTATAATTTCAATTTGAATTATATAGTTATAATTTAGCACATGATAACTTAATGTAATGGAGAAGACAAGTATATATTTGCTTGCATGGTTCGTGCGTGAGACAGACGTGCGTCCCATTTTCTCGTAGTACACGCATTTTACGCATTTACTTAATCTTTGGGTCATTATTTTAGTGTACTATGGACTATGATATTATACAATATATCAACTATTTTCAACATATACCTTTATTTAATTATTTTTAAAAATAAACTTAATATATGTATATCTAACATATTCAACAAATTTTTGTTAATAGAAAGTGAACTAAAGACAATGCAACATATTAGTAAAAATTATTAATTATATTGGTTGGGAAAGTAAATGAAAGTAAGAAAAATGTTACATCAAAAGATATAAATGCAGAACATTTATTAAATTAAAGATTGAAGGTGAAAAAGATTAAAGTCATCAACAGTTTCGTATTCTTGCCCATCACGATACCGTGAAAGGGTTGATCGAGAAACCCTAGCTACAACTAAAGAAGTAAGAACATTGCTTATAGTCGACGAAACAATAAAGTAGTTTTGCATTGATGAGACATTTCCTTCTTGCCCATGCAGCTATGAACCTAAAATGTTTGCACAAACTTAGAAATCAAATAAATGTCATCGCTCGTCCTTGATAGACCCGAATCGGGTTACAACTATAGAAAAATTATTGGAAAAAAAGACAGCGAAAAAACAGAGTTTTTATGCTAACCCTTTTGTCATTTTAGTTCTCTTTTAGTTGATATTTGTTTGTTTTCCGAAAGCAATAGAGCAGAAACCTTAGCAAAGGGAGTTTCATTAGATTCAGAATTGGAGAAACCATTGGCTCTTCACTGTTTTTGGCCTCAATCTTCAGTTCCCATGCTTTCCTCTGCAATTTATCCTACAAAAAAAGTTTATTTTCTTGAGAAATTTGGAGATATATATCGATGTTCTTGAATTTTTCAAGGTGTTCAAACACCAAAGAGTAGTTGTAAAAAGATGAACCTAAGCTTAATGAGTCACCACAAAGATTCTCATGATATGTTCTAAAAAATTCAATTTTGTAGGATAGTAACCGAGTTATATACTTACCGTTGCAATGAATCTCAATCCGACTTTTAGTTCGCCTTTAAAAGTGTTGTCTTCAAGAACAACATTGTATGGAGCTGGTTTAATTTCCATGTATCCTCTGTCACGTCCTTCGGTTATTATCCCTCCAAGATGAATTCTGTACCAAAAAGAATCACAAACACAAGGATGGTATTATATCTGATATTGCTAATGCTACACCACTCAAATTCATTTTCTGCAAGCAGAACTTACATGGTTTCACCGACAAATCCACCATCTTTGAAGAGCTCTTTGTCCATGATTCTAAATTTGATGTAGGTCAGCTTCTTCCATTGAGACATTGGGAAATCGAAAACAAACTTTTGGTTCCACAATGCACTGTCATTATCACCTGTTTTCAAAAACGAACCAAAAATGTTATTTTCAAAATATTGGCACAGAAGAATAACAAAATTTGCCCCAGTAACAAAACTGGAACCTTTTGACATTTTGCTACGGTATTCCTTTGTCCCACATTGTAAGAGCACATAATACACAGGACTTCCTGCAAGTAAAATGATCAAAATAAAGATTTCAGTTTGATGTATAACATATGAAGAAAGTTTGTTTATTTATTTATATTCACCAATAAAATTTGTGTGTGTGATTCCATGAGCATCAACGAGAAACACTTCCAATATTCCTCTCTTCATATGTGACATTCAAGAAAATCAAATACTTAAAAGACTTTCAGAAACTAATTAAGAAGTAGTGAATGGTAATTAGCGTGAAGGCTGCAACAATTGGAGATATATAATGCACCATAACATTTACTACTTCTTTGCAGGCTCTATGAGTTACAAGAGAACACCATAAATTATGCATTCAAGAAAGAATCAACAGTTTCTAATAAATACATTTTTAAGTTACATTATCCTCCGGCTAGTAAATATCAATCCGTTTATTTAGGATTCAGCAAGAAACTGAAGCACAAAATCACCCATGACAACTCAAACGAATCTGATCATATCAAGAAGTTGAGATATTCGACATACACACAAGTGAGAAAAACTGAACGAATATAAAAAAAAAAGTTAAACAGAGAAGTATTGAAATTCAAAAAATGTTTTAGCAGATATTACCAGCTCATTGAGGAAATTGCAATTTGAGTCCCTAGTTGTTTTAGGGTTTTGGGCGGGAGCTCGTTTCTCTAATCAATCGAGTTTGTTTCGGCCTAAAAGCCCACTAAACATAAAAGCCTACGAGGACCAAGTCAATTACTTGATGTTTAAGGTACAACCTTATTATGATAATGTCGGCAGAAAAATTGTATTAGTAACTTTAACAAATCCCACATCGGAAACATATGAAAATTTAAGCTAGTATATAAGAAAGGTTAAAACAAGCACTAGTAACCAATTGGCTTTGAGGTGGATAAAGCTCATTAGCTTTCCCATGGGACCATAATCCTTGACCCAATAGGGCACATTCAAATTACAATAGGATATGTACATGATCCAAAGATGAGAAAGAACTTGAGCCAAAGCCAATTGGTTTTTTTTTATAGAAACTTTTGTATTCTATGACCGCACAAAAATAATACTGACAATCGATATGAATTTACCTGATTTATAAGTCGGAAAATATTACTAATCAGGAACTTTAAGTATAGATCTTGGTTTTTAGAAGAGAAAGAGACAACAATGTCGAAAATTCCAACCAAATCTTGGCCAACTTTACATACAAAAACCCGGAAAACTTGATGTAAAGTTAATGGCACATTGCATATAGGTTCAAGAAAGTCTAAATAAATATAACATTTCATCAAAAGCTTAAGATCAACAAGATTTTTACTAAGAAGAACATTAAAACAAATCACCAACGACTCTTCTCAGCTCTCGCTTGATCATTCCTACGGACGCAACTGCAGCCCCACGAAACTGCATGCATAAACCCAAAAAACGTTACGTATAAGTCAAGAAAACCCTAAGCTGTCTTTTCCAAACATCAAGAAGGTTGGTCTTTCAGGATTAATTTACCTTGGCCTTGAGATTCAATGTGAGGAACTTATTAAGTGTGTGAGATCTAACAGAGAAAGCATCCATGTGAAGATTGCTCAGAGTTTCCATGATGTCTGCAACTATGTAGTCTCTGTAAGAACATCTTACTTCGATCACAACTTCTGTTTCTTTGAGTTTAACTCTCAAATGTGTCTTGTCTCTGAAAACAGTGACTTGTTCGGTTTCTCCTGAATTACCATCGATCTTCGTGCTATCATCGTAGTTTCCTGATGTCTCTTCGATCAACACAGAGTCGTTAAGGTTCTCCGTCGTCTTTCTTTGTCTTTCTACGAAGTTAACTGATCCCATACATGATTCTAGCTCTTCTACTCTTGCCTCCAGTTCTTGCAAGTACTTGATTGTGTTGTTCAGTATCGATTCTTTATCAACCTACACAAGGATTCAAAACAGAGTTGTTGGTTTCTGAAACATGGTCTTGTGTCTAAGGATTTAAGGGTTTAGAAAAAGAGTTATTACCTCGTTGACAGTGGGAACCATAGTTCTAAGGACACTGAACTTTTCGTTCTCTTTTCTTGTATCCGAAGGATCATCTTGATTCAGACCAGATTTCTGACTTGGGAACACTCTCTTTGTGTGCATCAAAGGAACATCATGCAAAATCTTCCGCAACACATTCTGTGACTGTTTTTTCTGAACAAAACCCGGGTCTGGCTGCTCACATTGCTTCCACCGCAAGAAACTTGAGCCAGAATCAGAAGACACCGTATTTGGTTGACGGTGATGAATGTTCTTACTGGATCTATCCGCGGCGTAGTTGAGTACTGTTGAAATGGTTCTTTTGTAATGCAAGTCTTCATCAGAAATACCTAATGGAATCTGATGCTTCTCTTCAATGGTCTTAATTCCCATTTTCTTCTCATCATCGTTGTCTTGGTGTGCAGATATTTCCAACAAGCAAGATTTTACGTGTTGAAGCAGACTATGATCTTCCGAAATCTTTCATTGTTCATGAAAAAGAATAAAACAAATTAAGGTATATTTAATACTTGCGAAGGAAGCAACCAAAGTAACACCTTGTTATATTAAGATGGAGAGTTACCAATTCAGTGACACCCAGCTCAATCACACCGCCCAAGTAAGGGAAACACACAACAGTCTGGAGAAACACATAAGAACACATTCTAAAGCATTAATCCACATTGATATATATACTGAACTTTTCGAATCTAACAATTAGAGAACTAAACTTTCATTTCTAACAATCGGAACCCAGTTAAAGAGAACATTATATATGTAACGTACCTGAATCGATGCGCTCTAAAGGAGAGAAGCCATATGAACAGTAATGAAAAGCAAAGAAGATCAAAAGAGATTTATTGTCAGATTCGATCTGGATATATATCAAGATTCAAGAAGAGGAAACTAGAAGGTTATGAGAACTTACTCTTGCTAACAAAGAACGAGAGAAGAGCTTGTTCTCCGCGTATTGAGCGTTGCAGAGCCATATGGTCTCACCCGTCGCTGAAGCTCGTCCAGGCAAACTAAGCGTACATAGACAAACCAAAAAAGCCAAAAGATCATTAATTAATGATCCTAAAAAAAAACTTAATATAAGATTACTTAAAATGCTAAAAAGGTGAAAGTGTAACAATAAGGAATAATCACTCCACTATTTAGCAAATGGTTTTGAAATGGAACTTTAAGATTGGTGGTATTAAACCTTTTTACCCCAAGTGATGGATCTTTCATCTTAAAAAGAAAGGACATATATTGCTCAGTCCATCTTTATTGCAAATTGGTTTTTATATACGAATAGTTCAAAAGAGCTAATAAATTTCATAGAGAGAGAAAGCTAGAGAGAACAAACCATTGAGAAGGAGAGAAGACATAGGACATGGAGACTAAATAGTACCACTCTTCATCAGAGAGGTCATCTGGTGACAGCATCATATTTGTACTGCGACGACAATTATCATCATCATCATTGTGACCATCATGAGTAGTACTAACAGTAGTACCATTATCTCCTTCAAGCATCGACAAATAAAGTTTCCGAAGCTGCTTGCTTCTCTGCAAACCATCTTTATAATGAGATTCGTAACTCTTCTTCCTCTTCTTCATATCTCCATTGTAACATCCTTCTCCCCACTCCAAAACCCTAAATATAGAACATACTAGTACTCATATGTAACCCAAGATATAAAAGAAGAAAGGGCAATGCAAAGATGAGAACAACAAGATCTGATATTTTTGGTATATGAATATTAGATTTTAGACTTACCCAGGTTGAGTAAGTGAAGACGACCAGAAGATTGCGTAGCTCCATTGAACACTTCTTACAGCTAAAGCAAGTTGTTTTCTTAATAAGCTGTTTTGTCTTTTACTTCTTCCTCCTGGAGCTTCTACACCATCAGCCATTGTCAAAGACATATCTAGATATCGTGAAGAACTGAATTTAAAAGTCTGGAACCAAAGTGATTGATAAAGAGGAGACAACCAAAAGGCAAAATTTATTAAAGAAGGTTTGGTATTAAAGCTTTATTTTCTTTTCTTTCTTTCTTTATTGCTTTCTCTTTCTCAGCTTGGTCCTGATGGAAAGTCTTAAAGAGTGTCTTTAAAGTTGAGTACGGTGTCTGAACTGAATGATGAGAGAGAGTGGTTGACTTGGGTCATGATCTTGGTTTTTGGAGTGACTCATCTTTATACAATACATATGGTAATAGTGTTGGATTCTATTTGGTGAAACCCAAGGTAAAATATTCTCTAAATAAAGTGATGCTGAAAAATATTGCAAAAAGAAAGATTCAATATAGTGTTCTTTTTTTCCTCCTATTCATTTGGTCAAAAGTTTGGTTACTACTATACTAGGTGATTGGCCAACATCATGCATGGATATGAAATAAATTAAGAATTTTTTCTTATAAATTGAATACCGTGTCTTTGTTAAACTGTTTTAAATTTGTTTTTGTCTTAAATCCACTATGATTTTAGAATTTGTCGTGATACTTTAGAAGAATACAACTTGAGATAATTTGATTAACTTATAATTGTAATAAAATTATAGTTACTAGTTTACTACCTTTAATGTTGATGATGAAGTTGCAAACAATATTGTAATACTTTTCACAAATTTTTTGTGTAGTTTTAGAACACAGTCTACGAAAAATGTTTGACGAAATAAGCAAAACTAGAGATATGTTCCAACAAAATTCCATTGAAAAATTTTCTTTAAATTTTCTAAGTTTTTTTTTTTGGGGTTTAAGTATTCTTAGTTAAACTTGTGTTGGTTTGTTTGCTCAAAAATGGTTTATATAAAATTGATTACTTTTGTTTTTCGTGATAATACACGTCGGGGTCTTTTATCGTCTTGTTGTGTGGAAGTGGTCCAGTGTAACGTATCAACATACTTTTTTTTTTTCTTTGGTAAACGTAAACATACTTTTTTTTGGGTTAAAATGTGTGTCTATATACGTATATTAACATACTTTAACAACAAAAAATGGAACTCTTGTCTGATTCTCATCAATGTAGATAATTAATTTTTTATTACTCGATCTTAAATATATGACAAACAGAATGTAGTTATACGTAGTTGCAAGAAAATGGAATATACTAGTTGGATAGTGAAGATTCCAATTTCTATGATAGATATAAATGCGCATTTCACCCGCATAATTCCATGATACTCTAATAGATTATATTAAGTCACGAATAAAAAAAGGATAAAAACAAATACACTCACTGTTCAAGTTTGATAATCAATCGCGGGACATCATCACATACCGATCGTTATTTATTCACCATCAAAGCACTATTTTGTCCGAAGTAAGCAAATATAGCAAGTGGCAGTAAAAGAATAGTAATAAAATTGAAGGCAAGATCAGGAGAGAGCTGGCTGAAATGAAGGCAAGAAACTCGTGAAAATTAATAATTGATCCATCTCTATCCACGAAGCCCTACATAATTTAGTAACGCACCACTTGTGGTTGCATGCACATTTATTTCCATAACGACAAAACTTTGTGTTTAATTTTATAAATTATTTCTGTTGACACAACAGACTCACTATAGCCATATGTTTGTGTTTATATTTTCATAAAAACAGTTATTATAATTTTAGATGCTCTAGACTTTTTTAAAATATAATAATAAATTATAGTATAAAAGTCTATATATGTACCCTAAATATTACAAAACATATACAATCCTAACCAATGGGATCCTACATCAAATTGCATTCAGGATATATAAAAAAAAAACGAAATGAACCACGACAAAGAGAAAAGATAAATAAATCAAAGTTGAGGGAGAACTTGAAGTGTTGAAGTTTGTCTTTCTCATTATACTACAAGCAACAATTTTCTTTCTTCGGAGAGAAAGAAATGAGAGATTGCACATCAACACTTCAAATTCTCCTAAGATTGTTTTGTGGCAGATGGACAGAACCATCCGTGACAATATCGCAAAGGTTGTGGAAGATTGTTGTCCCAATGGTTCATCCATTCCTAGTTACTATAGTTGGCTAGTTGACTTATCGTATTAGTTTTAGTTTGTTTTAGTTTTTGTTTTTTTGGGTACCGTCTATATATAAAATTAAAGCTGTCCCAGATCTTTTGTAAATAACAATGTTTCTTTTGGTAATAGTAATTCACATTTTACCCTAAAAAATATTAAAAAATGAATATCAAAGTTACGAATTACGAGAGCAATGCAAGAGTAAAATAATGAAATTCAAATTTAAAGATTCAATGATTTTGTTAAGACAGAGAGACATAGAGCATTGATTGCAGACGCGACATAACTGACATACAACATTTGCCACTACAATGCACGTCTTCAGATTAATACTTACTATAATTCTACATCGTTGGTATCAGTATTACAATTTATAAATAGGTTTAGCCGATTGCTTAAGATATTATTGTAAATTCATATACACATTCGTGCAAGTACAATCGAACCATTTAAAAATACAAGACACTACATTGGATGTTGTTAATAATAAACAGAATGTGGATATTTCTAATTCTAGTATGCTGATATATTGACTTTATGGGCCCAAAATGATTTTCCCAAAAGGCCGAAAAAGCCCATTGATAAACTTGCCACGCGCGCAAGTTAGCTGACGTGTCTGGTACCGCCACGTGTGTGTTAAAAAAGTGGTAAGAGACAAAACCCTTTGTACTCAACGGATCTGAGTGAATCCTGAAACTTTTTTAGGAATTTCAAAATTGATTTGAACCAATCAATGGTTCTTGGATCCATGAATAAGCCTTCACGTGGGTTTTGATTTCACATTGCCACGATTATCTGAATTTTGCTACGGAACTGAGATATTTTGTTGTTTAGTTATGGCGATTAGGCTGACTCATAGTGTAATTCCAGTGAGCGTGAAGCTTGGAGCTCCGGCGAGAGTATCAGCTCGGAGTTCGTTACCGTTTAGCGTTGGAGATTGGCGTGGTGTTTCTACATTTTCTGGTGCTAGGCCGTTGGTTTCTGCGAAGGTGAAACCGAGAGCAGAGAGTACTGAGGAGGATCGAGTTCCAATTGAAGATTCCTCCATTGATGACCACGATTCTACTGATCAGCTCGTAAGTGTGGTGGAATTACATTTGGAAGATTCACTCGTTTGTGCCCAGAATTATGTGAATTTACTCTTTATTTGTTAGGTTGATGTAGAAATTGTGCATTTTGAAGAGCGTGATTTCTCCGGCACAGCGCGTGTTCCCGTATATGTTATGCTACCAGTGAGTCTTCTTCTTGCTTTTTGTTGTTGTTTGGCTAGAGATGTGTGTTGGATTGATTTGGCTGTTGAATGATTATAGTTGGGAGTCATTGATATGAACTCGGAAGTGGTGGAACCGGAAGAGCTATTGGATCAGTTAAGAACCTTGAAGTCGGTTAATGTTGATGGTGTTATGGTTGACTGCTGGTGGGGAATTGTCGAGGCTCATACACCACAGGTCTATAATTGGAGTGGTTACAAGAAACTTTTTCAGATGATTCGTGAGCTTGGACTTAAGATACAGGTATTAATGTAAACACTTTCCTCGTAGTCTGATGCTTAATATATATGAGTTACTTACTTGAGATCAATGAGTCTCAATTCAGTTTAGTGGAAGATATGCATACTTGAGATGAACCGTTTCCATGTTCTTGACTTGAATTGACTTCAGGTTGTTATGTCATTCCACGAATGTGGAGGCAATGTTGGAGATGATGTGCATATACAAATCCCTGAGTGGGTTAGAGAAGTTGGTCAAAGCAATCCTGACATATACTTCACTGACAGAGCAGGCAGGCGTAACACTGAATGCCTTACTTGGGGAATTGACAAGCAACGGGTTTTAAGAGGACGAACTGCTCTGGAGGTATGGCTTTCTACTCAATGCTCGAAGACTCTGTAGCATGTTATCATACGAAGAATGTTTAGTTCAGTGATAATAAGAGTCCCCTGACCATATGAGATCACTTGTTATGAGTAACCCTTCTAAAAATTGTAGGTTTACTTTGATTACATGCGAAGCTTTCGAGTGGAATTTGATGAATTCTTTGAGGATAAAATCATCCCTGAAATTGAAGTTGGACTAGGTCCATGTGGGGAGCTGAGGTATCCTTCATACCCTGCACAATTTGGGTGGAAATATCCTGGTATTGGTGAATTCCAGGTAATCTTTTTGATGGGATCATAAGCATATCCAAAATTACATTCTATCTTCCATTGCTATTTGGACCACTGATCTATTAGTTTACTTACCGATTTATCTTCTCTGCTGTGCTGTCCTGTCTGCACAGTGTTATGATAAATATTTGATGAAGAGCCTAAAAGAGGCTGCAGAAGTAAGAGGCCACAGCTTTTGGGGCAGAGGACCTGATAACACAGAGACTTATAATTCAACACCACATGGGACCGGATTTTTTCGCGATGGAGGCGATTATGACAGCTACTATGGTAGATTCTTTCTTAATTGGTACTCAAGAGTTCTGATTGACCATGGTGATCGTGTTCTTGCTATGGCAAATTTGGCTTTCGAAGGAACTTGCATCGCTGCAAAGGTAAACAAAGCTCTATTGATGGGGCAAGTGCACTATATTATACTATATTTTTCTGGCTTGTGCTGATAGAACAATTTTGTCTATCCATTTCTGGAAATTAGCTCTCAGGTATACACTGGTGGTATAAAACAGCTAGTCATGCAGCTGAACTCACTGCTGGCTTCTACAACTCCTCAAACCGTGATGGCTATGGTCCAATAGCTGCAATGTTCAAGAAACATGATGCTGCTCTCAACTTCACATGTGTGGAGTTACGGACACTTGATCAACATGAAGATTTTCCAGAGGCTCTGGCAGATCCAGAAGGTCTAGTTTGGCAGGTAAAAACTTCTTCAACATAGTGACTTACACAAATGATTGGCTTTAATTGGTTTAGGCCAAAATCTTAACTTGCCAAATTTTCTTTCATGTTAATTTTTTTCAGGTGCTGAATGCTGCTTGGGATGCTAGTATACCTGTTGCTAGTGAAAATGCTCTTCCTTGTTATGATAGAGAAGGTTACAACAAGATACTTGAAAATGCAAAGCCCCTTACCGATCCTGATGGTCGCCACCTTTCATGTTTCACTTACCTGAGGCTTAACCCAACTCTGATGGAGTCTCAAAATTTCAAAGAGTTTGAGAGATTCGTCAAACGAATGCATGGTATAGCTTTCGTTTCATATTCTCCTAGTGAAAATTAGTGTCTTCTCAAGGTTTTATAACCTGGTGTAACTTTCACTTGCAGGTGAAGCCGTTCCTGATCTTGGTTTGGCTCCAGGGACGCAAGAGACCAACCCCGAATAAATATATAAGTCAACCATGCTACTAAAAACACTTATTAGCGCCTGGTTATATATAATAAGAACGTTTTGGCTTGGCTTTATCAATTAAGCATAGCTAAGTTGGACAGAATCAAATTCAAAACCAAGATTGTAAAATTAGCTTGTAAAATGAACAGTGTATATAACATTATAAGTGTTACGTCCATTGATATTTCAGAAGAAATTGCTAGCAACATTACAGGCTATAACACAAAAAGAGCTCGAACAATGAAGAAAATCTTGATCTCTCAATAATGAATTTTCATCTACTTTGCTTCTCTAATTCTATACCCTAGATTCTACATGTACTACACCTATACCATGATTTATAATGTTTCTTGACCACACAACAAAGCTGGGGATGCATTTTTCTTGAAGGTCATATGTTCACTGTTGTCATTTACAGGAAAATGGCAATCTATGAATTGATCCCATTTTCTTCTCATTCCTTTGAAGGACCACCCGGAAGGGGATCCTTCCATGCCTGATCCTGCAGAGCTTTCTCCTTCTTCTGTATCATGGAATGTTCCGTAAGACGGTGATGGAGACATGGGGATGTTCAGAGAAGCTGCCTTCATTATAGCCGCTTTGTATTCTTCGTCATGATCCTCAACAATTGATTTCTGGCGCACAATTTTCTGCTCCACCGGAATCTGCATAACTTGGTCCTCTTCCAGCATTAACTAAAAATGATCACCACACAGAAAGTGGTTTGTCAGAATTCACGATCTCCAAAAGCTGAAGCAGTCACAAGAAGCAAAACACATTTCAAGGTACTCACCTCAAGAGCTGTCTGCGATTCCCTTTCAATCCAGATGATGGCGTGATCTGCTGTTGCATTACACGAGAGAACAATCTGCTCAAATCTCCCATCAACTGGGACAGCTGTTCTTACAACAGGTGGATATCTTCCTAATCTGTACCAAGGGCATGGTTTTCACTTTGAAACCCGTCTTCGAGTTGACGAAAAGATTTTGAAGCACATGAGTATACATAAAAAGTATAAATACCTCAAGGGCTTGCGCACGACGATGTGGTATAACCTACCAGGAGCATATAGACGCCTTGCATCTTTGAGCTTTTTCTCCTCAAATGTGAATGTATCTTTCAAACATGTGAGACACAACAAGCATGGCAAGCTGAAGGTTTAAGATGTATACAAGAGCATGAGATCTTTTTCATCTTCTAAACTTAGGCTTATAAAAGTCTAATAACTGCTTTTGAAATTCATACTGTTTCTTTACCAGATGATTGACTTGAAGACATTCTCCAGAGCTGTTGTAGTCCGAGGCAAGAAATCATCCTGGTTTATTCAGAGCAGCACGTAAAATGGATCAGAAGAGTCACCAAAGCGAGGCAATAGAGGCTGATTTATACAATCATCATACCTGTAGAACAATAGAGTTTATGACATCTGCATATGTCACTGCTAGATGGAGAGACATACATCTTGGAGGAGCAATAGCAAAGCATCTTATCCTCTTTCTCTCTATATTCCCCAACCTAGCCCGGTTCTGAATCACGAATAAGACAAGCAAAGACACAACCCCTGCACCTAACGAATGGCCAACAAACGTCAAGGAATAGCTCGGGTTTGCCTCAAGTAATTCTCTTAGAACCACATGCTCCTCCTCAAAAACCCACATAGCCGCCTTTAACAACCCGTTATGTACATAACCTCCATCAAACTTAGTCTGTCCAAGTTTGTTATCAAGAAGAACAGCATAATCACACTCCTTAGCCAAATTCAGCCCTCTAATAGCCAAAACTACATCACAATTTTCATGATCCAAGTAGATCATGTAAGGCGTCACACGACCCTCAGTCTGGTCATAGTCTTTCTTGAGAATAACATGATTTGGGTCAAGCCCATAACCACCAGGAGGTGCCCACATAGGGTCATGGAGATTCTCCTCATAGACGGCTAAGATCAAGCGGCAGATCCTAGGGATTGGCTCAAACTCATCTGATGTAGCTAATCCCCAATTCTCACTCTCGTGACCTGCTGAGTATAAACATTTCTTCCACAGCCAATGGGCACAACCCAAGCAATACACACATTCAAGTACGGGAACGCAACACAGTATCGACATGAGAACCTATTAAGCAACCAAGCATTATATATTGAATTGGAGAAATATCTGGCGATGGGATCGGATTATTCCACCAGAAGAACACACTGACACGAGATTAGTCAGTGTGGATCAAGAGGCTCTAAGAATAAAGACAGAATCATAAGCTGGTCGGATCAAGCTGAGTTCCAGGAGTTGTGTCCGAAACCATCACGAACAACTGTAAGGAAAAAATAGAAGAATTTATAACAATCAAGTGATTTCAATCATTTCTGTTGGCGCTGAAGAAGATACGAATTAGAGAGAGAAGACACCAAGTTGAATTTGTTATCTACGAAAAATTCAAGTCAAACACAGTTCGTCAGACGAAACAATGAAAGAGAGTTGTGAGAAGAATCTACTTACCATAGATGCTCGAAAGATTCCATTAGCATCCTCGAGACCAGCGGAGAAAGACGTGCAATGTAGAAATTCGTCTTCGGAAGCTGTCGGGTCGGGTCGGGTCGGGTCGGGTCGGGTCGGGTCGGGTCGGGTCGGGTCTAGAAGAAACTTTTGTTTTGTGTGGGATAGCGTATTGGGACCATTAAACGTGGGCTTTTAGCTACAGGCCCATTCAATTTGTCAGTACTCTTGGGACATGTTTAACACGTTTTTCTAATTGCATCTGATCGGTGTCCACAGACTCTATCGTATACCCAAGGGTACTGGATAATTACCTCGTTGCATTTTTTTATGTTTGGTCATAGAGTTTGGTTGAACTGATTGAATTATCCGGCCAACTTTTCTACACCGTCATCATGAACACTGAATCAGGTATTCCGATATTTCTTTCCTTTGTTCTATTCTATCGCTGGAGAAATCAATGAGTGATTTTGAACTGAGAGTTCTTTTCAAGATTCGGATGAATTTTCATATGGTTGCTTTGGTTTGTAGTTGTCGAGTTCCTTGGGAATGTACCCTTATTGCAGCGGTTACCTAGTTCTTCTCTCAAGAGAATCGCTGAAGTTGTTGTCTTCAAACGTTATGGTCAGTTGTGATTTTGGGATTATGATTTTGTTCTCATCTCCAAGTCAATTTGATTGGGAATTTCGTTATGTTTACTGTGTTCTTGAGTGTAAGCACTGAGCAGTGATTTTACAGACATAGTTTATGTTTTTCTACAATGTGATCTTCTTTGGCTATGTGCTTCACAGAGAGAGGTGATTATCTGGTTCGTAAAAATCAGAATGTGGATGGAGTTTATTTTCTCTTGGAAGGAGAGGTGAGTTGTGTCAAGTTACTTCTGTGTTATCTCCATAAGAAGATAGATAGACTAAGGCTATTTCAAAGGGTTATTTAACTTTTTGTCTTTTGTTTGCAGGCTCAGGTTCTGAAATCAGCTGGAGAGGAAAACTCTCAACAGTTCCTTTTGAAACGATTTGATTTCTTCGGCCCTGGTGAGATGATGTCTCTTTCAATACTGACCATTCTTCAGTTTCAGTTTGTTAATTTTGTTTCTGGGAAGTTTGGCTCGTTGATTCAATAGTATTCAATTAATTCCTTTACAGGTATTTTTGGGGATGTTTACTCAGCAGATGTTGTTGCAGTCTCAGAGGTGTTTGCTAAATATTCTTTCTTCTTTCCTTAGGGGGCATTGGTTTCCTTGAGATGATGTTATGCTAACGGTAATATCATACTGAGTACTGTTTTTATTTCTCTTCTTGCAGCTCACCTGCTTATTGTTGATGTCTGATCATCGTGCTTTGCTTGAGACAAAGTCAGTCTCGGATTCAGATAAGGAACGATGTCTTGTGGAACACATATTGTATCTAGAACCATTAGATGTACGAATCTCCCCCAACTGCCCTTCGTTTTGTTCCATTTCAGTTCTTATGCTCGGAACTCTAGCCATTCACGTTTACCGTTATATGGAATCAGAATTATAGCATTCTTTCTTTCATATTTCTACAAATTTATGTTCGCCTCGTACTACATTCTCTGCCAGTAAATTCGAGGAATCTCATATTTTTTGTACTTCTTTCTTGTAGTTGAATGTATTCCGGGGGTTCACTCCACCCAATGCTCCAACCTATGGAAAGGTTTATGGAGGGCAGTTAGTTGGACAGGTATGAAATTTACTCATGTATTTCCATTTGTATATATAGCTTGTTATGTGCTATTTATATCAGGCAATGGAAATATCTTGTAATCACTGCAACTGCCTATGCTTCGCAGGCACTCGCCGCAGCATCAAAATCTGTTGAAAATATGAAGATAGTCCATAATTTACATTCCTATTTCCTTCTTGTTGGAGAGATAAATAGTAAGGGCATAGTTTCAATGCGCTTTTTGCAAGCAAGCAATTGCTTTTCCTCCTACCTTAAAACCATGCCTGCTGTTTTCTCTGGACCTCATGCATATGTTACACATTGCAAATTATCATATTTTGCTACTCTTGCAGTTCCCATCATATTTGAAGTTATCCGCTTACGTGACGGCAATAACTTTGCCACCAGAAGAGTAGATGCTAGACAGAAAGGAAAAACCATATTCATCTTGTTCGCGTCATTTCAGGTTTCATGTTATATTCCTGAAATATTTCGTTATGAATCTTTATGCTTCTTTTACAATGTCATCATGAGTGAATAGCCTTCCACGCTTAAACACAACATTAACAGACCTTGTAGCTTCGTTTTTTTCTTTCGTTTTACAGAGAAAGCAACAAGGTTTTATTCACCAGGAGTCGATCATGCCTCATACACCAGCTCCTGAAATGGTAAATCATTTCTCCTACTTTTAGGCTTATAATGAATTGCGATGGTTGCCATTTACATCGCTATATACTGCAGCTTCTAACAAGGGAGGAGATGCTTGAGCGGCGTATAACTGACCCTCTTCTACCTAGGTAAGTGGAAGTATTTTGCCAGACCAATTATCCCAAGAGCTCAGAGTTATAATTGTTTCTTCATTTCAGGGATTACCGAAACAAAGTTGCAACTGAAATTAATGCTTCATTCCCTATAGATATTCGATTTTGTGAGCCAAATTATTCGACAGAACAGACAAAGTCTCCTCCAAGGTTAATCTAGTTGTCTAACTCCTGTATTAATCAATTTTTTGTTGTTTACTACTATCGAGCGTATTTCATTGTGTCACTCTTAAACATTTAGTACTCAATTTTTATGTGGTTACTGATAAAAACTAACCATTTCTTTCTTAAAATCATCTTGCAGACTGAAATATTGGTTTAGAGCAAAGGGAAAACTTTCTGATGATGATCAAGCTTTGCATAGGTGAGCAACTCTACTTCAGTGGTATTAAACTGAAAGCCGCCTAAAAACTTGGTACTTATTCATATCTAGATTATTTGAATTGTAATGTTCACCTTTTAACATTCCAAGGAGTTCTTTGCTCAAAAAAAAAAAAAAAAAACATTCGAAGGAGTTCATCTGTCAGGGATATTTAAGTACACCGATTGATATAGTTGAAATGTATTCCAGATTATCTTCTGTGTCTTGTTTGGACATATGAATCATATGTGTCTTGCAGTCTTTCTGATTGTCTTGCGCCCGCCATTGTTATACAGATGTGTGGTTGCGTATGCTTCTGATTTGATATTCGCCTCTATCAGTTTAAACCCTCACCGCAGAGAGGGCATGAGTGTAGCTGCTCTTAGCCTGGACCACTCGTAAGCCTTTTCTTTTCTTTTAGCCAAGTGTGAGTTTGTATCATTCTCCATAACATATGTACAAACCATGTAATTCACATATATACACGCAGTCGCACACATAATTACAGACCTGCTCGATCGTCTAATATCTTGGTTTTACCATCTCCAAAAACAATGCCTCAAGTAAATGTTTGTTACTTTTCTTATGTCCCTTTGCAGGATGTGGTTCCACCGACCTCTAAGAGCTGATGATTGGTTGTTGTTTGTGGTAAGAAAAGCTCATGGTTTTTTTTCTTGTGAAGAATACGAGAAGTTTTTCTAAGGAAAATTTAGTACTGATAGAAAACCAAATGTTTGTTTAGGTAAACTGAAACTCAAATTGCTTAAAAACACTTTGCGCAACTTTGAGTTGTTTTGGAGAGCCAGAAACCGTATATATCAATATGGTGCATCTTTCATCTGAAGACCCCTGTCATGCTGGATATCAGACCCGCATGACAATTAGGAACATTAACAACTATAGATTAGAACAACTTGCTTGTTTAGCTGATATTCGTTATAAGTTTATAGATCTACCACATGAGTACCACTTAGGGATTTTTATCTTCGTGTTTATATTTACATGGTAAATGAAGTAAACAACAACATTTTTAGTGTATTGTCAAAGATGTGACTGAATCCTTTTGAAATGAGAACTTTGAACAAGACAAATATACTTACAACATTTTCGTTATGCAGATAGTGAGTCCAATCGCGTCCGAAAGCCGCGGTTTTGCCACTGGGAAAATGTTCAACAGAAAGGGAGAGGTACGTTGTTGCATCGAAGAAGAATGAAGTATCTAATGTAGTTTTGAAGCTCCCATTAAGCATCAAATAGAGCTAGTTGAATGCCAAATTAGAGCTCTTATTCTTTTCAAGCGTAAAGAAGTAAAATACATATAGTTTGATAATTTTGTGTGTGCAGCTGGTGGTATCATTGACGCAAGAAGCTGTGCTAAGAGAAGCTGTAACTATAAAGCCCTCCTTCGGCGCGAAGCTCTGAAGTCGTAGTATTGATAGTGAGAGAATTGCTGCATCTATCACACCTCACGGTCACTATTCCAAATATAGTCTTCACGAAGTACATTTGCAAATGGTTTTTGATTCACAATTATTTTTCCCCTCAAAAAGGGTCTACACATTGTATGTTTGTTTGTTGTAAAACCCCGATAAATAATGTTTTCAACAATAATGGAAGAGCAAATTAGGTGGTTTAACGACGTCGTTTTAGTAGAGAAACCTCTTATAACGTTATTATTGCAGTCCCAGTCTTGAAGACGCTCCTCAATTTTGAAAAAGAAACCTCTGTAGTCGCTCTCTTCTGAGTTATCGGAGAACCACAAATTGCAACGAAAGTAGATGGAATCCATGGCTCTAGATCCGGAACTTGACATGGATGACGAAGATCTGGAGACAATGGAGTCAGATGTGAAGCAGATGGCGAAGAAGATATCCGAGTACAGGCAAACCCTACCGGATCATCTCAGGAACACCCTTGATTCTGCGCTTTCTTCTCACATCGATTCCGGGTCGGATCCTCTGCCGTCTCCGTGCCTCACTATCGCAGGCAGGTTCCTTCTTTTTTTGGTTTCTGCGAAATCAACTTTTTGGTTAGAGGAATTATAAGCAGGTCTAAATTTAGGGCTTATTCTTCAAAATTGCGTGTCTCTTGTCTTCACCTTTTGATTAGAGGTCTGTATTTACATATTCCTCAAAGCAGATAGTTATTGCATTATGATTGTGTTTTACTTGTCATGTATCATTTGGAAGAATGGTTCACGTATTTTGGCTGTGTAGAAATGTGTGCATTGATGCTCAAAATGGATAATCTTTTGCAGAGTCAAATATGAGAGTAATGGCTTGTGTATAGAATTTATGATGAATCAACAACACTCACTACAACTTGTCAAGGTTTTAGCTAAAAGCTAGAGTCTTTTTGTTGTTTGCGTCTTCATATGCTATGAAGAACTTGTCAAGTACTGTAGAGAAACATAAGAACTTGCAGTGATTCTTGTCTTCTTCTTCATCTGTTATCAGTATGCTATATCAACCAATCTGCTGTGTTTTATTTAATGCAGAAAATAAGCACAGAATAATGTTGTGGTTCATAAGAGACTTTGTTTGAGAATGGTTCATAGTATTCTAGAGAAACACAAGAGCCTGCACTGATCTTTCCTCTCATATCAGTTTACTGTATTAACCAATCTTTGGTGTTTTCTTTTTTTAATGCAGAAGCACAAGTACCTGTTGGGTTAGGAACTGAAGAGCAAGACTCTGGAGAGAAATGGATTCAGCTCAAGGAAAGAATGTCGAGAAACGCTGCGAATATACCTAAAGTTGTAAAGAGAATGCGAGAATGTATAGAGAGTATCGACAAACTCGATTCTTTAGACATTACCATTCACCCGGCATTCAGAAGGCGAAGAATTAATTAACTGACGATTTCTCCTTCAGGCTTAGGCTCTCCATAGTAGTATTTCTTAGGAAAGACATGTGCTGATTTGTTAATATGTAATTCTAGATTGATCTGGCATGTACATTGGTGACCAATGACTGGGTTTGATTCAAAACATGATCTTTGATTGTGCAACTAGTATGGAAGAGATTAAGACTTGGAAAAAAAGTCAAAGTAAAGGGTTACATTCACCTTTGTTGTTGATCACACAAAAGTAGATTAATTGACATAGATTTTCTAGCTACATGTTTCATTTAGCAGTGTCAGATTGTTCTTTCCCAGATGGCCCTCCCTTTGGTCCAAAGATGAATTGCTTGACAGAATCTTGTGCTGATAATATCTTCCTTTTGATCTGCAAATACGCAAAATACCATTTAGGTAATGCATCTCAAGACTCGATAACTAACATGAACAGATGTACCAAAAACAACTAAACCTGAATGGATCAAGCAAGTCACCAAAATCTCAACCAGAAATCTCATTGATAAATGCTAAGAATCACCCTAAATCGATCTTCTGATTCCAATTCGTTAAAAACTAATATGCTAACCAGATATTCATGGAAACGAAATCAAATTCGCAAACAAGGAAAAAATGGGAACTAACGGGATCAAGAACGTTGGGTTCGGGACCGTAATCGCCAGTTAAGAGAAAGTAGGAAGCAACAGCAGTCGCCACCATCGTCGTTCTTCTCACCACTTTATCGGTTTGAGGATTCATTTCTTCGTCTCAGCAGCAGCAACAAGCAGCAAACATTCATCTCCTAGTTTATTATAGGCGAAGATGACAGTTTCGGTGCCGTTTTTATGTTTTGCTCAGAGACTGCAATACACGTTTTCTCGAGTTAAACGACACAGCGTACGACTTGGTTAAGCACAAACGACAACCATAATCTAGATTCCATCGCTTCAGGCCGTTTTAACTCCCTATTTTATCGAGCAAAACCGCTTCGTGTTTCTAGCCTGATACTAATTTAAAGTATACGGCCCATTTATATCAATTTTTCTATTTAGTTTAGGCCCATTTAAGAGCACATGAAACTGCTTGCCGTTTTTATGTTCGATACAGAGACTGCATTTCGTGTGTGTGTGTTCTTAAAGCCTAGGAAAGTAACAATTTTGTGAATAACATTAGTTGATAAAGTGTTTCAACATATATAGGAGAGTAAAAAATTTATTTAAAACATTACAATAATAATATCCAATTTTGAGAAACTTTTATTCTGGTTAAGACCTTGTTATTTAATGATTTAGTTTAGACTATACTTTTAAATATATTAACAATAAATCCAAAAATATAATATAATCTCGATTTTACGTTATTTTTTTTTAAATGAGAAAAATAAGTACATAATAATATAACCATTTTCATCTATTTAAGGTGGTGTTATTCACTTATTATTCAGTCATTGATATTAAATTTAAGAATCTATGTGTGGATTTTGATTCTAATAATTATGAAATTCCTAAAACAATTCATTTAAAAATGACATAAATACAAAGATTGTAAAAAGTTTTTAAGTTTTGAATAACATTGGATTTTAATAAAATAATTGAAATCATAACTGAATAACACTAAACTTTAAAATCTATTAAACATGATTTACAAATATAAGATCCAATAACATCAGATTTCAAAAGATGATTTAAAATTATTAATTGAATAACATCGAATTAATGTTGGATTTCAATTTTATTAAAATTCATGATTTTTTAACAACACCCCTATTTTTTTTTTTTTTTCAGTTGACTCAAACGAATAGCAACAGAAATTAATTCACTAGACAGAATTTGTAAATGTATCTTAATAACAAATTAGATAAAACCATAATAAAAAACAAAATCAGTCAGGATATGTTTGCTAAAATTTGGAGTCGTAACCTAACTATAACGTAACCAAAACGGAGTCACAAGACCGGATTTAGTAGTATCAGATTTGTTTGGCAGAATCCTAACGGAGAAATTGACAATCCCGTTTCTTCGGCCTTGTTCGTCCCACAATCTGTAACTCAGACAGTGCATAAATCCCTCCGGCGCATATTCTCCCGTAAATTCCTTTACCGGCACACGTGCCGTTCCCACGTGCTTATCCTTCCCTGAACTCCGGCAATAAACCTGCACGTACATCACGCTTGTCGGTTCTTTCTCCGACGAAAACTCCGTCTCTAGCTTGTCCTCCCACATCGGATGATTCCCACCGACCTCGTCTAGACTCGTTCTCATTGGCTGTTTCCAGTAATTCCCGGCCATGTTGAAGGCTACGAAGGCGTTCTTATCCACCGGTTTTCTACCGTCGACAAGATCTTCCGCCGATATGGCCGTGATTTGGATTTTACGAGTCATTCTATTGCTTAGCACGCTGAAACACAGAGAATGATGAGTTTCACGAGACACTAAAAGATTGTGTTTCCTTTTTCTTTTCACGAGAGGAACTTGTGTACTTATATTAGGGTTTTTTTAAAAAACTTTTTATTCAGATTTGGAAATTAGGAAGGTGATGAGAAATTACGTACAATATAGAAGGAGAAGCTTCCGTCTTCCTTCCTGATTATTATGCTATTAATATCGGAATCAGAATAAATTAAATACTACCACCATCAAAGCCTAAAATTTTGGGAAAATAATTAAAGTAGATTTCACATAAAACCTATGTTTACTTGTACATCAAGAAAAAGAAAGCAAAGTTTAAAGAGTTATTAAACTTTATGATTCCAAGAACGAAAGCTAAAAGAAATCAAAAGCGCTTTCTTGTCACAGAAAGTCAAAATCTAAACGCCTCTCCAAATGTTTTGAGCCAGAGCAAGTGTTGCGTCTGTATTTGGATGAAATTGACTGTTTTTCCTCACTTGACATGTGACTTCGAGCATCTATTTGAAACGGCGTGTCGTCTTTTTGTCTGAGCCGTTTCAAACCTGAAGCTGGTGAGCTTCTTTTGGAGATAATGGAGGGTGTGTTGAAAGTACTCGCAGCTATCCTCAGTCTCTCTTTCATCTCCTTCACTTCCTTTACGTACACATTATCGTTGTTGCTGCTCTGTGGAGTTTCTACACTCTCTGAAACTTTTACATAAGGAGTTGTTATTAACATGTGATGATCAATTGTAGAATATGTCGTCCAATGAAATATTTCAGCCTTACCATTGAGTCTTGACCAATCTGATTCTACTGATGATGAGACGGATTCTTCTCCTCTAAGAGAACTTGTGGATGAAGGCGTGTTCCTCCAATTCATAGGTCCTAAAGTTAAATCCAAGGAATCCCTTTGAGGACACTTTTCAGCTTCCTTGATTTGAAATGTTACGCAGCTTTCGGCCATCGTGTTGCTTTGATTGAAAAAGTTGTATTCATGTATACAACTATTGATGACACCAGAGAAAAGGTTACTAGAAAACTGTTTCAATCTCTTCTTAACTGAGCAGTTCCAGTGGTTCTTAATATTATTCTCTGTCCTGTGAGTTTCCATGATCAATATTTTAGAGAACAAACAAATTATTAGAACAAGTAGGTTAAATCTACAACAATATTTTTTTTAAGTTTTTAGGACAAACCTTCCAGACAAGAGCTTGGCAATCTCTGCCCACTTATTGCCATGTTCTCTTTGCGCTTGAACGAGGATTAATTCCTCTTCTCTAGTCCATGGAGTTCTTTTAATAGTCGGATTTAAATGATTATGCCACCTAAGACATAACAAAAAGTAACTAGCTTTATGAATATGTGGACTGATATATCTAGTTCACAAACCAAATGTAAAAAGAAAAAGAAATGTAAAAGACCTTTCACGACATTGCTTGCCGATGCGACCTGGGAGTTGTTTTGCAATTTTTGACCATTGAGGCTTATCGTTCTCCATATATTCCTTAACCAATTCACTTAAGAGATCATCTTCCTGAATAGCATGCAAGATATATATATATATATATATATATGATCACTCAATAATGAAACAACATAGCAAATATATCAAGAAGGGGATCAAAAGTTACATATTTTCTCCAAGCTCCTTTGTTGAGGTCTGGATGAAGAACTTTTAGCCAACGATGCTGACATTGAACATCATTCCTCTTCTTCTCTTTCCGTGCGGGAAGACATTCAGCTAAACAGAAAACAAGAGTAACAAACTATATAGTATGTGTATATTAGTATTAGGGAAGCATTCAAAATATTATTTACCATTTTTTTCCAGTTCTTCTCCTCGTACATTTGCACAGCCTTAGTCAAAAGTTTGTCCTATAGATGATGGAAATAAGATTTCAATCACAAAAACATGAAAATTGCAAAAAAAAACAAGACAGAAGAAGAGCTACGTACCTCTTCGGATGTCCATCCTCCTTTAGTTGATCTTCGGGTTGGACCACTCACTCTTCTGTATCTTTAACCACAAAAACAAACATCAAAAATCAATCATAAGATCAAGCCCCAATGACAAATAAACATATACATAAACTGATCATAATTTTCCCAAAATTATTTCATCTCCAATGTTAACCATATTACACCATCGAAACCTCAATCACATATATAAAACCTCTAAATTCATTAAGTTGCGACAAATTATACACCAAATCACATAATTGAGGAGCGAAAAAGGTTGATTAAGGGACAAAAGCAAAACACATAATTCTAGTAATATGCAAAAAAAAATCGAGTGTGTATAGACTTTTCGTAACTCGCATACAAAATTAAGTTCCGTATATTCCATGGCCATCCATGAATTTGTCAGGTCCACGTTACTACAAGAAAAAAAAGTTAAGACTTTTTTATTTTGAAGAGACGGAGGAAGAGAAACATACCCTTGAGAAGAGTTATCAATTGCAAAAGTAGGAATAACGTTGGTGCTGTTATCAGACTCGGACTCGGATCGATTCAAATCAAAAGATTCTGTCATAATTTCTCAAGAAATTGATAAAACCCTAATTAAACCCTAGTTAACATCCACATCTTAACGAGAATATATATCGAAGAAACTAACTATATATATATCTTTCTTAAACTATAACTCGAACTGAGAAGAAATTTCAATCGCAAAAAATCCTAATCTATGAGAGGAAGACTTGAAATCGTTGTGGCACGAGTAGAAGGAGGAGAGACTCAAAAGGATTTTCTGTTTAGTAACGGTTACCCATAAGATCTTTTTATGCATAAAGAAGGAGATACACTAGGTCCGTTTTTCTCTCTACATTTTTTATAATAGTATTTAATTTTTTTCTTTTTCTTGGAAAATGTTTTTTTTTGGATTAAAATCCAATGTTATCTTTTTTATAACAAAAATAAAAATAATAGACAAATAGAAAAGATTCTGAAGATCTTTAGTTTGTTCACGATAAATACATCGTCATGAATCCCTAACAATTAAAATGTGGCTTGTCTGTGAAATCAAATTGAAAGGGAAATCAATCTTGGCTGTACCACGAACAAAGGGATCACAACAGCAACCTAATTTTTGAAAAGCTAATTAACAATAACAAGTCGTAAACTTTTTTTATTAGATAAACACATTGAAAAAACAAATATAAATAGCTAGTGATTTAAAGCTTTAATTTGTTTGTTGAAAATAACTAGTTGGGACGGCTCGAGGACATGTACGTACGTTGTGGCCGAGGTAGTGACATCGACTGCACCTATGAATCCTTGTTCCTGCATAAGGGTTCTGCAAATTCAATGTATAAAATCTTTTTAGTTCTACTTATAAAATGTGAAATGAATAATTAAGTAGAATTCATTGAGAATATGAATGAGTGTTGTGAGAGAATTAGAGACATATTACTTACAGTCTTGTAGATAACTGGATAAGGACAAGTTGTGCAGTTATGTCCAATCTCTTTGCACCTTGAACACACTTGGTACTTCTCTTCCTCAGCTGTTTCTCTGTTGAGCCAGATTTCGCTCTTCACGTAATCATGTGACTTGCATATATAATGAAATATATATGAGATTTAAAAGCCAATGAGAAACAATGAGAAAGAAGATTTTAGTGAATGTTTGTACCTGAGCTGCTTTTCTACGGAAGTGTCTGTAGAATGTTGTTTTAGAGTAAAACTTTTGTCTTGTTCTTACATTCAAGTAGTACTGTTATTTGAAGCAGAAACTCGAAAGGTAAGAGATCTAGTTTTACACCATAAAAGTTGTAAAATATATGAAGGTATAAAGAATCAATGATGAGCAATAACATTTTGAGACAAGAATCCAAAGTTAGATACTTCGATGTTACGGTAAAAAAAGGTTTGAATGATCGATCTTTATTAAAAAAGATAGTTGAAGCCATTACTACTAAACACAAGTGTAATCCACATCATCTTGCATATGCATTTGTTGGTATCTCTTCAATGAACTGTACTAAGTACTAACTATTAACATCTAAAGCAAGACACATTAAGAGCTTCACATAACTCACTAGACACCAACAAGTATATATATGAGCCGTATCAGTATCATAGGAAAAATCTCAAACCCTTTAGCTTCAATAAAAGTTTTGTTTTTCTTTTTCACAGCAAAAGAACTCTAACTCTACTTAAAAATTTAGCAAATATATAGATTAATTATATGGAATGCATCAAAAGTCCAATGAAAGTAACCCAGTAATGCACACGAGTTACTCATAGGTTGCATGGTTTTCTTATTAGCAATTATCTAGTGCTCCAATACGAGCAATATATTGGCCACATAAGTGGCACATACAAATTTCAAAATGATACAGCTTATGTTTCTTCCAATGGAATCAAATACCAAATTTTACGATCAGACTTGTGTCATCATACATGTTCCACAAGATGAAATCCCACTTCTCCATAAAAATCCCAAAATGTTGCAAATCTCACAATTTACAGTATATACTCATGCATCTTAGCATACATTTTTATCCAAAAAAAAAACTTAGCTGATTCAATCCCAAGAGTATAAGAGTTGTGTTACAAACTAATTAAACCTCAAAAGCTCCAAATCCACACGGATTGTCAGTATCATCGTAAATCTAAACAAAAAAATCATATATAATTCAGCCTAAATAAAATCACAAATTCAAACACAAGAGGTTATAGATGCCATGAATAAGGGATAAGTACATGCAACAGAAAACAACACATGAAGACATGTAATCGTAATCAATACAAAGAAAAGTTAGAAGATTATGAATACCGAATTAATAGCTCGACCGCTTCTACTGATTTGATAATGAGTGACCCACAAGTCAGGCAAGAGGATTGTTTGCTTAGCCTCTTTGTTTCTGGTGGATCTGGTCTTAGCCATATCTGTAACTCTCGAACTGATCGAAAAATGTCTCCTTCGAAAATAACATCCTTTGGTTTGGACAAGAAGATAAAAGTGTTGTTGTCTCAGTGAGGCTAGAAACTCCACGTGTTGGCATAGCTTTGACCAGCAAATTTTGAACTCATTATATCGTATTTCCTTATACAGAGAAGAATTGGATAGAGACTTAAAAACAAAATTAGGTTTTTTTTTCTTTTCTTCTAAATGAGAGCATCGGCGAGAAGAACAACCATCAAGTACACTAAAGAACCAGCCGTTACAAACTTGAATACCTCCCTCCTGATACGTCGCCGTTTGCCATAACCAAGTCCAATCAAATTCAGTTTTGTCAACTTTTACATTTTGGTCAAATATTTTCAGAACAAATTTGTCTCCACAGTGATTTGTTGATTTATCTAAATAATCCCAAATCTTAGCTATATATGTACCTAGTTAATCCATTATTTGAAGTTTTGAACCAAAAAAAGAAAGGTAAAATCAGTCCGATATGAAAGTACCTTACTTATTAATTGCGGATTAGCAGCAATTAAAGTTTCACATTAACTTATGTTAGGCGTTTTTAGTTTTAAAGAAAGAGAGACATGTAGCTGCCTGTTTTTCCCATAGATTCAGAGGAAAAGTCTTGGATATAATACAAAGAAAACAGAGACTTTTAATAACAACCAAAGATGAAATTGTGGGTTTGGATTGAATGGATCATTACTCATACTAAACAAGGAATCCAAATATTATTGAAATGTTGCTTGCAAGTTAGAAATAACAGAAATCCAGGAGGCACTCGAAAGAAAAGAGAAACAAATTGACCTGAGAACTATGCCATATGGATACAAGAGTAAATTGGGCATTGGACCTCACCCACCAAATGCAAACAGAATCTCCTTCTTCTCTACAGATACTTTCTTGCAAGTGCACGTACTTTGGTGTCAAAATGTGACGACGTAATCCGAGAACCAGGAAGATACAAGGGGTTCAGAAGAATCTGCATGAAACAAACGATTCTGATGATGGTGATGGAAACCGAATCAGGACAGTACCAACAACTGCGGATTTACCTTTATATAAAGCTCATGCACCTCTTGAAGAAGCTCTTGATGCCGTCCTCATTGCGAGAATCATGAAGGAGCATGAGTCGGGTATGTGTTGATAAATTAAGGAAGAAACAAATATTTACAACTGGAGATGAATCTACCACGCTGACACTATTTTAGATGAATGAATCAGAAGAAGCAAACTTATTGCACTTGAATTTCAAAGGGCCTAAAGTAGTTCCACAAAAAAAGGATATGGCCTGCGGTAACATACACTGACACAACCAGATCGTTAAACCTGTCTACTGACTTCAAGAACCTGAGTAGTTATATGATAATGAGATGAATCCTTGAAACATAATCGAAATTTTCACTAGGGACTTTACTTACATGGCACTTGTAGTCCATGCTAGGTCTTGGACAACATCTAATGCGGCATGTAATATAAATTGGTGCAACTGAGCAGCATCTTCTCTCTGCCAAATAGAAAGAATGGTTTGAGAGACTGATTGATTGCTATTGTTAGACAACACACTAATTGCTATCGTGGTTGAAACATATATCTACCAGCAAGATGAAAGTATCAAACCAAAAAGGAGAAACTTTCAATATTAAGCAAGTATAAGCAACCCTACAATAGACCAGAGACCGATTCGTCATGCAATTCCTGTTCAGCAAGCCTGCTTGCTTGGTCATGAAAACAGTGTGAAACTTTATTACACCAAAAAGATGTTGATCAATAGTACTAGCCAACCTTTTCAAATCACCAGCTAAATGAACAAAAATGATAAATCAAATTTCTTATCCTGGATATTTCCATCCGAAGGAAGCTAAATGATCTTTGCACCTCTTCTGTGACAGTTTCAAAGGGTTAAATATTGAGTGTTAAACTGTGACCAGGAAACCAAAGTCAAAATAAGGAGCATGGAGGTATGTTACGGACTTGTTCTCTAATCTTAAAGATTCCGAACCTAGGATTATGGATCCAACGGAACATGGATGTGAAAAAAAAATGAGGAGAACGGAGCAAAAAAGCAGGATTATGGAATGTACTTTGGCAGCAGATCCAACTTCAGCTTCATAGATGGGAATATCATTCCGACCCACAATAATAAAGCAGGCAATGTTAGCCATTCAATCTCTCGTCTCTAACTAGAAGAAACTAGATCTTGTGTTCCCTGAAACACAAAATCAAAAAGAATAAAAATACAGATATCAAATTTCAGTATCCATCTTGGCTCTTATAAGCTTGTGCCCACCCACCCTTGTTCATTAACTAAGTTTTGGAGGAAAGAAACCTAAGCTAGAAACTTATCATATCCACGACATTGCAAATTTCATTTTCTAAGGCATCACCACTCTTGATCCAGAAACTAGCTATGGAATTAAAGGATTAAGGCAGAGAAATGTGTTCCCATTTCTCAAACTGTAAGGTCAATTGGTCGATTCAACATCTCTGTGTATAAACGTTGCTCCCCTTGCCTTGCTTTCGTTTCAGATTAGTGAAACTAGGGGTTATTCGTCACAACGATCAAGTCGACGCAACAAGTAGATTAGAAACAATCAAATAAGTGTCACTCTCATACCTCCCCAAAAGACAGAATCTCTTTCAATCCTAAACAAACTACTCTCATTAACAGTGCAACAATACAAATCCAACCAATCTCTATCCATACTCTTCTATCCTGGAAAGGTAAACTGTGACTCAAATTGCAGTGCATCTCAGAGAAACCAAGCAGAGAGAGTCAAGGGAACATGAAATTGGAAGAGAAATTATATGTTATGTTAAAAGAGACTTTAAACTAGACAACTTAAGAAAATGTGTGTTTCATAGCAATGAAAGAAAGAGCTTTAGAAAACCAGAGTGCCAAAATTAGAGAAAGAGAATCTAGCAAAGTTGGGGAGTTACTGACCAATCATTAACAAAATGTAACCAGAGATGTCTATCAAATTCAACCCCGTCAAAGCGAGCAAGATCTAAATCTACGATTCATCAGGATTCACCAACCAGATAACCATGATTCATCATAAGTTTCAGAACCCAAAACGAAAACCTGCAGCTAAGATGAGAACATACATGTAGCTGTAACGATTTGTCTTCGCCGAAAATCTGTAGAGTTCGCCGGAAACAGATTCTTCCACGGAGAGAGTAGAAAAGCTTAGTTAGCCTGAATCCATGATGGTGTGGTGATGTAATTCTTTAATTCTATTAGGGGTATTTTAGTCATTTGCAAATCTGGGTACCTGTCGAGATACTCCATCTAAATCGTATTAAAACGAACATCATTCAGCAGCTGCATCTGAATGTACAAACGAACCGCGCCATATATGAAAAATCTAACTTTCATGTTAATATATAGTATATAACATATCATCAAAATGTGTTAACCAAAGCCATAGAATGATTCAAATGATACATTGACTTATACACAAAGATAATCCCAATAATACGCAGGCAAAGGAAATAAGAAACAGTCAAACGGTCAATCTTCCTTGAGAGTATTTCGTGAAGAAGTGTTGAGAGACAAGCCAAGATCTCTGCACAACTCTTCATCAGGCTGCAAGCTTCCAGGTATAGCACCAAAAGCTGTTCTTGATGCTTCAAATCCAGACGCCAAGAAATGAATATACGCAGACATATCCTCCAGATTTTTCCCCATACTAATCGAAGACGACGCAAACACACTTTTCTTTGATAAGTTTGATTCTGCTCTTGATAACCGGCTCAGATCAGAGGCTTTTATAAATCGTTGTGTAGCAGCTTCCCATGATAGTTCATGCCTCTGCTTCTCTGTTAGTTGCAATGGTTGTTCCCCAAGAGCCTTGACCGTGGCTCTAACAAAACCTTTTCCATCGTCATAGGTTCTGCAGTTGGGAAACTGTTTGAAGAACTCGTTCGATATGTGATTCGCGCACACTACGATTTTTCCCATCGCCAAGGCTTCTGCAGTTGTTGTGCAGACAACGTCGGTCGTGCTGGGGTTGAGAAACACTTTATAGCTGAAATAGAAGATGGAAAAGTTTGAGCTATATATACATAGGATCCGATAGACTGCAAGGAAATCAATGTATAAGGTCATGATGCATATGTGAGGCTGTTAAACTAGAGACTTACTTGTGAAATAGTGAGTCAGCGTGATCACGTCCTGGGTAAACTTTAACCGACAACTCTAGTTTTCGGGCTGCTGCTTTGATCTCTTCAGAGTCCTCTCCATCACCGTATAAATCAACCTCTAACTCAGGGAGTTCCTTTTGGTGTTTCTCAAGTAGTTTAAGAAGCTCCTTGTACCCTTTGCTCCAGACCATCTTACCAATGTAGTATGCGCCTTTAGTGAAGGGCTGCTCCTGGAGCTTCTGCTGTTCTAGTTTTCTCAACCCAATCTCCAGAAATTTAGGGTTGACACCATGAACGTTGCAGACTATAGATTTAGGGTATTCTTGCGTCGCAGCAGATAACCTGATTACCTGCAGGAGTAACATCATTGGTACAAGTCCTGATTCACATCAAAAGGACCGGCCATAATATTGGTCACAGGCCAACAAACTGTCTTGATCTTCAAATTAAACCCACCATTGGATAACCATACTTAGAAACCAATATATTCACATAATTGAGCAATCACTTCATCATGTCCTAGTGGCTGTAAAGAAGTTTACCTTGTGGCAGTAAATGCCAACAACCCAACTGTTTAAGTACTTGAGGAGAAAAGCTTTGACGCGGCCTTGTTTCTCTCTTTTTACGTATTCCAAGTAGTTGGTGTGTACGATTCCTATGACGTAGTTGAACTTAGTTTTCCATTTTTTGCCATGATGAAACCATGTGAGATGCTCAGGCTCCTCGAGGACAGCAATGTCTGCCTCTTCATCAGGAATGGCATCAGATATATCCCCAACAGGAAGAATACTTCTTTTGTCCGTAGCAAACTGCCATAAGATAAATTGAATTGCTAAGGTTGGTATAACACAGTTACAGAGTAATACGTAAAAGTTACTGTCATCTGAAGAAAACACTCAGCAAGGTGAGATGGAAACTAAACTAAGAGAAAAAAAATCAGTACTTAACATGGAATTAACATTCACAGGTACCAATTAATTCACACGCAAAAAGAGAGAAAACGATATTCATGGCAAAAATGTGGAAATTCATAAAAGAGATAAATCTACAACACGAATGGTTAACGAGAAGTAATAACGTGCATGAACATGCACATATAAGTAAGACATGAAGTAAATGCAAATTCATGTAAATTACAGAAAGACATGACAGATAGAGAAAGCACAGACGGTAATAGAAACAATCTATCTCCATTTGGAGACTCGGAGCCAAAAAGGGATCCTTATATGTATGAGCAAAATATAGACATATGAGCACACAAACACAAATTCACATACATAAGTTAGAAAGAGCACATACCATATTAACAGAAAGCACAAATAAAAGTGAGATGAAGAAAGATAACACATATGAGTTGAAAAATTAAGATTAACAATGATGTGATGGTTAAGGAAAGTGGGAAAGAAATGGAAAGATCTCTGCTCTATATCATACGGGAAGTGAATATGAAACGAAGCAGTATGTTTTAGGTACCCAAAAGAAGATTCTAGAGAAAGGGCAAGCTGAGTCATACCTTTCCAGGATAGAAACGTATCTCAAAGCCTAAAGGAAATGAGACTCTATCCTCAAGCCAGTGGCGGACATAAGCCTCATGCTCTGATGGGGAACTAAAAGTGATGCTATTTGGGTAGACAAGCTTTTGGTGCTTCACTGTCAGCCATGGAATCACCAAAGTGACTCGTCTTTCCCCGTCATTTGCAAGGTAGGCAGCACGGAAAAGAGGATTAACAGCAGTTCCGGTAAGCCATGGAATACTAGCTGTGGTAAATATGGCAATGTGTTGCTGCTGCTGTTTCGTCATATCATCTCAAGCTAAACCTCTACGGCTGAAAAATATGTACAATTTCAGTTATGTGGTTATAGAGAGATTCAACAGAAGCTATCTTTTTCAAAGCTTCTGCTTAAGGAAGATCAAGTAGAGTAAATTATCAAACAAAAAGGCTAAAACCAATAGATTCTTTCATCACTGATTATTGCATCTTCCCAATAAGGGGAATTTTCGACTACAATTCTGTAAATTCAAACAATCTTTTCACAGAGCCTCGACGATTCAAGCGATTTGAGATCAGATCAAACAACAACAAAATTACTAGAAGAATCTTCTAATTGAAGCCATACCTGTAGGATTCCAATTCAGAAACAATCTTTGAATTGATTAGATTTTATGAAAGCTGATTCGCGTCGAGTTGGGAAAAAAAAGACAAGGAACAATATTCTAGGGAGAGAATATTCTCGGAAGGTCTTCTTCTTCTCTTCGCTGGTTTTTCAAGTCATTGTTTATACGAAGTTCGTTCACAGGTTTGGTTGGTCTTCGCAGGATCCTCCAATCTCCAACATTCTTTTTCCGCCAAGTCTAGAACGAAGAAGAATCATAAACGACTTTGCGTGTCTAGACTACGTGCCGTTTCTTTTACATTTAAACATCGTCAAGTTTCACTTTCCAAGTTAAAAAAAAAAGTGTCGGGATTTGATGAGTGTAATATGGGCTAGGCCCAATAAAAATCAAACGAATTTGCGTGTCTAGTAGACTACGTGCCGTTTCTTTTACATTTAAACATCATCAAGTTGGAGAGATCCCAAGTTTCTGAATCAGTTTAATTACGTCTATAGAGATATCTGCTGGTGACACCACGCCGCGATCAACCTGAGAAATTAAAACAGCTGAGACTGATTCAACATGTGAGTGAGTGAGAGATCATTGATGAAACCCTTACACTTACCGATGATGCAGACACATCTTTAATCAAGGACAAGTCGTATCATCTTAATGCTCTAACTAAACCAACATCCAAAAGCAAGCTCTAACTAAATACTTGACAAACCCAGCCCTCACTAAATGCTCATCAATGCATCTCTGTTACTTAATTTATTTGCCTATGAAAACAATTTTACTATTGTAGAAACTAAGAAAGAGCTATAAGCCGGCATTACTATCAAACATTCTTACTGTTTTACTGTCGATCGCCGCCACATTAATTGTTGATCATTTTGAAACATACTTAACAAGTACGTACAGTCCACAAAAATAAAATAAAACGAGATGAAAATGTGCATAGGTCAACCCAACATTTGCCGCTAGAAGTAGAACAAACCAATCACCAACAATAGAAGAACAACACCATTCCATGGGCCAAGTACTCTTTTTCTTCTTCTTCATGTCCTCCGTTTCTTAGAAGAATTTCCCTACAATGTTTTAGTTTTCATTATTAAAAACCCCAGAATTCTAATGATTAAAAATCTCAACGTTATCAGATGTTAAAAACCAAATGCACATCCAGTGGAAAATAGGTAACATGGGTCAGATTCAGGCTAAACAAAACTAGAACTGAGAAAGGAAAACTACTTGTGGTAAAGAGGTTGTTCGACTCAAAAGTATAGTTAGACAGTGACAACGTATTAACACAAAAGTATGCCCAGTTTGGCTTGGATGCTTGTTTACCTCATGTGAATGGCTTCGACTAGAGAGATGCTTGGTGAAACTTTTAAAGCTTCTGCCACCAACATTATCGCATAGTAAGCAATACCACTCACCCGTTTCACTGCAAGTATCCACTTCAAGAGCCCCTGAATCTGGGGGGGGAGTAGCTAGTTCAGCAACAGATTTGTTAGTTATTTCAACAACAACACTGTGAGAGAGGACAAACACACACCTGCCAGAAGAGAGCTTCCCCAGAGGATGGAGTCTTGTTTAGGAGAAGAATAGGAAAACGGCCGGAAAAGGTTGTATCCATTCAAAGGTAGAGGGAAGCCTCTTGGATCGCATATGCCCAAAATATTAGCTGGGGGTGGATTCGTAGAAATCCACTGAGACATAAGCGACACAATGTCTGCGGAACCTGTTTCAGAAACTAAAGACTTCAGACTGTGTATTAATCATCCTGTAGGAATCAAGGCATAAGCATGAGAAGATATTAACCATGGGGGGCGTAATAAAGAGTGATTCCTGTGGAAAAGAGAGTTTGAAGGATGTCATCATGGACGTCTGTTAGTTTGCCAACGGCGTAAATGGTGGGAGGAGCAGAGTAGCCATGAGATTCCAACAACCGAATGATGCAGGGACGGACCAGACGAGCATCAAAGCCAGGTGGAACCGGAAACATATTGATGTCCCAAAAGACCGATGTTACAGCCTCAGCCTCCTCCGGAGTAGCCTTCTACAGAAGTGAAAAAGGAAAACTATTGGTAGGAGGTTTTGAAGCAGATAAAAGCAGGTTCAAATAAAAACTAAAATTTAGAAATGTCAACGTTATCAGATATTGAAACTTGCCTCTGGTTGATGCCTCACAATGGTGGGAGGGTTCTCATCCTCGTCCCTCAATCTCGGCAAGGGTAGATAATCCTCGACAGGCAAGTACTCCCTATACTGTTTATAAAATAAAAAAACAAATGCCATCCAATGGAAAAGGATAAAATGGCGTCAGATTTAGCCAAGCAAAGCGAGAAATGAGAAAGGGAAAACAAGTAATGGGGTTGTTTGACTCAAAAAAACGTATTGACACAACAAGTCTGTCTGGTTTGGCTAGGATGCTTAATTACCATATCTTTATGTTCTTGGGAAGAGAGATGACCGGTGAAAGTTTCAAAGCCTTCGCCATGAAGAGATTTGCATGCTAAGCAAGACCAGGTGGCGGATTCAACCGTTTCACTGCACTTATCCTCCTGAAGTGTTCCTGACACTGCGGGAAAATAAAAAGCTAGTTGAGCAACTGGTTTTATTTCAACAACACTGTGAGAGAGGAGAAATACACCCACCTGTCAGAATTAAGTTAATCCAGCTGATGGAGTCTTCTTGTTCAGGAGAAGAACATGGAAACGGACTGAAAAGGTTGAATCCACTCTTAGGTGGAGGGAAGGCATCCGGATCGCATATGCCCAAAAGATTAGCTGGAGGTGAATTGTTGCGCATCCACTTAAACATAAGCGACATGATGTCTGTGATACCTGTTGATCAGAAGAAAAATTAGAAACTCTCTGTACAAACAGAAGAAACTAAGGGCTTAGAAACTCTCTATATAAACAGAAGAAACTAAAGACTAGAAACTCGAATATACTGACCGAAGGGGGAGTAACAAAGAATGATCCCAGTGGAAGAGAGAGCTCGAAGGATGTCAACGTGGACGTCTGTTAGTATGCCAACGGCGTAGATGGTGATAGGACCAGAGTAGCCATGAGTTTCCAACAACTGATTAATGCACGGACGGACCCGACGTGCATCAAAGCCAGGGGGAACCGGAAACTCCTTGATGTCCCAATAGACCAATGTTACAGCCTTAGCCTCTTTCCCCGTAGCCTTCTTCATCATATCGCTAAGAACAGAAATCAAAACATAGATTTTGACACGGTTAAATCACACACCTATAGTAAAACGCGTGAAAACACTGCATATAATCTATAAGTGTGTCTTTTTCTTTTCTTTTTTTGTGGTCAAACAATCTATATATAGGTGTGTGAAAATGTTGTTGTTCTTGACAAGAGAAAAAGTCATCAAATGTTATTCCACCTAGTTAATAATGCTATAAAATTTTGAATAAATGTTTTTTAATAGAACTGAACATAAGCATCTTAACCGCATATGGAATAGGTTTCATATTTGTGTTATAGAGAATTTTCAACAGAACCTATATAGGAAGTAGGAACAATGAGTTGCGTAATCATCAGACAAAATGACTAAAACCAATAGATTATTCTAATCATTCAGTTGATCAGATTTTCGCATCTATTCCCAATAAGGAGAACTATTTCAACTACAATTCTAATATACTCTGTGAATTCAAACAATCTTTTACAGAGCCTAAAGCGATTCCGAAAGAATTCCAATAACATCTGAAGAGAAACATTTCGAAGAGAGATCATGGGAGGATATGAGATTCAGACTCAAGGGTTAATCTAACACCATCTTTGAAAGAAGTTGGAGAGATCTCAAGAGTCTGAATCAGTTTAGTTATGTCCATAGATATATCTGCTGGTGACGCCACGCCTCGATCAACCTGAGAAAACAGCTTTTACTGACTGATCTGCAAATAATCCTTTTATAGCTGAGAGAGCCTTACAAACATACCAATGATGCAGACACATGTTTAATCAAAGACATGTCATATCCTCTGACTTCTGCAACCACTTGAGCCATTTGAACACGAGATAGCCTCTCAGGTCCACCAGCATTCAAAACCAGCTGCATCTGTTTTTCATCTGAAAGCAAGCAACAACATTTTGTTATGATTCTACTTATGATGCAGATAGACAGAGAGACTCAGGAGAAAAAATCTACCTGAGACGACCCATCTGTCTATTAATTTCAAAGTGATATTCACGAGATCCTTAACGTAAATGGGGCAACGAAACTCATCATGGAAGAACTCTACCGTGTCTCCCTTCTTCAAGGAGCTATCAATCCACTAAAACATAAAGAAGACCAGTTTCATGGCAAACTCAATGATCTTCTCAAGTGTATATAATTATATCTGCGAAATTGTGTTAAGAGGCACCTGAATTGGGAGAGTCTTGGGGAGAGGTGATACAGTTTGAGGACCAACGATGATACTACTTCTCAATATTGCAAAGTTTTGACACTTATCCTTAATGAGAAGCTCTGCTGCAACTTTTGATTTTCCATAAACGTTGACTGCAACAGTCTCATCTTCTTCCTTGTAGAAAGACTTGACACCTTCATATACTGAAATTGAGACAGTAAAACCAAGTCAAAAAGCCTAAGTCATGAGTGATTAATGATGATTAACAGTGGCTAACGCAAATGACAACTAACCTTGATCAGTAGAGAGATGAATCAGCAAGGTTTTGTTTCTCTCAAAAGTTGATAACCAGTTTACAAGAGAAGTAGGCACGTTGATGGACATGGCGGAATCTGGATCTTGCTCGCAAGCTCGTGGAACAGACAGAGCAGCACAATTCACGACCACATCAGGCTGTAATCAATGGAGAACAGAGAGTCTAATAATACACAGATTCATGTCCATTGACCAGGTAACGAAGAAATCGAAGCAATAGAAAGCATAATCGAGCAAGGGGTTACGGAATCGGCGACAGACCTGACCAAAGTCCAGGGATATGGAATTGAACCCTAAACCGGATTTGAGATCGACAGGAAACGCGGGGAAATGAGGGAATGCGTCGAGTAAACGGCGGGGAAGTGGAGAAGAGTGGTGAGTGAAAGCGACGTCGTATAGATCACAGCCATTGTTGCCGGCGAAAGCTTGAAGCAGATGCTGACCCAAGTATCCCGTACCTCCCACAATTACCACTTTTGTTTTCTCCATAGTTTCCCCGATCATTCTCCGGTGTTTGTCTAATTTTAAATGTTACTCTTTTTCTTTCGCCAAATCCCTTGGTTTAACTTTAATCCACTAGGAACAATGGTAAAGCAGATTCAAAGGAAAATGTAGAAGAATGGTATGAAGATATCATTATTGCCAAAAGAAAAGTATATAAAGAGTTTTTAATCTTTCATCAGACATAATCGTAACAAGTTGTAAAAATGTCAAAAAGAAAGGACAAGTACAGGTGGTGACCTAGAACTAAACCCTGTTCTTGTTCTTAAGCCCTCTTTTGGCATTGTCTTTTTTAAAACATATCACATTTTGAAGATAAAGAATGTTGATCACAAAGGAAAAAAATGGGAAGATTTTGTCTTTTGGCTTTCTATGAAAGCTGACAAGAGTTATATAGTCTATTTCTCGTGAACGAGAGGGCTGTAAACTGGGAACCACATGTTGCGTGTGATGTAATTCACTGTGTCCTCCTGTTGGCATAAAAAAAAGATGCAATTAGCTTCCATTTTCTAAGTACCCTTAAACATGTTTTGATACAAATAAATCTCAGTTACTTGATACCTTAGACATGTGGCCGAGATCTTTGGGACCAACATCACCATGTCCTTCTGCAATGTCATCAGTAACCGCAGCTCGTAGAACAGCTGCCCCGACTTCAGCTGTTATGTGTCGGATGCTGCATTTTTGTTCAGAAACCAATTGCTTCACATAACAGTTTTAAGATACTTACAAATAAATATCAACAGATAAGAATGAGAGGGAATTAAAGGAAATACTTGTTGATTGAAGGGTAAAGTATGCCTTTTTGGACTTCTTCGTCGGTCATGTACGAAGCAAGGCTGTGTATGATTGGATATATTAATGGTCAGCATTGTTATAATGCTCAATTTTTAATAGTTGAAAACAGAAGAGAACCAAACGCAAGCATTACCATTCAGAAGCTGCTTGCAGCATTCCATCAGTAACGATACGTGCACCAGAGAGAAGAGTCCCTAGCCCGATCCTGGAAAGGATAATGGCCACATTAATCCTGTAAAAATCTATGGATTGAAATGCAACAAAGTGAAACAGTTTTCAAGAAAGAAAACGAACCCCGGGAATAGGTACATGTTGTTAGCCTGATTCACATGTCCTACTTTACCATTATCTGCAAGTGGGACAAGAAAATGTGATTAGTTTTAGATTGTAGCAAATTAGATACAAAAACCATTGATGAATCCCACCATAACATACCAAGTTCAACGTTCTCAAATGGGCTTCCACTTGCAAAGACTATGTTTCCTCCGGCGTGCTTGAAAGCATCAACAGCAGTGCACTCGGCTGTCAGAAAAAAAAAGTTCAGGGCAGATTTTTCAAAGATAGTGTTACATTACTTTGCAAAGCTAAAAACACAAACCATTCAAGGTGGGATTCGACATAGCAAAAATGGCAGGCTTGCATGAGTCAGATTCTCGCATCGCCTTGAGAACCTTTGATGATTGAAACCAGTAAACCATATAAGTAAAACTGTTAAAATTCATATATCATGGAAGTATTTGTTGTCTAAGAAAGTCACATACTTCTTCATTGAAGATACCACCAACTCCAGATAAACCAAGAAGAACATGTGGCCTCACTTTCTTCACCTGAAAACATTTTGAATTTAGACAGAAATATTATAAAATGATTATGTCTAAGTTTTGGGTACAGTAAAAAATATGGTTGATCCTGTGTTGCTTTAATATGTAGTAGAGAAAGAACACTAAGTCATAGTTTAATATTGGGTAAGGCAAGAACGCAATAAGACTTAGGCTTACCACTTCAACGATACTTGCTCCCTCACGTATCTCAGCTGGATTTTTGGCAAAAAGCACAGCTCCTGGGTCAAGTTTTGTCCTTTCCGTGGTGACAAGACCCTGAAGACCAAATCAGTCGTTTTCATTATATATTCAAAGGAGCACGATCTTATGTGGCAAACAAATGAGATAACAATATGTTGACCAATGCAAAAAGAATGGCTATTGGATAACTTTTTAAACGTTTTCTGACTTTTTCTAGGTAAGCTCTTACTGGATAGATTAAAACAACATCTAAAAGCAAGCTCTAAAAATTACAATAATATGACAGCTTCAAAGTCAACTGACCCGTGGAACTACGCAAGCTTAATTATCTATTATCAAGCAAGACAATCCGATTCAGATGAAGTCAAGTAGGGGAAAACAGAAACTTACATCTTTATCTATTAGGTAAAAGTTTTTTGTTGCATCAATCTCGCTGATACCTGCCATTCTTGCAACTGCCTGTACTGCCATCTTAGTTACACCAAGCCCTGCACTGAAAGTAATAAAAGAAAAATAAAATGCGAAGATGAGAAGAAAGTTAATGCAAAAATATAAATACAGTAGTAAACGATTTCAAATGAATATCCAAGTACCTTCCAGCTCCTACCACAACAATCTTTTGATTCACAAAGTCGGATAAAGGCCGACCTTGGGCTCTTACAGTTCCCAATAGTCCAGCCAGTGCAACACCAGCAGTTCCCTGAGAAGTCATACACAAACCTTATCATTAAAAAAAAGATGTACACAAGGAGTAGATATGATGTAAAGCAACTGGATTGCAATCATGAGAGCATACCTGGACATCATCATTGAACATGCAAAATTTCTTCCGATATCTATCCAATGTTTCGAAAGCCCATTTCGCTTGGAAATCTTCGAACTAGTATGATAGAATGAATCATTTAGTCATCCTTCCAACCAAAAGATAAATCTAAAGAAGATACTAAATGATATATACCTGTACGACGGCCTTTGGCCAACGTGTAAATGCAGCTTCCATAAATTCATCAATAATCTCAAGGTACTCCTCTCCTTCCAACCTAGGTTGTCTGACTCCTAAATCTGTAGAATGGGAAAGACACACGAATGAGATATTAAGGAAACACATCTACACCACATCGACCAATTAAGTTCACAGCTTACAGAGATCATTCTGTAGGAGCTTTTCATTATTTGTGCCCACATCCAACATAATTGGCAAAACCTGCAGAAGAACAAGCATATAATTTCGAATAAGGAGATGAAACTTTTCTTATGTACAGCTAAAAAAAAAAACACAAGAACATGTTGAGATCCACATACTCTCTGTGGATTGATTCCTGCTGCAGCCACATACATGTCGAGCTTTCCGATAGGAATCCCAATTCCCTGGACTCCAAGGTCTCCTAAGCCCAAAATACGGCTACCATCAGTGATGACAATCATATCTACCTGCTGAGCTGGCCAGTTATAAATCATAGACATCATCTCTCCTTTGTCTTTGGCACTGAAGTACATTCCTCGTGGTCTTCTATACAAACCCGAATAGTTCTGACAAACCAATCCAACCGTGGGAGTGTATATAATGGGGGCAAAATCTTTGATGTTATCAATAAGGACCTGCAGAGAAGAAGAGTTATGAATCAGAAGGGATGTGGCATGTGATAAATAAATAAAAAGACAGTTAGAGCCAAACACTCACTCGGTAGTACAAAGTCTCATTACGGTCATGCAATCTATTCAATATCCTCCATTTAGCTAATGACACAACGTTTTCAGGCTGTCCTGCCGTATTCCTCTCTAGCGAACGAAAAGACTCAACTGCCAAAATATGTTTGATACCAAAGTCTCAGAAACCCAAAAAGAAACATCTCAGAAACATAACAATATATGGAAATGGATCCAAAGGTGTCATCATAACTTACTGAAACGATCATATTGCTGTTCACAGGTCATAACACGAGGAGGAAGCAAGCCTCGTATCCCCAATCTATCTCTCTCAGTCAAAGGAAAACCTGTGTCCTGCAAAAGTAGACAAACAAGCAACAAAGAGACCATAACAACAACCATCAGCATTATAACTTAAATCAATTTAGAACCCTAAGATCAGAAGATCGAAAAATAAAACACACAACCTTATTGAACCATGGATCGTGAAGAATATCAGCACCACGCTTGTGGACGATGCAAGGACCAGGAATCGCTGTGGAGAAGCACCGCCGAGATCCGTGGGTTCTTGCCGCAGCGGCAGCCTTAGAGAACCCAGCAATGTTCTTCCACATCATCGGTCTCTAAAATCACTCAAGATCCGACCCAAACACAATTCAAATGATTTTGACAAGTTCAAACAAAGAAATTGAGAAGAAAAAAACAGAGAGAACAATAATGATGGGGAAAACTCTGGAGTCAAAACTTTATAGAGAAAGCTTTAAGCGTTGATCGCTTCTTCTTACGTTTCCAGTGTGAATTGGATTTGTGTTCCTCTCCTCCAGTAGAAGAAGCTGTCTGAGGAAGAGGGAAGATGTCTCTGAGAGCAGCTGCCCGAAGAATAGTAAGAGCTCCTCTCATTCTCAATGGGTCAGACAATAATAAATAAGGCATCTCTCAGTTTCCAATTCTCATTTCACAATTTTCTATTTTCCTTTTTAAATTCTACGGGAGAATTAATTCTTTTTTTTCAAGAGTCAATAATACAAGGAAACAAATTGAAGTTGCCCGAAGGGAAACGGGCAAAGAGGGTATAAAGGTAAATGTGAATATCGAGATCGCCACGTGGACGGTTCTGAATCATTTCCCAGGCATGTTGGTGATGAGATTAAAGGTGAAAGGACATTGGCAACTCCGTTAGATCATTGACACGTGTATCCGCGTTTTGGTGTTTCCGCTTTTACCCATGCGTGTGCCTCTGGTAAAAAATATTACGTCTTCCTAAAACTAAAAAAAGGTTCCAAGTAGAGATATTAAAGAAAAGGAAAGGTAATATAAACTTGAGATTCGAGTATTTTAAGTGAAAACCATCCTTTTACATAAATTATTCGCTGCGGCGACTTGACACCGTCAGCTTGTAACTCTAACCAGTGCTTTTTTGTTCTTTTCTACTACCTTCATTCATGTCTAGATAAATGTGATTTCGAATCCTGTAAATACATCACAGCAAATTTAATTCTAAAAACATTTTAAGGGCCGACAGAAAAAGAAAAAGAAAAAAAAAGAATACATGTATTTAGTTATTTTGACATAAAGAAAAACATTCAAGATGTGTTAGAATATCATAATCAAATACTAACAATAATCTTAATTGTCTTTTGTCGGCCAATAATCTTGATTCAAAAATTTCATATGCAATAGCAAAGAAATTATGTAGTCTGAACATAAATATTATTTTTCATTTACAAAGAGAAAGATCTTTAAATATTATTTCATGGTTACTTCATACTAGTATTTTAAGAAATGCATTTTCGCGTAAAAAAAATAGAGAGAAAGCAAAGAGAAAGATGATCATTCATTGAACATCAAATGCTTTATTCTGGCCATTGTAGGCATAATCTAGATATATTCTGCATTTTGGTCTATCAACAATTCAATCACGTAACTGTAAATGCAGATTCTTAAAGCACTAATTCGAAAGTAGGTCAAAGTAAAATCATATAATGATGATTAAAAACACAGATGGATTCTGCCTTAGATAAAACCCACCCCTAGATTATTCACCCACAGATTTACAGACACTGATCAATTGGATTATTGGAATATGGAATAACTTGAAAACTCTTGATTTGGAAAGATTCCATGTGTTCTACATGGCAAGGCAAAGACATATTATTATGTTCACAGTACTATGAAATTCAAAGACAGAGCTAGAAGGGTTTTTTTTTTATGCTCACATTGTCTGCAAATAAGAGACCAGTTAAAGGGTTCTCTCCAAACCAAGCAAAAAACTTTAATGCTCTTTTTCGTAATCGTCCTTGGTTCCAAAGTTCTTGCACCAGATCTGTGAAGGAATTGGGCGTACTGGCATGTGTGGCCTTTGCTGAAAACCAAAAGGGCTTTTCTCAAATTGTGATCATCAAACAAGAAAGTGGAAACTGTATAGTAGCATGGACATACACAAAATAGAACAATTTAAGTGCCCATTTTTGTCACAAGGGACTCAAGCATTAGGCTACAATATATGAAAGCAATGCAAGTCTTCAGCCATTTGCATCCAAACCATTCTTTAGAACGTATTTGGTGAACTGAAGTTGCTGGGTTTCAAAAAATTAGACTTCAGTGTCGAACTACATATTCAACTGAATTCTTCTCAAAGATGTAGCAGAAGAAAAAAGAACCAGGCAAACTAGAAAATTAATCAATGAAATCTCCCATAGCTGCACAAACATACAACACAAAGTAACATGGTGATGGGAAAAAGGGCTTGGAGAGCTCAAAGGGTGCAAATCTAAATCAGGTCAGAGACAAACATCACGGATAAGTTCCCATTTTGCGAAATAATTTACAATCTATGCAGTCACTGATACACTAATGCCCAATGAATTAATGGCAATGACTAAGAATTCCATATGGAACTAGGTAAGAGAAGTTTGTTAGTTTCATAGAAACACATTAGTGAGTTGTTCAGGACTGCCTGCTTACAAAACATATAAACTAACGCTCTGTTAGAATATCTTCACAAACACACTGCATGGTCAGAAACATCCAAATTTGCAGGATGTAGGTAGCAACTAATATCTACTGTAAAACATTTAGTAGCTAGACATCGGTTCCCTGAATCATGCTAGACCTTGGATTATGGAATGCGCAAAATCAAAATCTATTTTTGAAAAAACCGATATAAATATTGACAAACACAGACCAAGAACAAAGATTTTGATTTGATAATGGATCGTAATTTGGATCCATGATTCAGTATCAAATTTTGCGTAATTCCAAGGTCTAGCATCATTCCAGTATCAAATTCCAAGCCATTCCCTTCTACTCATATGCTATTCATACTAAGTGATACTCTTAATTTTCTTTTCCAATCCAAATTTTCTGGCATTTTTGAAGGACCAAAGTAATGAAGAATACCTCGAGCTTAGCAGATAGCTTGGCGATGGGGATGCACACAAGGAAAACACCGAACATAGCAATGGCGGTGTTCCGACGCCAATGCTTGGGCCTACAGTAAGGCCCACCAGACATACTCCAAACTTTGGCTCTGAAATCGCCACTTTCTCCTCCATGTCCATGCTCACCTCCTCCCATTTTTCCTAGATCGGATCGAATAGTTCCACCAAACACTGATTCCTTTCCTAATTCGATAATGAAGATAGCCAGATCGATATCAGTGACATAGAATCAAAATGATGTCAACCCTAGCCTCGCTAACATTTAAATTATTACAAATTTCAACAAATTGAGGATTCAAATAGAATGATTCCGGCGGAGGGGTGATCAGAATCGGCTTACCTTAGTGAAATCAGAAGGATCGCAGAGAAAGAAGAAGACGAAGAAGATGAGACTTCTTCTACTTGTTCTAAAGAGTTAAGAGGGTGAGCGAAACGAGTTATGGCATTTGTTTGTAATTTATCTGAATTCTCAGGGTCTTTATTGTCTCGAACAGTGATCTTCATTTGGGCCTCTCGTAAGCCCATTTAAAGTATATGTTGTCCCAAAACGACACGATGTTTGCGTCTTTAATTCAACAACGGTTTACGGGTTTTTGCCTGAAAAATATGGCTTGCGACGGAGCAGATCAAAGTCGCCGCTTTTTCGTGGCGGTTCACGTCGGTGCCGGATATCATGCGGCGGCTAATGAGAAAGCGCTTAGATCCGTCATGAGACGCGCTTGCCTAGCTGCGTCGACCATTCTTCGCCAGGTCGGTCCTTATTTCAGTTTCAGTTTCTTCTCATAGCCCAAATCTTTTAGAATCTCTAAATTGCAAGGCTTTATCTGTTGAATTTAGGATTCTGGTGAGTGCATAGATGCTGTTTCAGCTGCCATCCAAGTCTTGGAGGTACTTGTTGGGTCTTTGTCACTTTTTGCCTGCAGTGGCTGCTTCTTGACTGTTCTAACGATGAATCTTTGTTGAATTAGGACGACGCGAGCACAAATGCTGGGAGAGGCTCTAATCTGACAGAAGATGGTCATGTGGAATGTGATGCTAGTCTTATGGATGGAGATTCAGGGATGTTTGGTGGTGTTGGAGCAGTTCCAGGTACTCATAAACCTCTCATCTCGATTTTCTTCTTTTACTTGTGTATCAAATTACACTACTTGTGGAATGGCTGAAGATTTTGGACGATGAACTGTAGATCAGGTGTCAGAAATGCTATCAAAATTGCTGCTTTGTTGGTGAAAGAGCAGATTAGTGGCTCAACTCTGTTAGGCCGTATACCTCCTATGTAACGAATCACTCTTCTTTGTTCTGATATCAACCCAACTTTGAATTTTTTTTGTCGCTAGCGTTGGGTTGAACTTTCTGATCTGCCTCTCCAGGTTGTTGGTTGGTGAAGGAGCTCGATGTTGGGCCAAATCCAAAGGTGTTATTTTGCCTGAAACTGTCATAGAAGCTGATCAGGTTTGAGATTTCCACATTCTCTTTGCTTTACTGTCAATCACCTGGTTGTTTTATTCCTTGAGAATGATTTTTGTGTCCTACGTATTGGGTGTTTTTGATCAGTGGCTGACTACAGAGAGAGCAAGAAACCAGTGGAGAAAATTCAAGACCATGCTTTCTGAGGTAGAGGCGAAGAGTAACCTTTCTGCTGAAGAACATCCCAGAGGAATCGAGAATAATGAAACATGTGAGGAAAAACCATCACCCTGTGTAGCAGTAGATGAGGATAAGATCATGGACACTGTTGGCGTAATTTGTGTTGACAGTCAAGGACACACTGTGTGTGGGTCCTCAAGTGGCGGTATTGCAATGAAGGTAGTATCAAGGAATTCTTAGTTGTTCTTTGAACTGAAAGAAAAACTAATCCTCTGTTTCTTGTCCTGTATTTCAGATTAGCGGCCGTGTGGGTTTAGCCGCAACGTATGGTTCTGGTTGTTGGGCATCCTCTAAAGGACCATTTGGAGCTCCATTTCGAGTTGGCTGTTGTGTGTCTGGAGCTGGAGAGTATCTTATGAGAGGATTTGCAGCGAGAGAGTGTTGTACTTCATTGTCACTGTATATCTCCCTTATCCTTCTTAACGGTTATGCTTTTCTCGGTGTGGGTTGTTCTTCTGTAACAAAGCTAAGAAGGGGTTCTTTATGCTGTTAGCTCACAGGCTGGTCCAGCATCTGCTGCCATGAAGGTTTTACGTTCTGTAATGCATCAAGAGAGTTCAAAAAGTGGAACCGCTGACAAAACTGCAGGAATTCTAGTAGTTCAGGCAGATGCTTCTGTGGCTGTAAGTCCAAGTTCTCAGTTTCTGGCTTTCTTGGTTTAGAATCTTACTTACTCTGATCGTTTTGAATTCACTCTAAAGGTCCCTGGAGGTAAGCCGGAGCTGAATGCTGTTGAGATAGCTGCTGCTTACTCGTCACTGTCTTTTGGTGTGGGATACTATGGGAACTCTATAGAGAAGCCAAAGGTATGGCCTTCCTCTTAGATACACAAAGAAAAACTTGTCATCGTTAATGGTGGAGCTTGAGAACTAAGTTTAGGATCATTGGGTCTCTTGTTTGTTTTTCCTTGGACAGATTTCGATTCTCAGGACGAGGAGACAGATGAGTGAGGCTGGTGTAGACCATTTTGAAGCCCGGATTGATCTCCGCCCAACCTGTTGCTGATTAATTTCTGAAATTTTGATATTTTGTTTAGAAAAGTGTAACATGGGAGTCATGGGACACACCACCCTTTCAATATGTATAAACTAGGTCTTGATCAAATAACAAGAATAGACAAACAAGAAATATAAAATTGTCTTTAAACAATTAACATAGAGTATTTATCTATACAAACTGTGTAGGTTGTAAAAACATTAGTATTTTTGATGCTATAAAAATATTAGAAATGAACTTTACCAAGAATTAATGTAAATTATTAAAAAAAAAATAGTAGTGTCATATTTCACTAAATTTTCTATATATATATATATATATATAATTTTATACAATTATTAATTTATGATATTGATGTGTCTATCTTTTTTAAATAAGATTTTCCAAAAAATTTATTATCTTATTAGTTTATCGAATTGTGTTACATATTATTCTGGTCAAATTCAGAAGTAAGGAAATTTATTAATTTATAGAGGTTTTGTTGTACTCTGAAATCAAATAACAAGAACAGACTGACTTAATCAAAAACAATAAAAAAAAAAAGGAAGTTTTTGGCTTCAAAAAACAAAGTAAGATTTGTTTATTTCAAAAAGGCTAGCAATCATCTTTTAAGTCACTAGAACTCTGGAAATAGTGAATTCTCTTAGCTGATGTTAAAGTATTGAACAGAAGCATGGCTATGGTCATTGGTCCTACACCACCAGGAACAGGTGTGATGGCTGATGCAACTTTGCAAGCCTCCGCATAGCAAATGTCTCCAACCAATCGATCCTGCAATTCATATTATTTTCCCATAATGTATTTGATTTGATTATTCATTATATTACCATATGTCAAAACCATGGACTCACCTCAACTTGTTTAATCCCAACATCAATGATTACTGCTCCCGGTTTTATCCAGCTTCCTCTAACCATGTTTGGTTTCCCAACAGCTGAGATTAGGATATCAGCTTGTCTTGTGATTTCTTCAGGATTCTTTGTTCTTGAATGGATAATGCTAACTGTTGCATCCTCCCTCTACAAATACAAAACACATCAATGAAGACAAAACATGTAACTGTCCATCGAATGTCCCAACCAGAAAAAACATTGGTATCTTTAAGAAGGTATCATCATTACCTGCAGTAACAGAGCAGCTGGCATACCAACAATGTTACTCCTTCCAATAACTACCGCTTTTTTTCCTTTGATTTCAATGTTGTATCTGTGCAATAGCTCGATGCATCCTTTTGGAGTACACGGAACGAATAAGGGTTCTCTTCCACGCATGGCAAGCCGTCCAATATTTAGCGGGTGAAATCCATCAACGTCTTTCTCTATACTAACCGCACTCAATATTTTCTGTTCATCCATATGCTGCATATATACCACAAGCATCCCAAAACTTTGTTGTAAATCACTGATTATTTAAGTTATGAAATATCAAGATAGACTTTGTTTACCGATGGCAGAGGCAACTGAACAAGAATTCCATGGACAGAAGGATCATCGTTGAATCCTGAGACATATTTCAACACCTCTTCTTCTGATGAATCTTCAGCTAGACCAACTTCGAATGATTTAATTCCGACTGATTCACAAGCTTTCTTCTTGTTCCTCACGTAAGTTGCGGATTCCTCGTTCTTTCCAACAAGGATTACTGCCAAACCAGGAACCACACCGATTGATTCCTTCATGCTTGAAACTTCGATTTTGATATCATCTCTAATCTTTTTGGCCTCAGCCTTTCCATTAATTACAATCGCGGATGGAGAAGAAGAGGAGCGAATGGAGAGAGTGCAGCCACGGCCAGACGTAGTGTTCCGTAAGCTTAGTTGGCCGACGCACGGGTGGGGGAGGAAAGCACCATTGCGGCGATTCAAATGGATGAGACGCGACGTTGTGGAGGAGGAGCAATCGGTAAAAATCATCGACGCCATTGTTTTACTAGGAAAACAGAACACTAGTCGTGGCTTCCAACTTAAGATAGGGTTTAACAAAAATAAAGTAGAATTGTTTCAAAAATAACGTCCGTGATAGACTTGTAAAGAATCATATGTACTTATCTTAAATCCATTAGGAATTATCTCCTAGAATTAATATTACTTTTTTCCATTGTTTTTACTTTTTACTAGGAAAAAAGAACACTAGTCGTGCCTTCCAACTTAAGTTAGGGTTTAACGAAAATAAAGTAGATTGCTTCTAAATTAACGTGTGTGTAAAGGTAGAGATAGAGACTTGTAGAGAAAGATATGTACTTATCTTAAATAAATCCATTAGGAATTATCTCCTAGAATTAATATTACTTTTATATCATATCATATTTATATAACGACGCCATCTTTTAGTATTTTACTAGCTGGGCAATCTGAATAGTATAGTCTGCTGTTGTGTGTCCGAGTATACTTTTGTCCTTCCTAATGGTTGGTGTGGCTTATTCTTTTGTAACAAAGCTTCTCTTTTTTTTTGCTTTCTTTTGGTTTTGGAGCGTGGAGAGAAGTTTAAGCATATGTAACATGGGACACCGGACACACCATCCTTTCAATATGTATTCATTTTCTTGATATGTTTACTTAAAAGTTAAAACACCAACAAAGGGACAAGAAGAAGTAAAGACATATGTTTGGTTTCATAGAAAAAAAAAAACAAAACAAAAAAGAACAGTAGCAAACAAACTATTAATTGTAATAGAAAAGAGTAAGATTTCTGTTATTTAAGGAAATTGTTTTAACCATATAGGATTGGTAAAATCTAAAAAAGCAGAGTAGGTTTTGATAAGTGTAAAGCAATATTCTTTTTAAGGTTACATGAAGTTGTGAATTCTCTTGGCTGATGTTAAAGTGTTGGATAGAAGCATGGCTTTGGCCATTAATAACGAAGGGCCACACGCATCAGGTGTGATGGCTGATGCAACTTTGCAAACCTCCTCATAGCAAATGTCTCCGACCATTCTAAAGCCATACGGAGCGCTTGGATCCTGCAATAGTATAAGAATGTCACATATTGGTGACTTAATCAACTATAACTTCATTACCATAATTTCAAAAATTGTTCGCTTACCTTAACAACACTAGTCCCAACATTGATGACGACTGCACCCGGTTTTATCCAGCTTCCTCTAACCATGTTTGGTTGCCCAACAGCCGAGATTATGATATCAGCTTGTCTTGTAATTTCCTCAGGGTTCTTGGTTTTTGAATGGATAATGGTAACAGTTGCATCTTCTCTCTACAACATACAAAAATACATCAAGAAAGACCAAAAAAAGTAATTATCAATATGGCATCTTTCAAGGTAATCATCATCATTACCTGCAGTAACAGAGCAGTTGGCATACCAAAAGTGTTACTCCTTCCGAGAACAACTGCTCTCTTTCCTTTGATCTCAAAGTTGTACCAGCGTAACAGCTCGATGCATCCTTTTGGAATACGCGGAACGCAAAACGGTTCTCTGAAAGTGCAAGAGCTATTAAGTACTTGAGAACTAGCTCACGATTTAAGACAGAAACTGAGTCAGGAACTGAGTCACAAGCTGAGACAAGGATTTCTTCTTAAAACTCTTTTGATTAATAGAAAATACGTTTACAAGGTCTTCCTTAAACTATTTTCTATTCTCTCAATCTCTCGTTCTTAGATCACAACCCGATCAAGAACTCTCTCAAGACAAATCCCTTAGCCCCCTTAAGCATTATGCTTTCTCACAAGAAACCACATAACCTTAATGTCTAAGAATTCTCTTTCTCTCTTGTGCTCAGCTTTTTTAAAGCCTAAGCACCCTATTTATACTAAATAGGTCGTGGCTATACAACAAGCCGATTTCCTATTCTAACACTAATAGGAATAGACAATTTCCTTTTTCTTTAAGGATTAGGAAATTGTCCTTTCTCTTCATGTTTCCTTTTCCTCCTATGAAAAGGAAACTCTTCAGTCTTCTAGAATCTTCTCCAAGCTTCTAGTATCCACAGCCAACCGCCATAGACCGACTTTACCAATTTCCATATGCTCGCTTCACGTTGCTCTGTTCCCCTGAACTACTTCTTGAAGTACTCTGAACTAGTACAACGACTGCTTCAACAGCTTCATCTTTATTATTTGCCTTCTATAAATGCCGCTTTCTGTTTCTCTTCATCTTGATATAAAACTTATTAAGAATACATCAACAATCTCTCCCTTTCTTAGTGAGTTTTATAATCCAAGCTTCACACATCATTAACTTCAATTATTACTTTGATGATCTCCAAACTCTCTCTCAACCTTGAAACAAAGATCTCAGCAGCTTCTAAAACTCGGTCTTCACAACACCAACAATCTCCCCCTTGATGACTGAGTTTTAGAAACAAAGCACATACTTAATGTTGAGATAAAACATCATGCTTCGTTATATCACTTCATGTGCTACTTTGTCACCGGTACATCGAGTGTGTCAACTGGCTGCATCAATAATCTCCCCCTTTTTAACTTTGTGTGTCTCACAAGCATTTGTAAAGCAGACCCATAAAGCTACACACAAGCCACATAGGGTTCTAGCAAAGAACAAGCAAAACCATCTTCAAAACTCCCCCTTAATCCTAGGCCATCTTATGAAAACTCCCCCATAAAACAACATCCTTCTCTTAGTCACATTCTTCTCCCCCTGCTTGTGAGCACACACAAGTTAAAAACACTTTCGTAGGTTGACACACACATGAATCCCAGCTGGACTACTTCAAAGGTCAAGTTGGTCAATTCTGAAATTTTATATGAACTCTGTCCAAAACAGGTTGAATAAGACCCAAACCAACCGTCAAAATCTCAATCCCACCGTTGAATCTCAAGACAATAGTTCCATGAAGCATGCCACAAAGTTTCAGCTCGATCTGACTACAATTAGATCTCCAAACGTTGCCTTGAATTTGACATCTTGAAACTGTTTTTTTTTTAATCCGAAAATATCATACTTTGACCTTGATGATGCAGATCATATGTTCTCTTCTTCTTTCTTCTCCTCATTGATGTAGCTCTCTCTAATAACCACCAGAGATAAACATTGTATCTGATTTTGAAAGATTTCCTTTAAATCCAAGACCATATCGATCAGTTTTGCCAATGTTTAGAATATGATCCAACTGCTTCGTGCCATTATTAAGCATCCTCAAATTCTTGTAAGTTTCTTCAAGTTGCACTCTAGCTTGTGATGCTTCTTCTTCCTTCTCTATTGCATATTTTTGTGTTTCAGCCACCTTTGCCTCTATCTTGAGTTTTTCCCTTATTAACACTGAATTCTCCTCAACTAGGTTAAGCCATTGTTCATATAACATCTTGTACTTGACACTCTCTACCTCGTTGCAGCCTTCTGATGCAAGTTCTGATACAGGTTTTAATGCAGGTTCTGTTGCAGGTTTTAAAGCAGGTTCTGTAGCAGTTGCAGTCATATTGCGAGAATATCCACTTCCTGACGTACTTCTTGATTTTCCTGACTTACTTCCTATCCTTCCTGACGTATGTTCTGATGTAATCTGATACAGATCAGATTTCTTCACCCATATTTGACTTCGGAATCCATTCCAGGAAAATTTCCCTTGATGTTTGAGTCTACTTATTCTGTCTCTGAATTTGTAGCAATATGCTTTAATGTGCCCATTCTTTCCACAAAAATAACATCTAGTTCCTTTGGATGCATTACTTTCATATTTGTTTGGATTTGGTGGAGAGACACTTTCAGCTACAAACTTGATTTGCCCTGTTTGAGATCCTTTTTGTCCAATATATCCCAAACCTCTGTTAGATTTTCCTACTCTTGTAGAAACAGTCAGCTTGTCCTTCATACTTTCTTGACAGATTTTTGTTTTATCCCTCAGTTCATTCTGCAGTAACTCAACAAGTTCGTCAAGACGACGCTTTTCTTTTACTAAGGCTTGATTTTCTTGTCCAATCTTAATAAGTGTCTCACGTACCTCCTTATAACATTCAGCAAAGTCAACTTCATGTTCTTCTTCAGACTCAGACCCTAACACTTCTTCACCACCTTCAAATTCAGCTTTTCCCAAAAGTGTAACAAAATGATTTACTTCTTCTTCAACATCACTTTCTTCCTCTGAATCTTCTTCTATTCTCTGTATTGATTTTTCTTTTCTTATTTTCTGATTACTAACACATTCATGCTGAGTATGTCCAATACCTTTGCACCCAAAGCACTTTACATCCTTTTTCTTGAATGTAGGACATTCATATTTGAAGTGTCCATACCCTAAGCACTCATGACATTGCATATTTGCCTTCTTAATAGTTTTACCTTCTTCTGGATATTTTTTGCTTGAGCTGAACCTCCTCTGTCCTTGTTCTTCTTCTACCTTCCTTAATAGTTGATCAAGTCTTTGAAACAACAAACTTTTAGGATCATCTTCTTCTACCTCTTGAGTTTTCCTTTCAAGAGAAGTTAATGCCAAATCCTTTGGATTTTTCACTTTCTTCACACCCTCTAGTTCCATCTCATGAGCTTGAAGCATTCCGACCACATCTCCAAAGCTAAGGTCTTCCGTGTTATGTGACACACTTAAGGCAGTTTTGTATGCCATGAATCTTGAAGGTAAACATCGTAGAAACTTCTTCACTAGTTTCTTATCTTTGTACTTCTTTCCAAGTGTCAATGCTTCTTGAGCTAGAGAACTTATCTTTGAACTAAAATCAGAAATTGAATCACGTTCTTCCATCTTCAAATTTTCGAATCTTGAGGCTAACATGTCTTTCCTTGAGTTCTTCACCTTTGTGGTTCCTTCAAAGTGATTTTGCAAGATATCCCAAGCTTCTTTTGCTGTTTCACATCCCTGAATTAGTTCGAACTGGTTTCTTCCAACATTAATGTGAATAGCGGTGAGTGCCTTTGCGTTGTACTTTGATTTTTTCAATTCATCATTAGTCCAGTCCTTCTCCGGTTTAGCAACCTCGGCTCCTGATTCATCCTTGATTTTTGGTTCTTCCCACTTTTCCAATATGGCTTTCCAAGCATAGACATCAATGCCTCTTATAACCGCCTTCATCCTTGATTTCCAAAAACCATAGTTTCCATCATTCAATATTACTCTTGACCCGATGTCAAGTCCATGATAGCTCTCCATCTTCTCCACAAGATCTCACCTGTATGCAATCCTCACAAGTGACCGCTCTGATACCAATTGAAAGTGCAAGAGCTATTAAGTACTTGAGAACTAGCTCACGATTTAAGACAGAAACTGAGTCAGGAACTGAGTCACAAGCTGAGACAAGGATTTCTTCTTAAAACTCTTTTGATTAATAGAAAATACGTTTACAAGGTCTTCCTTAAACTATTTTCTATTCTCTCAATCTCTCGTTCTTAGATCACAACCCGATCAAGAACTCTCTCAAGACAAATCCCTTAGCCCCCTTAAGCATTATGCTTTCTCACAAGAAACCACATAACCTTAATGTCTAAGAATTCTCTTTCTCTCTTGTGCTCAGCTTTTTTAAAGCCTAAGCACCCTATTTATACTAAATAGGTCGTGGCTATACAACAAGCCGATTTCCTATTCTAACACTAATAGGAATAGACAATTTCCTTTTTCTTTAAGGATTAGGAAATTGTCCTTTCTCTTCATGTTTCCTTTTCCTCCTATGAAAAGGAAACTCTTCAGTCTTCTAGAATCTTCTCCAAGCTTCTAGTATCCACAGCCAACCGCCATAGACCGACTTTACCAATTTCCATATGCTCGCTTCACGTTGCTCTGTTCCCCTGAACTACTTCTTGAAGTACTCTGAACTAGTACAACGACTGCTTCAACAGCTTCATCTTTATTATTTGCCTTCTATAAATGCCGCTTTCTGTTTCTCTTCATCTTGATATAAAACTTATTAAGAATACATCAACAATCTCTCCCTTTCTTAGTGAGTTTTATAATCCAAGCTTCACACATCATTAACTTCAATTATTACTTTGATGATCTCCAAACTCTCTCTCAACCTTGAAACAAAGATCTCAGCAGCTTCTAAAACTCGGTCTTCACAACACCAACAATCTCCCCCTTGATGACTGAGTTTTAGAAACAAAGCACATACTTAATGTTGAGATAAAACATCATGCTTCGTTATATCACTTCATGTGCTACTTTGTCACCGGTACATCGAGTGTGTCAACTGGCTGCATCAATATTCTCTTCCGCGCATCGCAAGCAGTCCAATATTGAGTGGGTGAAATCCGTCAACGTCTTTCTCAACACTAACCGCATTCAATATGTTCTTATCATCCATATGTGATGGTAGAGGCGACTGAACAAGGATTCCATGGACACAAGGATCATCGTTGAAGTTTGAGACATATTTCAACACCTCCTCTTCTGATGAATCTTCAGCTAGACGAACAACTAATGTCTTGATTCCAACCATTAAACCAGGTACCTCATAGGCTTTGGAACTCTTACTGTCCCCAAAAAGGATTACTGCTAAACCAGGAACCGCACTGATTGATTTCTCCATTCTTGAAGTTTCGACTCTGATCTCATCCATAATATTTAATGCCACAGCCATTTCATCAAATACCATCGCGGCGTGATCAGCTGAACAGAAAAGGAAAATCTTAAGAGATTAGGATAAATGAAAATGTTTGCTCAATTTAGATCAAAAGGTTTAAGTTTATACCAGAGGAGCGAATGGAGAGAATGTGGCCACTGCGGGATGCAGTGGTCCGTAAGCTGAGTTGACGGACGGACCGGCCGGGGAAGAAAACACTGTTGTGGCGGTTCAAATTGATGATACCGCTCCTATGGTTGAGGAGCGTTGGGCCCACTCTAAGTTGGAGCGAGGTCGTGGAGGAAGAGCAATTGGTAAACATCTTACTAGGAAAAAAAACAGAACACTAGTGGTGGCTTCGAGCTTAAGTTAGGGTTTAACAAAAATAATGTAGAAGAACTGTTAGATTTTTAGGGAATGTATTTATTCCTGTTCCAGATTAACATTTGTACAAAGGTAGTCTACGAGATATACAACAGATAGGTGGAGCGAAAGATACGTACTTATCCTAATCCCATTAGGTCTTATCTCCTATTTACTTTTATATCAAATTATCATTTTATTCAACGACGCCATTTTAATTAGAGCTTGAGAACTAAGTCTAGGATCATTGGGTCTCTCTTGCACTCACATATTTCAATTCTCAGGACGAAGAGACCGATGGGTGATGCTGGGATATATCATTTTGAAGCCTGGATTGATCTCAAATATCTGATTTTGTTGAGAAAAGTTTGAAGCAGTGTGGTGAAAAGCTTCAGAATTTGTAACATTGGACACACCACTCTTTCAAGTTTCAACATGTATTCCATATCTGGGATAAGTTAAAACTAGTTCTGGATCAAATAGATAGAAGAGACAGACAATTTATGTGACTCAAAAACTACATGTTTTGTTTCATAGAACAAAACTATAACATTCTTTAAAGACCAAAGTAAACCATTGGCTTCAAAAAACAGAGTACGATTTGCTTATTCCCAAATGGCCATCAATCTTCTTTTAAGTGACGTCACTGGAAGTTGTGAATCCTCTTAGCGGATGTTAAAGTGTTGGATAGAAGCATGGCTATGGTCATTGGTCCTACACCACCAGGAACAGGCGTGATGGCTGATGCAACTTTGCAAGCCTCCTCGTAGCAAATGTCTCCAACCAATCGATAGCCACGGGCAGCACTTGGATCCTGCAATTCATATTACGTACATGTATGAATGTCGCATACTGGTTGATTAGAAATTCATTATATAACTGAATTACGCCATTACCATATGTCAAGATAGTCCACTCACCTCAACAGGATTAATCCCAACATCAATGATGACTGCGCCCGGTTTTATCCAGCTTCCTCTGACCATGTTTGGTTGTCCAACAGCTGCGATAATAATATCAGCTTCTCTTGTGATTTCTTCGGGGTTCTTGGTTCTTGAATGGATAATGCTAACGGTAGCGTCCTCCCTCTACAAATACAAAACACATCAATAAAGACCAAACATGTAAGTAACGATCGAATGACCCAATCAGAAAAAATGGCATCTTTACTTTAAGAAGGTATCATCATTACCTGCAGTAACAGAGCAGCTGGCATACCAACAATGTTACTCCTTCCGATAACAACCGCTCTTTTTCCTTTGATTTCAATGTTGTATCTATGCAACAACTCAATGCATCCTTTTGGAGTACACGGAACGAACAAGGGTTCTCTTCCACGCATGGCAAGCCGTCCAATATTTAGCGGGTGAAACCCATCAACATCTTTCTCTATACTAACCGCATTTAATATGTTCTGTTCATCCATGTGCTGCATATGTAGACAAACATCCCAAACCTTTGTTGTAAATCACTGTTTATTTAAAGTTATGAAATATGAAGATAGATTTAGTTTACCGATGGTAGAGGCAACTGAACAAGGATTCCATGGACAGAAGGATCATCATTGAAGCCCGAGACAGATTTCAACACCTCTTCTTCTGATGAATCTTCAGCTAAACGAACTTCGAAAGATTTAATTCCAACGGAGTCACAAGCTTTCTTCTTGTTCCTCACATAAGTTGCAGAGTCCTTTCTGTCCCCAACAAGGATTACTGCTAAACCAGGAATCACACCAATAGATTCCTTCATTCTTGAAACTTCGATTGTAATTTCATCTCTAATCTTTTTAGCCACAGCCTTTCCATCAATTACAATTGCGGCACCCTCTGATGATTTTGTATCAGCTGTACAAAACAACAAATTTATGATTCCGACAAGAGAATAAAGAAACTCAATTTTCCGGAGAAAGAACAGTCTAATTGTCTACAACACCAAAGTGGAATTTTCAAATTTCAATCGATGTCAAGTTCAATTTCGTGCTCAATTAAGTCAAAAGGTTTAGTCTTTTACCGGAAATAGCAGAAATGGGAGAAGAAGAGGAGCGAATGCAGCAGCCACGGCCAGAAGCAGTGGTCTGTAAACGGAGTTGGCCGACGCATTGACGGAGGAGGAAAGTACCGCTGCGGCGGTTCAAATGGATGAGACGGGACGTCGTAGAGGAGGAGCAATCGGTAAACATCAACGACGCCATTTTTATACAAGGAAAACAGAACAGTAGTCTGCTCGTCGTGGCTGAGTTAAATAGGAAGAAGGTAATAATGGAGACAGGAAGACTAATAAAGTCTTTTAATTTGTGATCCAGAGCACGCGGCAGAGCAGAGAAGAGATGATGAATTGAAGAAAGATGACTTCGTCGTCTACGGTGGAGAGTCGGAGAGATTAGGGTTTCTTCTTTTAATTTCAACAAGGGTTTAAGTTCAAATCACAACAAAACCGGTTTCTTGATTTTACCTCAATTTTCCGGTTTTGAACCAGCCATCGTTTTTTTTTTTTTAAATCCAAGCGGACCGCTTCATGCAACATTAATTTCTTTTTGTTGCATTAATTACCTTTTACCTATGTTGTATACTGTAGCTTTTTGCTTCTCAAATTTTGGATTCTTAGAAAACTCAGATTAATCTTGTTTTTAACAATGATCAATATATCAAACAATACGTGCAAGTTTGTTGACTTACGGTCTAAAGTACCACACCCTTGTGATTTAACTCAAGAGCTCGAACAATCAAAGTACTACAAGTGGTATCAGAGCAAGTCATGTTATTGCGATTACCGAGATTGTTGAAGGTGAAGCCTATCTTATTCCAGTCACAGGTGAAATCAAATCGGATATGGACCCAAACCAAGGTAGATTTGAGATGGTTGATATGAAAATGAGGGACAGATTCACATATTAGACCAATGTTGAATACAAATATTATTTGCTTTTGTTTTTCCCCCAGAGGAAAGAAACTAGAGAAATTTCAACACATCATCCCATCAAAATTTGAGAGTTTGTTACTTTTTCTCCACTACGATTCTTCAAAATAAGCATTTTGGTTTCTGTACAGTTTTAAGCAAAAGAAGTTGAAATGTGGTCTTACCAGAATCGAGAAAAAAGGTTAGATAGCGAGTGTGCCTTCAATAATCTGGTTATCGTCAGACGTATCAGATGGTGATGGTGGTTTTGGTTTGCTTGTACTTCTTGAGAACCCGTAACCTAGAGAGCTTCCACTTGCCTCACATAGCTGTACCATCATAGGATCCATTAAACCGGACAGTAAGAAGAATTGTAGTATTTTTAATAGACAAAATATACCTCAGCTAGTTCAGACAAGTGACGAGATCTGAACTCATTGATTGTTGTTGCTATTTCTGATGTCGGTAATTTGGCCTGAAAAAGAAGCCGACAAGGTTAACAACTGGTATAACCGTTGATGGCTTAATTACTACAAGAGAAATCTCTTGTACCTGTGCCAGAACAGCAGCTGCTAACTGTAAACTTGGTTCCAGCGTCTCAGGAACAACCTAACGAGTTTTTGAATTGAGATTAATCAGTTTACGGTGAAAATGTTGTGTAGTAACTAACAACAGAAGGAGAAGAGAAATGTTGTGAAGTTATTACAGCGGTGGCGCCGGCTTTTTCAAGATTGAGGCCATGATCAACATCATGTGCACGGACAAAGGTTTTGACATTGGGAAAATATTTGCTGAGAGCCCAGACACACCTGTAATTTGCTCCAGGTGTGTCTAAAGCAATAGCCGCAGCACATGCTCTATCTGCCCCAATTTTGTGGAGTACCTGCACGTATAAGTAAAACAACGTCAATAATTTTGGATGATGTGTGGTTATACTTTTGATTTGTTTCATCCGCTTTCTAGTCGTACCTCTCTACTACCAGCGTCTCCAAAATAAACTGGAAGATCTAGGGAACGACCAATTGCTACTCTATCACTGTAAAACAAAAGATTGTTGGTGCAAAATGAGACAAATAAAGAGCTGTTTAGATACATTGAGCAAGACAAAGCAAGAATGTAACGTTACCTGCTGACATCGAGGGCAACAAATGGGATAAGTCTTTCGGAAAGAAGCTGAGCGATTATCTGCGTGTAGCATATAGAAAGCAGCGGTCAAGACAAATTTAATCATATAACCCCAAGCAATCCTCTAAATCAAACTATCTAAACTTCTAGAGGAGTTTTGTCTTCTCAAAAAGCTTATAGATTACAATACCAACCTGACCAATTCGTCCAAATCCGCAAATAATGATGTGACCCTGTAAATCATCCGTCTGCAAATAAATTCAAACAAAGTAAAGGATCAGACATCTTTACTAGCCTAGTAATGGTTTTCTCAACCCAAGAATACATGAGCTTCAGAAGAATATTGAGGTCAATATGGCCTTATTGTTTTAATTTTACTATTGACGCTAGAATTGGTGATAAATGATTTATTTTAAAGTGTTGTAAAGGAGTACCTCGCTTTCAACTGGTAATAAACTTCGAACATCTTGTAACTCAAATCGAGACGCAATTAATTGGCCGCCGGCAGCTAACCAAGGAGTAAGAGCCATTGATATTCCCACGACGAGAAACAGCAACGAAGATAGCTGCGAAGTCATTATACCCTGGAAGAAACATCAATGAAGCCTTAGAGGAAACATGGGAATAAAGTAAAATTTGAAACCTTGCTGTCTTCTCCATAAAACATGACAATATCATTTTCTGGTTTTCATCTAAATGACTACTTATAAACTAATAGAACTGCTTGCATCATGATGTGAGCCCAACTTTGCAAAAAATAATAGATGAGAAGCATCAAAAATAACCCATCTAGCTTCCAAGAAACATTGCAGTTACTAAACCCACTGAGAAAAGAAATAAATAAATCATCATATATATAACAAACCTGATTGACAGCTTCTCCAAAAGCAACAAACGCAAACTCTCCACCAGGAGCCAGAAGAAGACCGACTCTCACGGCAGATATGATTGAAATGCCAAACAATTTGCCTATGATCACCACTAATATAGTCTTGCCAACTAATAAGAGTCCTAAGGTCCCCATTATGACAGGGAAGTTGGCGAGAAGAAGTTTTGGATCAATGGACATGCCAACCTGAATTTTATGCAGCTCGTCCCATTAGTTTCATGAACGAGATAAATTGTACTTTAAGAGCTGAAAACAAAATTAGAATCTTACAAGAGCATATAACATATCCTATATATTCCTTAATATCCTATTTATCGTCCTCAATAACTTCTGAAAATCTCCAAGGAAAACAGTAAACTTATCGATCACCTATTTTCAAGACCTAGTTCACAAATTACCGTCATGAAGAAGAGTCCCAACAGAAGACCACGGTATGGAGCAATATCTGATTCAACTTGCAAGGAAAATTCAGTCTCTGCAAGTAGTAGACCAGCCAAAAACGCTCCTAATGCCATGGAAAGTCCCGCCTAATTTAAAGAAAAAGTTATCTTAACGAAACAAAAGACATAGCAGAATATACGAGAATGACAAGCACCAACAAGGAAAATCAAGATCATACCCTAGCTGTAAGTAAACTAGTCCCAAGAATAACCAGAAGTGTATTGGCGGAGAATATCTCAGCATTTCGGTTTTCTGCAATTTGCTTGTATATCGGCCGCAGAAGCTGTGTGTACCACAAAATCAATGCATTGTAAAACTATGATTCAGCACCACAGAAGCAGCATTAGATATAGAGTTTCATTATGCAAACCCATTTTCTAGAAAATCTAATGTTTTCTCATCACTTATCAGGATCTCTCTTTTGTTGTATAACTTATTCGGATATGAGTCTCAAAACAGAAACTAGAAAACCATTGAGACTTACGAGACGGCCACCAGCAATTATGGCAGTGATAGCAACTGCTGCTTTGATTGCAGCGAGTCCAAGAGCTTCAGCAATGGCTTGAAATCCAATCTGAGAAAAGCAGTTAGCAACTTAGCATTCTCCTCTTACAAAATAATTTCTAGGCTTCCTTGAGAAATATGCAAGACAGCAAATACTAGCAACACATGACCATGAGTATTTCCTTAAAAGAGCAGAGAGAATTTTGAACTTACGCTATCTGCCATTCACAGTAAACACAACACAAAGGGAAATATAAAGAACAAAAAAGGGAAACGCTAAAGCTAAGCTTACCCCTCCTTTGGATGAATTAGGTGAAATAAGTGGGATGAGAATCAGTAACACGACCACAGCCAGATCCTGTGAAGACCAACAGATTGACCAGAGTTACAGCATAGTAGCAATTATACAAGAGCAGTAACAACTTTGTGTTCTGAACAAACCTGAAAAAGCAAGACCGAAAATGTAGCTCGTCCATGTCTTGAGGTGCTCTCACCCCGTTCTTGCAAAACCTGCAAACCCAGTACATTGTCTTAGTTCAACCAATTGGTAGCTAAATCGCATAAAAAGCTAAACGAGCTATCACAAAATTATTTTCTTAAAAAAGTAGTAGCACTGACAATTCTCTGGATATCTTCCCAAAAAACAGTAACAGATTCACCTAATATAAATTGGTGCAAATTTGGAAGAAGTAGACTGAATTTTACCTGAAGGACAACAGCAGTGGAAGACAATGCCAGGCCATTGCCAATTACTATTGCCGCTGGACCAGCCTGACCAGCAACATAGTGAGTGATCAAACCAACTACTGCTGCCGTTATCAGAACCTGGATTACAACAATGAAAAACCAGATTAAAGGACTAAAATACAGTAATATAGACAGAAACAGGCATGCATAGTAGCTGAAAGAATACAATGAAATAGGGTCTCAAATCACCTGCGCGGAGCCTAAGCCAAAAACATATTTCTTCATGGAACTAAGTCTTTCAACAGAGAGCTGTCAGACAAAGAACATCGAAATAATTGGCTCTTCTTTCCACTAAGCACATATCAAAGGAAAAAGGAACAACATAAACAATATATCAAATACTGAAGTTCACCTCAAGGCCAATGTTGAAAAGCAAGAAGACAACTCCAAATTCTGCAATGGCCTTGGTTCCATGCACATTACGAATTATTGAGAGACCATAAGGACCAATCAAGATTCCCGCCGCCAAATACCCAAGAACAGGGCTGCCTATAGATTGCAGCAGATGAAACCAACAAGATAGCATATAAATCTCTATGCATTATGATTGCGGCACCAGAACTGAAATGGTTTGTCTGATGATAACAATAAATAATACGAGTCCAAATGAAACAAGGAGGGCAAAATATGGGGATTTAAAATACAATGATTGAAATAATATATGATTATATTACGTTACCTCCAGGAATTTTCTGAAATAGAGGCACGAATATGACGCTTGCAAGCAGTAACCACAACACATCGAGAAGGGAAGCTTCTTCCTCATTAACCTAAGTGTTATACAAGTTGGAGGCAGACAGTTAAATTCCATAAGGTTTGTATGGGACTCGTGAAAAAGTACATATTCTGTATGACCACTCATACCTCTTGCTGAGGGAACATCTCAAGTAGTTTCTTTATTCTCTTTGGAAGTTTTTGCACCTGCCGGATCAGAGGTTTTGTGCTGGAGGAAACATCTTCTGCGCTAGTGCTGACAATATTTGGCTGTTGTAGCAGCTGATTGTTCCTTCCTACTCCATTGGCATAGATTGCCACTCTAGAATGAATCAGAAAACTTGCTATTAAAAAAACATACAAAAAAGTTTATGGTTTATCATAATTCTTCAAAACAATTGAGTATTCAACTAACCCTGCCCCAAGAAGTGCAAATCCAAGAATTAGCTTAGGCCACTGCTGTTTCGCAGATTCAACTAAACTCTCAAAAACTGTCGCGGTTCCATCCCCATTGGAAGAGAAGAAAGATGCAGGAAAAAAACGAGAGGATTTCTTCAATGATGTCTTGGTACCATTATGAGATGAACTCTCCCTTGGCAGATCTTTCTGCACTTCCTGTTTTTTGGTCTGAACAACATTCTTTGACTTCTCTGCTTCTGCTTCAACCTCTTTAGCGAAATCTGTAGTTGGCTTTCCGTTCTCATTATCTGACTCGTAAGACTGAGTCCCAACATCTGATGAAACTCCATCTACTACTAAGTCTCTTTCAGCCTGATGGCTTACGTCAACAATTTCACTCAAGCCTTCATCGTCATCTAGAACAGTATTCTTTCCATCCAACACCTTTCCCTGGGTTGTTTCTTGGGTTTGAGAACCAAAAAGAGACTTCTCTGCTCTCTGCAAAGCAATTTCTGCATCATTCACACGTTGAGTAGCCTCAAGCTCAAATGCCACAGCTTGTTCGGCCAATACCATAATATTTGCAACATCCTCCTCGGCTTTCAATGCGCTGATCTGTGCCCTCTCAGCAGCCTCATTCAATCTATCTACTTCCTTCTGCAGCTCGTCCTTCTTAATTTGCAAACGCCTGAGTTGTTCCTCACAACTTGCTAAATTTTCTTGGCATTCTTTAATGTCGGCCTTAGCAGATAAAAGGGCTTCCTCTTTAACTTTAACACCATCTCTAGCCTCACTCTCTTCAGAAACTTCAGAAGTATCATACCCCTCTGATTCTAGTGATTCGAGTGCAACCTGCAGCCTTGCTTCAGCCAGAGATAATGCCATAGTAGCCTTCTGAACAGCTTCTTTAGCAACACACTCTTCATCAACAGTCTCTTGAACCACGTTAAGTGTTTGGTTTACATCATTCCACGCACTGGCTGCTTCATCCTTAAGTGCTATCGCTACTTCTGATATCCTCTGAGCCTTTTCCTCAAACATGGTACTGTTGAGACTAGCCACTTCCAATTCTTTAGTTGCCTTATTCAGTAAATCCCTGAGTTCCTCTAAACTAGGTGCAGAATCTTGCTCTCTCGTGTCTTTCTCTTCCTTAGAAAACGTAACCTCCCTGTCATCACTACTTTCTGCAAATTCCAAATTCCGGTCATTCCCATCCATATCTCCTACAGAATCACTACTTTGACAAAGTAACCTAAACCCCAGCGGAACATTTTTGGGTTTTGCAGGAAGCAAATGACCGTAAAATCTTCCACTGAAACCAGCATTCAAAGTCAAAGAAGAACGATACGATACATTTCTTTTCGATCTAATAGCTGAGCGAACTTTAGAATCAATCGTCGGATCCCAAAATCTAGTGCCGCCGAGTCCTTTGGGACTTATCATTCGATTCGGCAAGCAGTAACTCGCAAAATCCGCACCACTGTGAAACATACTCCGGCGCTGAACGCTACACGAAAAATCCATATTACAGCTGCAGAAAGACGGAGAGAACGAGAGACTGACCGATCATAAGAGAAGAGAGAGTCGAGGCTTAGCTGATGACCGAAGAATCAATGGCGGCGAGAGAGAGTGAGAATCGAGTAGTGATTAGAAGAAGAAGAAACGTATCTCCTGGGAAAAAACGTAAAGAGTTCCGTTTCAACAGTATTTCTCGGCGGTCTTCAGATTTTCCGTCCAACTCTCTCTCTTTCCTTTTTTTCAGTTTTTTTGGCCAATCAGTCGTGGTAGGATTTTTATAAGAAAGTTACGAAAATGCCCTCTCGTGCTTAGAGAGATTCAATTCGTGCACATATAATATGCCGTGAATATACCACCAACTCTCTTACTCGTACTCGCATGTGGTGCGTGTCATATACACGTGGTTCGAATCAACGGCTACGTTTTATCAGGTTTGCTGGCTTGGTTAGTAAAAAAGGTGGCTGGTTTAGTTTTGCACTGCCTTCGGAGGCGCGTGACGAAGTCATTTTCCTAGTGTGTTTTAATATTTGTGTAAAGATTTTGGATTTTTATGCAATAAAAAAGCGAGCGACGTTGTTCTTGCTTGGCGAGTGGCGACCTTCTCCGATTGCGTAGAGTCGTTTTCATTATTGGGCTTACTTTAGTCTCGCCAGCCCAAAATGTTTTCATTTCTTTCCTTTTGGTGAGAGAATAATTTGTTCTCGTTGACTTTTCTAAGTAACTCACAACTTTTTTTTTTTTTTTTTTTTTTTTTTTTTTTACAAGACACAAAGGTCGAGAGAGGCTCGCAGGCCCAAACATACAAGGCAAAAGCCGAACAAGGCACGCAGGCCCAAACATATAAGGCGAAAGCCAACAGAAAGCACGCAGGCCCCAAAAGGAAGGAAACAAACAGAACAGAGAGAGCAGCCCACAAATCGCAGAGAAGAGAAAGACCCTCACCTTAGCTGAAAAATCTGAACCACGAGGACATCAAGGTGTTCCCTGGAGTGGCATTCCGCTGGGACCTAGAGAGAGGATCAAGCCTGGCCCGGAGCAGCAGCTTGATCGCTTTTATGGTGACAGTAGGAGGAGTCTCAACAGAGGAGTGAATTCGAAGATTACGCTCTTTCCAAATGAGATATATAGAAGCCTGAAAAATTAACTTCATGATCAAAGCCACATTTCCATCGCGAGCAGCAGAATTGATCCATAAAAGGCAGTCCATGAAGGAAGAAGGCGGAGAGAGATTAGCCCTTGTTGTAAAGTATCCCCAGACCTCAGTACTAAAACCACAATCGAAAAACAAATGGTCTCTAGACTCAAGTCCAGAACTCACAACTTACACCACGCACAAGGATTTGATGGTGAGATTATCGTGTTTGAAGACTAAAAAGAGCAAAACATCACCCCCATTAGTGCAGGTAGAGAGTAAAACATCATGTTCCAATGTTTTTATGCATCTACGATCTGGCAACGGTCAAAGATTCCACTTACGGGATCTCACCAACTTTCCAATGAATAGAGCAGAACATTGAATATTTTCTTGGCATCTTTGATTCCGCCTTGAATCAAGAATCCAAACATACTCCATTCTGGATAGGTTGGCATCTATATGGAAATCCCGAGATGATCTCATCTTAACAAGATAAATCAAGAATGGGATATTGTTCTCTCTGGAGCTTGGAGCGATCACTAGTCCAATTATACAAAAGAGATCATATGAAAACGTATGAATGGATGGATCAAGTGCAATTACGATGAAGTGTAAAAGCATTAGAGAAATATACTTTTGAGTTCAATGGATAGTCTATGACTACCATGTACGTGGTGTTTGTAACATTTAGCATGGCGTTAGTCTCTTGAGCTAAAAATCAGGTTTAGAAGCTGAAAGATAGATTTTCATTTCAAAAACGAATGAGTGTGCAAATATTTTAACGAAAACTGCTACGAGAAAAAAAAAAGTGTTATTGTAATTTGTTTTCAGTTATTCATTATTGTTTGTATAAACGACCCTTTACTGTCTCACCGTATGTTACATTGTTACCTCTAGTTTTGGGTTCGATTAAAACGTCTAATTAGTTTAGGGTAAATATGTAAAGAAAAGGAAGTAATGGGTAATTTTATAAATAAACTTCAGAAAAAAAAAAAAAAAACTGAAAACACCTAAAGCCCAAGGCCAATACGGCTAACGAAGTCGGACCAAATCACAAACATTATAATATTACATACAGATAATCATCGTCTCTCTGCTTGCTTGTCTCTGTGTTTCACGCGAGAACCTTCGTCTCTATATTATTGACCCTTTTGATCTCTCTCTCGTTTTCCTCGCGTGGACCTCTTTCGGAAAATATCAATCCCCGAATTTCGCTTGATTTTCCAGATCTGCTACTCTTTATCTTCGATTCTGTGATTTTTACAAACCCTAGATTTCTCCGGAAGAGTTTATTTTCCGTAATTTTTTTTCAAAATTCCGACATTACCCTAGGTTGTGTATTACCGTAGGAAAGCCTAGTTCCTGTTCGGATTTCTTGGTGTACAGATCCCTCCTTAGTCAAAGTTTTGGTTATTAGTGTTTAGAGGTTTGTGATGAACAATCGAGGAAGGTATCCTCCTGGAATTGGCGCTGGCCGTGGAGCCAGTAACCCTAACCCTAATTACCAATCACGGTCGGGTTATCAACAACAACCGCCGCCACAATACGTTCAACGCGGTCATTACGCTCAGAATCACCAACAACAGTTTCAACAAGCGACGTCTCAGCCGCATCAATACCAACAGCAGCAGCAACAACAACAACAACAACAATGGCTTCGAAGAGCTCAGATCCCCGGCGGTAACAGTAACAGTAACGGTGACGCTGTTGTAGAAGTTGAGAAAACTGTTCAGTCCGAAGTTATCGACCCAAAGTTAGTTCTGTTTTTTATTTTATTGTTTGCTGTTCAAGTTTGGACTACTTAGTTAAATCTTGGATGTGATTGTTTTCATTTGAAGTGATAAATCCTTGTTTCTTACGTTACCATGGTATTGAACTGTTTAGTGTTGGTTTCATTTTTGTGCGTGTGATAACCTTTATAATCAAATTTCTCTTCAGTTCGGAAGATTGGAAAGCAAGGCTAAAACTACCTGCACCTGATACTCGATACAGAACAGAGGTAAGGTTCCATATTTAGGAATACATTCACTGTTTATATCGGCTGCCTCATGTGCTATATTGGTGTGACATAAAGGTGTTCTTACTTATTTGATAGCTTAATTATTAATACATAAATACTTGTTGATAAATCAATAAAAAAATGTTTCTCAATACGAAACTGCGAGAGAATCTATCTGTGAAACTGAATTAATTCTTGGTTGCATGGGATGATATTTTCACAATTCTTCACTTGTTATCATTTTCAGGATGTGACAGCAACCAAAGGGAACGAGTTTGAAGATTATTTTTTGAAACGAGAGCTTCTCATGGGAATATACGAGAAGGGTTTTGAAAGACCTTCTCCTATTCAGGAAGAGAGTATTCCAATTGCCTTGACTGGTAGAGATATCCTTGCCAGAGCAAAGAACGGGACTGGAAAGACCGCTGCCTTTTGTATTCCTGTCTTGGAAAAAATTGACCAAGATAACAACGTTATTCAAGGTAACTGTGTACTAGACCATGTTGTTAGTTGCTTCTTTGATGTGGTGCAATGCTATAAAAGAATTTGAAAGTTTTGGCATCTTTTAGGCTTTTAGCTAGTGATTTTTCATGTAGCTGACAAGAACAGAATATCGAAGCTGGCTTTTTATGTAGATTATTGTTCCATATTAAACCCTAGTTACGTTATAAAACTTAGTAAATCGTAATGAACCCTGTGAGCCTCTAAACCCATCGCTTCTATCAGTAGATTAATATGTTTCTCAAAGGTTTACTGCCTGCTTCCTTTCTAATGTAGTTTACCGTTGATACATTTCTTCTACGCAGCTGTTATAATTGTTCCAACTCGAGAGTTAGCCCTTCAGACATCACAGGTGTGTAAGGAGCTGGGTAAGCATTTGAAGATTCAAGTCATGGTGACCACTGGGGGCACCAGTCTGAAAGACGATATCATGCGTTTGTATCAGCCTGTTCATTTATTGGTAGGAACTCCTGGGAGAATTCTGGATCTTGCCAAGAAAGGTGTTTGTGTTTTAAAAGATTGTTCAGTGCTTGTTATGGATGAGGTAAATGTTGGATGCTTACTTTGTATTTTGTTCCTCTTAAATTTCTTTTTTTTCACTATTTGCAAACTGTAGCAAAATTGTTCATGTTACTCCCAATTTAATTTAACTATTGATCTATTCATCAGGCTGATAAGCTTTTGTCTCAAGAGTTCCAACCTTCAGTGGAACATTTAATTAGCTTTCTTCCAGAAAATCGTCAGATTTTGATGTTCTCAGCCACGTTCCCTGTCACTGTCAAGGATTTTAAAGATAGATTTTTGACGAATCCTTATGTCATCAATCTCATGGATGAACTTACACTCAAGGGTATCACCCAATTCTATGCTTTCGTTGAAGAAAGACAGAAAATTCATTGCTTGAATACACTATTCTCCAAGGTTAGATCTGAACTACATTGATCGTTTTTGTTTCTTTCCTTAGCTGGCATTTACTCTCTTCCTCTTCTGCAGCTGCAAATTAACCAATCAATCATATTCTGCAATTCTGTAAATCGTGTGGAGCTCTTAGCTAAGAAAATCACAGAACTTGGGTATTCATGCTTTTACATCCATGCAAAGATGCTTCAAGACCACCGAAACAGAGTCTTCCATGACTTTCGCAATGGTGCATGCCGGAATCTTGTGTGTACTGGTATGCCTAAGTGATGTTATACTGTTATTGCAGGAGCACAATGAATAAATGTTCAATTATCTACTTCTTAGATATCAAGAATGGGTTTAGTTGAGGCTTTAGGTTGGACAAATACACTGGTTTTAATATTTTGACTTTGCGAAATCAGCCAAATCCTTTACCTGAATAGTTTATTGTTTAATGATGGTTGCTGCAGACTTGTTCACACGTGGGATTGACATTCAAGCTGTAAATGTGGTGATAAACTTTGATTTCCCAAAGACTGCAGAAACTTATCTCCATAGGGTAAGCTGAAAACCAAATGTCTACTTTGTACTAGATCCCTACATGTTAATTGATGTCATTTGAGTTTAATATCTGGTTGCTGTTCAGGTTGGACGATCAGGAAGGTTTGGCCATCTTGGTCTAGCTGTGAATCTTATCACCTATGAAGACCGATTTAATCTGTATGTCTTTCTCTCTTGACTGGTTTGTACTATTGTTTCCTCCAGCATAGTATAACCTTAGTGTTACATTTTTGTAGTTACCGGATTGAGCAAGAACTTGGAACGGAGATCAAGCAAATTCCTCCACATATCGATCAGGCAATTTATTGCCAATAACCAAGGGTGAACCACCTTGGTCTGCTGTTAGGTGAATCAGTAATAAGTGGTACGTAGTATCTACTTACGGACAGACTTGAATTGTTCCTACTTTCGGAGTTGCTTACTTCATGATAACTCAAAATTTTCTAGGATAGTTTCTTTTAATATATACACAACACATAGTCTTGTTGGAAAGATCAAAGATGGAATTTCAACTATCTTAATCATAACACCACATTACATAAATTCGAGGCCATATATTAAGTTCATATGGTTGATGCATATAGGCCACCCATTGGTCTTGTCCTCTTACGCTAGGAAATTTCTTTTGATTTAGGTTTGCTACCCATTTACGAGAGATCCCTAAAATATTATTTGGATTTGTACAATGTTTCAGGTTGGTTGGAGTCATGGTTAGACAGTTGTCTTATCTAGCCATGCAGGACAACGGCAACCCAAAAAGGCTTCACATCTGCCTCTACCTCTGAAATGTTTTTTTTTCTGCGTCTTTGGGATTCCTTTATTTCTAAAGATTAACTATATTCAAGGCTAGAAGGTTTGAAATGCCGGGTAGTATTGGAAAAGTGAAGCCTTTTATTTAGTTTTAACAAGTCGTTTGATACTATGTTTCTTTCTATGCTGTAGACTGATAGTGGTTACAGTGTTGTGATGCGTCTTCAAGGAGCTGTGGTTTCATGACTCTTTTCATGATCCTTTTCCAGCTTTCCAACTCCAATAATAAGTCTTGAGACCTTAAGATGATATTTTCCTTTTTCCATTTTCCCAGGTTGCAGATTTTATATTAGCATGTTTTGTGTTGTCAATAGGTTGATTAGTTCAGGATTTGGTCTGAGGACAATGAATTTAGCAGTATCTTGTTTCATGACCAACACAAGCAAAACACACAACATATAAAAGATACAAGTATTAACATAGGATACTGGAGATAGGTGATAATCTGTATCACAGGTTAGTGCTGATCTCAGAAGCAGCTAAAAGATGACTTCTTGGGTATCTGTCCGGCGGCTTGAAACCTAGCAGCTTCTTCTTCCGCATCAAGGATCTCTTGAGCCCGTCTGGTTTGAACATCTGCTTTCTTCTTTTGTGCCTTTACATGAACTGCTGCTTTTTTGCTCCTTAGTTTCTCAGATTTCTCCATCTTCTTACTGTCCATCTTCCGCTGTAGAAAACAACAATTTTGTTTGTTTGTTTGTTTGTTCTTTGACGACATGAGATTTCATGTTTTATAGTCTTGTAGTACCATATGAGTTGCTTGTTGTTTTAGATAGATTCATTTTATTTGATCATATACTAGAGCGACAGAACAGTCTTAAGCATACATGAGTCATGAGTATAGAGATCTTATATTTTTGGAGTTGGTAGATGCTTTTTGTGGAATCACCTGAATTCTAGCGAGTTGAGATTCGATCTTTGTAGTTTTCTTTTTCTCCCATTCTGAAATATCTAGGAGCTTCTTCTGAGTCCTGCAATCAGAGAATTTGTCACAGTGGTGAACTGAAATGACCCTGAAAAGGGTTTGGGTTGTTACTTACTTGTTATTGACCTTTGTTATCTTTAGTTCTTTCCATGCCTTGATGACTTTTGACTGCTCTTCTCCTATGTCGTAGTAAGTAATAACAAAAAATTAAGATAACATGAAACTAAACTATACTAAATCTCTGTGAGATGATTACCTCTTTGGATCGGAATATTTGGCTCCATTTGATTGAAAATGAGTTTCAAGCTTTAAGTTGTAATTGCTAGTTAAACGCACATTTAGGTCTATTTATAAACATGTAGCAGATATGTTGACTGCAAAAGGTTGAAAATTTGGAACTGTCGGTTTCAATGAATTCATGAAATGGTGTCGTTTAATGTCTTTTGGGGAATATTTGAACATCATCGTTGGTTTCAATGGTGGGTTTCGTTCTGTGTTTGTCTTTTCATTTGCTTATTTATTTATTTATTCGGTATATGTCACAAGGAATATATATATCACAGCTTGCAAATTAGCGAATCTTGATAAGATTGGCGAGCACTATGTGTTCTTTAATTGCCCTTAACGTATCATTTTGTTATTCAATAAACACACTTGCCAAAGTTTTGTGTTTTTGTCTTCTTATTGAAGAATGGAATCCCCCATATTAAAAATAAAATAAGATGCATGTGTTCAATATATGCCAAAGCAGTCCATACTAAGTCCACTAGTGACTAACTTCACTATGACTATATCTACAAAATTTTTTTTTTTTTTTTTTTTTTTTTTTTTTTTGATAAACCCTATCGGCTGATCCGGTCAGCCCCGGTAGAAACGCACCGAAGTGCTTCAGAGTGGACTTCTCCCCGAAGGGCCACCACACTGTCTATCCCGAGTTTGGAATGCTTTCCGACTAATGCCAGGGGGTAGCCAGATCGCCTGTTACTGGACTACCAGGTAAACTGCTTGGGCCTTTGGCCCAAACCCAGACTTCCCACACAAATGTGTTTTTTGTTTCCAGCGTGGATCGAACCTGGGTTAGTTCCTTCAAACCTTTCCCCAATTCTCAACACCACTGGACCACAGCTGTGTGGGCCTATATCTACAAATTGATAGTACTGAATTTAAATTATTTGATTGGATTGTTGTTATACTAATTTTGTTTTGAGAAATATATGTACAAAGAATTTGTTGAAACAAACAAAAACCTTATATGCATGTAACTTTAGAGTTTAAACCATTAAACCATCAACATCTGGTTGAGCACCCATAATCTAAATGCACCATAATTTTTACTCGTGGACCTTGATTTTTGACAAAATAATTGGCCCATGTAGCAACGATTATGCGGAAAAAAAAATCGACACGTGGATAATAAACCCTCTACTTGGTAAGAGAGTTCCATGTCATTTCACCGGAATTTTTATAAGTTCCCGCCGGCGCCGGGTCGTCAGAGATCAGTTTCCGAATTCTCTTTAGTCGCGGGGGCCAAAACATCTCAATCCCATCTCCTTCTGTAGGTCTCTCAATCCCTTTCTCATTCTCTCTGTGCAGTTTTCTGATAATGCTTCCCAATGTTCGAATTCTGTATGATGCTGAGATTTTATTGGGGTTTTGTGTGCAGATGGAGATTTCTATCCCTCAAACTGGTATTGGTAAATTTGTAACTATTGGTTTGGTTTTCCTGAAAACATTTGTCTGTGACTGGAGTTTTTCAGAATTTCAGCATATTCATAAACGGCTCAAGCTTTGTAGATATCAGGAGGATTAGCCTTTAGGCCTAGAAAGACAGGATCACCTGAGTTATCAAAAAAAAAAAAAAAACTGCTGAATGTGTATGCTCCTACTTTGCCACTCTTCATTGTGTGTAATAAGACTCATTGAGCTTCTACAAACAAATTTTCTTTTGATTTGATACACTTTTCATTTTGTGGTTTTAATTTGATCTCGGACAACCACACAATGGACCATCTTTAAAGGAAAGTATCATTTCAACATTTCCGGAATCATCTGGATTGTTTAGTCACCACACTGAGGTATGTATGTTCTTCTTTTTCTACCAACAGTAGTATATGCTTGGTTTCTCTTATACAACTTGACCACTTTTATTTTCTGGTTCATACGAAATGGTTCACAAAGCAGATGAATTCAATTATCCCTTTTTTCTTTCTTTCTTGTGAAAAAACATAACAATTTTAAGACATTGAATCCACACAAAATGCAAAGAGCGGACAAGCAAACGCAGAAATATCCAAGAAAATAGCATGTCAAAGTTTAACATTTGAATAGAATAATTAGAATGTTTTTCAGAGATTGAGTCGTCCTTTGATGATGTCAAGGCTCATCTCGCTAGGATCAGTTGCTTGCAATTCAACTTGAATTCCATCCATTTCTCTCTTGAACCTGTCTTTTGAGCTTGCATACAACATCTTACTCCGAACTCTTGATGTATCAGGTGACCTGACATGAATACAATTGTCATGATTTTAGAGATACACAATGATTTCAGATCATGTGGGAGAGCAATGTATTACCACGCGATGAAAAAGATCTTGCTCTTCTGACAATTGTCCTCTGTGGTGAAATCAAAATCATAGACTGCGTATCGACATTCGTCATCAGGGATAGAGCTGGTAAAATCATCGTAAGTTTCTTCCGGATTCCCAAGCTTTTCTATTTGGACTTGCTGAGCCTTCTCATCAATTTTGAACACAATGAACCTATAAGTTCTCTTTGCTTTCAACTCTAAGAACTTAAGCTTGCATTCATCATTCACATGCATCCCAGACGCTGAATTAGCCTGCACAACACACATGTAGTCATTTATTTATACATGAACCTTTTCCATTGTATATAGATCTTCCTAACCAAATACCATAAAACTTAGATTTTGATTTAGAATCATCATAGCATATAAATCACATGTTCACAACACCATTCTTTACGATGTCAATTTATACACATGAATACACTATTCATGTTTTACACCTCCAAACCAAATAACACAAAACTTAGTTTCTGATATGGAATCTATCAACATATCACCATATACATTCAACAACACCATCCACCTATAAATTTCACATCTTTACAATCTCTTTTTCGGTGGATGTAAAATCAGAACATAAACAGAATCAATGCATCATCATCATCTACACCAGAAGATTAAATGTAGGAACTTACCATGTTTTCTTTGGAGAAATCGAACTCTAATCCTGTGTTTGGTGATTGGGAAAATGGAGGGGATAGGGAAGAGTGAGGAGGGTTGTGGGGTTTATGAGGTTGTGGAAAAACACAAAGTTGGGTATTTTTGATATTTTCTTTGGTCTTTAGGCTGATCACGTCTTAAAATAGATGACTTTGATGCTATCACGTCGTGCCCATTTTATCAAACCTATATATAGTTTTAGTCCTTGATATACATCTATATCTTTATTTATTTGTGTTTGTTGCTTTGAGCTCAACTTTGGTCGGGAGATCATTGGAGCGTTGAAGTTTTCATGATGAACATGTTTTATATTTTTTTTGTTTTGTTTTATTTCTTCTCTCTTTTTGTCATTGTTGGTCTTGGGCAGCTAGTTTTGATCTTTGACTTTGGCCTCTATGCTATATAGTAAGTATATAACTATATATTGTTTTATGCGGTCCAAACGTACCATTAAGCCCATGAATTCACTGGATCGTTAAAGAGAGAGAGGCCCAACAATTTCCAATTATTGCTTCTGGATTTTAAGAGCCTAGCTTGTGAGTTGTGACCTTGTGTGCTACTATTATGTTCACTTTTAAGCATCTTTGGTTTTTTTGGGGTTGTATTTATTCATGAATATGCTGCTCACACACACAAAAATATGAAATAGCTAACGAGTGTTAACTGTTAATCTTATGTATAAGCGAGGGTTTTACATTTGACGGCATGCAATTAAAAAAGTAAAACCTTGTTAAGGAAAAAGATTATTGTTTATACGTATTCATACTAGAGACGTGTTGCGAAAGTGATACGTCTCCTACAAAGAAAACGAGATTTAATCGTTATTAAGAAGAAACTTCAAAGTCTTTCAGGGATTTTGTCTTTCCTGTACGTATATAATACGTACCTATTTTGACTTTTATTTGGCGTTTTCCAATTTCGTTTTAAAAATTCCAAACGTAGCTAACCTTTGGCAATCATCCGCAACAAGCTGTTCAAAAATGATACATCTATTACATATGATTTATTAAACTAAAAAAGTTTATAATATATGTATTGAGATTTGATTATAACATCCACAAAAAAACAGGAATGCTCTAATTTTAATATTTTTAAACCCAAGAAATACGTTACCTGACATTAATAATTGCCTAACAAACGATTAGGCTCAAACAAACAAAAAAACGTCTTTTTAACTTTGGGTTGTGGGGGTCAATGCTTCATATGATTGGTCCTCATTTGGGCCACAAAAGGTACACGTGTCAAAATCAGACTGCGGTTCTCAAAGCAACCCGGCAATTTCCATGGAAACAGAGGTACGTACGACCAACTTAGTAAGTACCATAGAGTAAAACAGAACACGAACTCACAGAGAAATCTTTAACACTTGTTTTTATTTGCCTTGTTTTTCTAAGAAACTAAGATTGTTTATTCGTTTACTGGTCTTGATTACGACAGGTGATTGATCTTTAAAGGCGAGTTATGTCTTTTTGGTTCTTGTCCTCTGTTTCTGAAGAGGAGAAAAAACTTTAAAAATTGAATAGGTAAGTTCTCTTTTCCTCCCTTTTTTGGTTACTCTTTATTGTTCTTGCTACTCGTTATTCACCTCTTCTTTTAAAAGTCCATGGTTTTGGTTTCGTGTTTCAGAGTTTTCTCTTAATTTACTATGTGTCTTTGTTTGATCTCTGGCTCGAAACTTAGGAATCTCCTTTCCTCTGCAGTTGATAAGTTGTTTTGAAAAAAGCCTAAGCCTCAAATGAGTAATATAAAGCTAGGCGTTGAAGTGATAGGCGCACAGGGTCTGTTTCAGAGAGACAAGCATAACTCATGTAGCCCTTTCGTGGAGCTCAAGTTCGACAACCAGATATTCCGCACAACCACCAAACACAACGACCCAAATCCTGTCTGGCATGAGTGTTTTTACTTCGTTGTCTCTGATCCTTCCGTCTTGTCAAATCGTACACTCGAAGCCCACGTCTACAGCTACCAGAACGAATTCGATGCTAAGCCCTTTCTTGGCAAAGTTCGAGTTAACGGAACATCTTTTGTTCCTCGCTCTGAAGCAGCTCCTTTCAATTACCCTTTAGAGAAACGCAGTGTTTTCTCTCGAGCGCGTGGAGAACTTGGCTTGAGAGTTTTTATCACAGACGATCCTGCTATTACACCTTCTGTCCCAACCCCGGTTCCAGAATCTCCTCAAGCTTTTAGCCCAAGTCCGCGTAAAGAACATGTGAAGTCCTTAATCACAGCTGATGCAAGTATAGCTGCTGATGAGAGAAGAGAGCTAAAGCCTAAAACACGTACGTTTCATAACGCTGCCCCTTTAGTGAAACAACAGCCAATGATGAACTATGGCATCCACGAGATGAGAGCTGCACCGATGCCTCCAAGAGTGGTTCAAGTCAACGGTCCAGGTCCATCCTTGCACCAGCTGCCACCAGATTTCTCTGTCAAAGAGACAAGCCCTTTGCTCGGAGGTGGACGGATCGTTGGAGGACGAGTGGTTCGTGGTACAGAGAGGCCAACAAGCGGCACATATGATCTCGTTGAAGAGATGAGATTCCTCTACGTAAGAGTTGTGAAGGCGCGTGATCTTCCCAACAAAGACCTTACCGGAAGCCTAGACCCGTATGTCGAAGTAAAAATCGGAAACTTCAGAGGTGTTACCACGCATTTTGACAAGAATTCAGATCCGGAGTGGAACCAAGTCTTTGCCTTCGCAAGAGATAATCTTCAGTCGAACTTTCTTGAAGTTGTGGTGAAGGATAAAGACATTGTCCTTGATGATTTTGTTGGGATCGTTAAATTCGATCTCCGTGAGGTTCAGTCTCGCGTTCCTCCGGATAGTCCTTTAGCTCCCGAGTGGTACAGATTGGAGAACAAGAGAGGTGAGAAGAAGAATTATGAGATAATGCTTGCTGTGTGGTCTGGAACTCAGGCTGATGAAGCTTTCGGGGATGCGACTTTCTCAGATTCATTTGTGTCTTCAGACAGCTCCAACATTATATCCGCTAACCTGCGCTCAAAAGTGTACCATTCGCCTCGGCTATGGTACCTAAGGGTGCAAATATTGGAGGCTCAGGACGTCATCATCGTCTCTGATAAAGCCCGTCTTCCAGAGGCTTTTGTGAGGATAAAAGTCGGTAATCAGATGTTAATGACTAGATTTTCCCAGAGAAGCAATAATCCAAAATGGGGTGATGAATTCACGTTTGTAGTCGCAGAGCCGTTTGAGGAAAGCATGGTCCTCTCCGTTGAAGATCACACTGCTCCTAACAGAGATGAGCCAGTAGGAAAAGCTGTGATTTCGATAACTGACATTGAGAAACGTATAGATGATAAACCTTTTCATGACCGCTGGGTTCATCTCGAAGACTCCATCTCAGACGCTATGGATGCTGATAAAGCCAAGAAAGTGAAATTCGCTACTAGGCTCCGTTATAAGGCGGTTCTTGATGGAGGCTACCACGTTTTTGATGAGTCCATGTATAACAGCAGTGATCTCAGACCTTCGTCAAGAAAGCTCTGGAAATCAGCGATCGGAGTCTTGGAGCTCGGGATACTTAACGCAAATGTGTCTCATTCGATGAAAACTCGGGAAGGGAAAGGTACTTCGGACACATACGTTGTTGCCAAATACGGTCAAAAATGGGTTCGATCACGAACTGTAATCAGCAACATGAATCCAAAGTACAATGAGCAATACACATGGGAGGTTTTTGATCCTGCAACAGTTTTAACCATCTGCGTCTTTGATAACGCTCATTTCACAGCTGGAGATGGCGGAAACAAGAGAGATCAGCCGATTGGGAAAGTCCGCATTAGACTCTCGACTCTTCAGACGGGCCGTGTCTACACGCACGCTTACCCTTTACTTGTTCTACAACCTTCTGGTCTTAAGAAAAGAGGGGAGCTTCACTTAGCGGTGAGATTCACCTGCACATCGGTCTCCAATATGCTGATGAAATACACCAAACCTCTCCTGCCTAAAATGCATTACATACTACCCTTATCCACAAACAAACTGGAATCTCTTAAGGCGCAGGCTTTCAACATAATTGTTGTTCGTTTAGGCCGGTCCGAGCCACCCCTGAGACGGGAAGTGATTGAGTATTTGACAGATGCGAAAAGTCATCTGTTCAGCATGAGGCGAAGCAAAGCCAACTTCAATAGGTTCACAACGGTGTTCTCGGGTGTGCTGTCGGTCTGGAAATGGATGGAACAAGTGTGCACATGGAAGACTCCTGTGACGACGGCTCTGGTGCACGTGCTGTACACTATGCTTGTAACGTTCCCGGAGATGATTTTGCCGACTGTGTTTCTGTATATGGCTGTGATTGGGATGTGGAATTACAGGTTTAAGCCCAGATTTCCTCCTCATATGGACGCCAAACTATCTTATGCAGACAATGTGAATGCTGATGAGCTCGACGAAGAGTTTGATACCTTCCCGACCGTAAGGGCTCCGGACATTGTGAAAATGAGGTAACAAAAATTATTAAGATGATCGAAAACGAGGAAAGATCTTTGTTCATTGGTTGATAGTTTTGCTCCCTCTGTGTTCTTGTTTCTCAGGTACGACCGGCTGAGAAGTGTGGCCGGGAAGGTACAGTCGGTGGCTGGAGACATAGCGGCACAGGGAGAGCGAGTGCAGGCGCTGCTGAGCTGGCGTGATCCACGTGCCACCGCAATTTTCGTGACATTCTGTTTCATCATTGCCATGGCTCTCTACATTACCCCGTTTAAACTCGTGGCTCTCTTATCGGGCTACTACTTCATGCGACACCCTAAGCTCCGACACCGCATTCCCTCCGCTCCAGTCAACTTTTTCCGTCGACTTCCGGCCATGACCGACTCTATGCTGTGAAATGTGAATCTTCTTCTTCTAGATAGAGGAGTCAACAAACATGTATGTATATAACTATTCATCTTCTTATCTGAATTTGTAACTCGTTCAATGGTGATCGCAAACAAACCCTGATGATCAAATCACTTGCTTTCACACTCGCAATGTTGAAACAGAGAATATAAAAGCTCAAAACAGAGTCGGTTAGATCCTAACAAACCAGCTCCAATTCGCAACCAAAGCTAAACCCGGTTTGATTCAAGCTGAACCAGATCCGTGTATTTGTTAGATCAACAATACTCGACAAGATATAAAAGCCCATGGGCCTTGAACAAAACAACGTCACATCACTAATTAATACTGTTTTAGTGTTTAATTAGTTCCCTCGTTGATTAATCTGATTGATTACAAAAGTCCGTTAGTGATTACGGCATGAAGAGCCAACGGGAAAGAGGAAGCCATACTTTTCTCTCTCTGTGTCTCGTTCTATGAACAGAGACCACTTGCGTTAACAGGCGGTGCTAAATTTTTTCAGAAATTAAAAACCCCAAAATCTGTACGACAAACAATTTATTAATTAACTTTTTTTTTCTTCTATAAGGTAATGGCGAGATTCTTTGTTGCCTTGTTCGTCTCTCTCACACACCCATTAAAATATTGCATCAACTTGTCGGTAAATTAATTTTTGGCTTATTCTATCTTTTTTTCTCTGTCTTGTTCTTTCAATTTCAAAAACAAATAATAATTATCTGAAATATACAGATGTGTATATATTAGATACACGTATACTACTACTTCACTGTGTGATCTGATCTAGTTTTTTATATCAAAAATAATCGACAATTTCGGATTTGTTTATGCTTTACTTCACATGAATCACATACGTTCATGTCGATTCCTTTGAGATACTCTGTCTCGATTTCGTTTTTTTTTTTCTAATTTAAAATTATTGTAACCACGTGGATTTGCTTGTCCTGGTTTTGTTTTTCTCTCGAGCTCTTTGATGAAATCGAGGAACCTAGTCAATTTCTTCGTGGATCCAAAAACATTGTTGATTCGTAGTAGCTTAATAGGTTTCTGCTCTTGATTGGCTCCAGCTGCTTCGCCGATTTTAGGGCTTTTTCTTCTGTTTCTGCTTCGATTCTCAATTTTTTTCCTTTCGATTTTGAGTTTTCTTCTGTAGTATTGCTGTAACTAGTCGAGTTGACAAGGTACGACCTTTCTCTTTTATACATAGTTTCTTCTACTTCACTGATTTAGAAACTATGGAATATTCGATTTGCTAAGATATAATTTTATTGCAGCTTCTGGGTTTACGAAGAGACATCTCCTAATTGAAACAAAACCTTTCCTTTCCATTGGATTGAAAAGAAAAAAAGCAAGAGTCTTGGAATATTTTTTGGAGCGTGGTTTATTTAGATGGGAGGTCAATGCTCTAGCCTGAGTCAGTGTTGCAGGAACTCTTCACACAAGACAGCTGTTCTTGAAGCGCCTGATCTTGGTTAGTTTAGCTTTTTCAGTTTCTTATGACAATAATTACTTGGATCTAAGAAGCTATAAGGCATTGTCTCATTGGTGCAGATAATGGAGAGAGTAGTGAGATCACTGATGTTCCTAATTTCCGGGAGTACACTTTAGAACAGCTTAAGGCGGCTACTTCTGGTTTTGCTGTGGAGTATATTGTATCTGAGCATGGAGAAAAGGCTCCAAATGTTGTCTATAAAGGGAAATTGGAGAATCAAAAGAAGATTGCTGTCAAGCGTTTCACTAGAATGGCCTGGCCTGATGCACGACAATTCTTGGTATGTATCTTAATCTTTCGAAATTGTACTTTGTTTTCTCTCTTTTAATCAGATATTGGGAATGTGTTCTTCCTTGTGCAGGAGGAAGCGAGGTCGGTTGGTCAGCTGCGGAGTGAGAGAATGGCAAATTTACTCGGATGTTGCTGCGAAGGTGACGAGAGGTTACTTGTAGCAGAGTTTATGCCTAATGAAACACTAGCCAAACACCTTTTTCACTGTGAGAGTCATTTTTCCTATTTATAGCCTTTCATTTAATAACCTTGCCATGCTATTCTTGGAAGTTATCATGTCTCAAGATTCTAAGTCTACTTTTTATGCTACTAGGGGAAACCCAACCTATGAAATGGACTATGAGGCTGCGGGTTGTTTTATATCTAGCACAAGCTCTTGAATACTGCACCAGCAAAGGCCGTACTCTTTACCACGACCTCAATGCTTACCGGGTTTTGTTTGATGAGGTATTATTATTAGTTATATATATAAGCCACTTTAACTCTTTTTTGGAACCTGTCCATGTTTCTATGTTATTCCTTCGTTCTCTGACGCCTTAAGGGCCTTTTAATAAGGAATGCAATCCAAGACTTTCTACTTTTGGCTTGATGAAGAATAGTCGGGACGGAAAAAGTTACAGCACTAATCTTGCTTTCACCCCTCCTGAATATCTACGAACTGGTATATCATTGGTGTTTTCTCCAAGATTCATATGGTTGAGACTAAGTTGCACGTTCTGTTTGTGTGTGTATTTACAGGGAGAATTACTCCAGAGAGTGTGATATACAGCTTTGGCACTCTTCTGCTTGATCTTCTCAGCGGAAAACATATACCTCCTAGCCATGTAAGTATTTTTAGCCAAAAAAAGTTTGTTTTCCTTACGAGATTGCTGCTTTTACTTGGAAGGTGAAGGCTGATTCTTTCATTCTGTTTTATGCAGGCTCTTGATCTGATTAGAGACAGAAATCTTCAAACACTAACTGATTCTTGCCTAGATGGGCAATTTTCTGATAGTGATGGCACAGAGCTAGTACGCCTGGCTTCTCGTTGTCTTCAGTATGAAGCTCGTGAGCGGCCAAACACGAAATCTTTGGTGACTGCCTTGACACCTCTTCAAAAGGACACAGAGGTTCCTATTGATTTTCCGAGCCATTAGAATAACTTGGACCAAGTTTCTGTTAGTTAACTCAAGATAAATGTTTCCTTGTGTTGTAAACTGCAGGTCCCATCTCATGTTCTAATGGGTCTACCTCACAGTGGTTCAGTCTCTCCTCTGTCCCCTCTTGGTGAGGCTTGTTCAAGAAGGGACCTGACTGCTATGCTTGAGATCCTGGATAAACTTGGATACAAAGACGACGAGGGTGTCACCAATGAGGTACCTTTTCAGAATTAAGTTGGAAAAACTAGTGGTTTGGCTCTGTTAATCAATGAATAGCTTCTTTCTTGGTCTTCATGGCGTTGCGTTACTTTGTTTTGGCAATGCAGCTCTCGTTTCAAATGTGGACAGACCAGATGCAAGAGTCTTTGAACTCGAAGAAGAAGGGTGATGTGGCTTTCAGGCAAAAAGACTTTAGAGAGGCCATTGAGTGTTACACACAGGTCGGGACTTTCTTTTAGCACTTAAAATGAAATATAAGAACACATAGCATTGGCCTGATTCTCTTTCTTGAAACTTTTGACAGTTTATTGATGGAGGAATGATCTCTCCAACAGTGTGTGCTCGCCGTAGTCTGTGTTACCTAATGAGTGACATGCCAAAAGAAGCTTTAGATGATGCAATTCAGGCTCAAGTGATCTCTCCCGTGTGGCATGTTGCGTCATATCTGCAGTCTGCTTCCCTTGCTTTCTTGGGAATGGAGAAGGAATCTCAAATCGCACTCAAAGAGGGCTCGAACCTTGAAGCAAAGAGGAATGCAGGTTCCCGAGTGAAGTAAGATATATAGCGTTTAAAGATTTGTCTTTTGGGAAAGATGAAAGAACATCTTACCAAGTAAAAGGGGTTTGAATCTTTTGAGCACAGTGATGGGAAAACACTCAAAGAGCAATGCAAAACTATAGACCCGCTTTTTCTACAGAGATGATTGGTTTTATTGCTCTTCTTGTGCCTCTTTTTATGGGCATTGAATTGAAGGAGTCACTTCCTTTATTGGCTTTGAAATCCATTTCCTGAAACTTTATTGTACTAAAGAAAAACCATTATTGCAGAAACCAAAAGAGGTTTTGTTTCTTTTGATCCATTGGTCACACAGACTAAATATGTATGAACTCTGTCTTGAGTAATTGGGTGAGAAGAGACAGTCCACAGTGAGAGGGGTTTTGTGGTTAAATACCAAAAGTTGGGTGGATCATTCAAATTTTTAACCCGACACAAATCTGTATCTTCAAATTCGTGTTTATCAATCTTTTTCTTTTGAACATTGCTGTCCTATATATGACTGTTTAGGGGGAAAGAAAATGGTGCAAGCCCCTGTTTCTGAAAACATATCTCCTGCGGGCATAAGCTTTTTCATAAAACTGAATCTTATCTGAAAAAGCTTGTGATATTAGGGCAAGGGAAATGATCTTGATGGATTACAAACATATAAAATGATACACCAAACATATAAGGGGGTCAGATTTGTGAAAGAAAAAAACAAAAAAAAATGAAAGTGAAGGTGAAAAAGACAAACGGAGAGCAAATTGAGAGAGAAGCTAGTCAGAAGAAGAAGAAGCTCCATGAACACAGTTATTTCACATCTCCTCGGGTCCCGGCATGCAGATTTCCAGACTCTCCTCCGGCAACAAAGCTTGGAAGCAGAAGTGGTTCAAAATTGATGTACACACTGCAGTAAATAGAGGGAGAGAAAGAAAGCTGGATTTGGACACACTATAAATGATCCTAAGAGCTACTTCCCGTTCCCTGGCAATGCGCTGGAATTAGACGCTGTCGCAGCTCTGTTGATGCACCCGCAAGTTCTGAACAGTCAAACACAATGCCAACAAATCAATGAGACAGAACCAAATGTACACCCAATCCATCAAACATTTATTTTATTCTGTGCAATTTCTACTCTTCACATATGATGGTGAATTCTTAACAAAGTTGGCTAACTTCACAATTTTTGTAAGGATGAAGACAAGGTAACTAATATTTATGTATTGACCTTGTGCAGTGAAGTTAAACAATGGAGGTAGTGCTCTTCCATTTGGCAGTGAAACATTCGGATCCCGTAAGTCATCAAAGAAGGGGTGTGCACAAGCTTCCAACTAAACAAATGCAAAAAAGTTTTTTGTAGAATTTGAGTTAGAAAATTCCAAATCACACAATGGAGGTTATATAGTTTTGTGGTGTCCAGTAGGATTTAGTCTCACAGCAGTGCAACGAAGGTTTGGTGAATACTGAAGGAGTCTCGAGACAAGGTCTACTGCTTCAGGTGGCATTCGCTTATGGAAAATCTGAAGAGTTTTGTGCTGCATTAGATTTCATTTAAACATGCACATACACCAAAGAGTCACCTGCGATTATTTCACAAACCTTGTGCCATGGGTGAGCTTTGATTTGAGGAAACTTGAACTCCGTGTAATTGGGATTCATACACCGTATTTCTTCTCTTGTAGGCGTCCCAAGAATCTGGTAGATGTACAGATGAGTAAGATAGTAAACATGAAATATTTAAAAGAGATGAAGGAACATGAGGGATCAGAGTAAGTACCTTGATTATCTCCACCAGCTGATCAATGCCACTTTCCCCGGGAAACAGTGGCTACAGGTGGAAAACCAACAGTTCAAATCAGATTAAATGTGATTTCGAAGTAACAATGTAACCAATCAATCAAAAATAACATACTCAATATATAATATACTCACTTGACCGAGTAAAAGCTCTGCCATGACACAACCGCCGGACCACATGTCAATGGCATTGGTATACTCTGTCGCCCCAAATATAAGTTCTGGGGCCCTGTAGTACCGGGAGCATATATAGGATATGTTAGGTTCACCGGGTACCTGAAGATGCAAAAGGGTGTTAGCCATCATTATTCAAATGATAACCCATCTCCCAGAACACTTCAACAAAAACAAAATGAACATACCAACATCTTTGCGCTTCCAAAATCGCATATTTTTAGTTGATGAGTTTGAGGATTAACCTATGAAAGCCACATCATAAGAGAATCAATGTTATTATCCTTTCATACGACTAACCAACCTTTAAGCAGAAAAATATTCACACTATACCAGTAAATTTTGTGGCTTGATGTCACGGTGACACACCCCAACCACGCGATGTAAGTAGTTCAGCGCACGGCAAATCTGATATTCAACAAAGTAACAGAAATGACAAAATCAACATAAGTGAAATTTTAAATTTCCCATGTATCTGAAGCTTTATGCGACACAGATTACTAGAAATGAGTAACTGGAGAGCTTATAGAACTCACCTGATAAGTGTAGAGCTGAACAAAGATAATTGGCATGTGCTGATTCATTTTGGTGTAGTGCTTTGATGCTCTGTATACAGTTTCGGGAACATACTCAAGGACAAGGTTGAGATACAGCTCATCCTTGTCAGTTGTTGAAAAGAAAGAATGCCTCAGTCGCACAACGTTGGGATGGTCTTGCAAACGCATGATCTGAAGTTCTCTGTTCTTGTATCTTTTATCCTGCAGAACCTTCTTAATTGCAACTTGTTCACCCGTTTCCAAGCACTTGGCCTATCCAAAAATCAGACAGAACGTCAAATTCTGGGAACACAAAAAGTTGAGGATTAGTTTTGATCCTGCTATAAGAATTTCCACCTACCTGGAACACTACTCCGAATGAGCCGGTTCCAACCACTCGCTGGGCCATGTATGAGATTGTCTGAAACAAGTAATAAAGAGTAAATTAATGATACACCCAACTAATCGTACAGAGGAGAACAGAAGTGAATAGAGAAACCATCTTTTCATAAAAGAAATGAGTATCATGATTAATAGCTTTTCTCAAACACAATGGCAATCAGCAAAAAAGTTAGTTGAATGACCTGCTTTGGCTTTCCATCTCTACCCCCGACTGTGGTTGTAATAACTTGTCCCGTTTCGGTCCCACTGCCGTTTACAACAGTTGTTTCCATATCCTGCACAAGCCAATGAAGATGTGAGCCGTGGCTAATGGAGATAAGGATGATATATATAACCAGAAGGCAGATCATAAAATTTGATTAAACAAGTCACCTTCTCCTCGCGGTTGGCATTTCGCTCGTCTCTAATCCTCATATCGATCATAACTTCGGGAAGCTGATCATCCACGGTTTTTTCTGATACAGCAGGCACATTTGACGTTCCAGCAACACTTTCTTGTGAGAAAATGTCAGCTTTCATCTCAAAACAAGAACTATTTTGGTCAACCTGCATAGGATCAGCACACAAGTTGTCGTTCTCTTGATCCAGCTTGGCTCTCTTCAAAGCATAGTCCCCACCCTAAAATCTCAGAAACAAACACCAGAATTGGTCAGGTCAACATATATCATCAATCAAGAGCACACTACTCATACCACAATCAATCAAGAGCACAGCAGAGATAATCAAAGCCGTACAAAAACATAAGCATTACTAGAATATCTAAAAACTAAAGATCTCAAAGCCTTGAATTTGACTTGTAACATACTATAAACGACATCAATCCGTAATATGTGAATAAAACTAAGAAAGAAATTTTCCTGGAAAATCAGAAATCTATAAATCAATCTGACATTGAAAATGGCATACTTACAGGATCCGAAGAAATCGAGGTCCGACCCGAAGCAATGCTCTTGAGACGACGCATCACGTTCATCTTCACCAACCAAAAGAGGACGAACTCAGAAACCCTAAATCTCCGAAAATCTTCACCACCACAGCTTCATGTGGAGAGAGAAAGCAACAAAAAAAAAGGAATCAACAGATTCAGATATTTCAAATTCGAATACTCCAAAAGCAAAACCAAAAATCTGAGTTTTGGATTCTTCTTCTTCTTCAAACGAAATATCTGGGGAAAGAAGAATCTCCCGTGCGTCGTCCTTCTTCGAGCTTCTTCGGTTTCTTCTCTTCACGACCCAACCAGGTGGAATCTTTCTCTTTCTCTCTCTCTCTCTCGTGGGCAAAGCCAATCATGCCAGCCTCGTTCTCTATCTCTCAACTCTTTTTTTTTTTTTTTGGTCAAACATTGACTCCTCACCGTTGATTTATCGCAGCAACTCATCCGACGGGTTACGATGAATCCGCCTGATTTCGACAAGCTGTGTTTACTAAAATACCCCTGTCTTCTTTGTTTATTTACGTATCCGGGATTAGGCAAAGGATTGGGGTTTTGAATGATTGCATCTAGCCCACGCGGAATATGCGGGCTCTGTATTCTTTATTTGACCATCTTTGACCACTTCCCTCTTTTGCTGCAAGATACAGATAATTATACTATTTCTTACTGTTTTTAGACATTTTTAATAATGTGTGTTCAAAGTTTTAAACAATTCACTCAACTCCAAGCACATCATCATCCTATGAGGTAATCTATAAACAATTCAAGTAATTTATTGTTTTACATAGATCATAAGCTTACTATTAGATTGAGAAACGAAGTAAAATAAAATAATAGTTTAGTTACTATCTAAGAAATGTCAATAAGGAACTGTTTCTACTTTCTACTGCTTGAAGCCTTGAACCATTGCCTTCTGGGCTTATCAGAGCAGTATCAATGTAAGCCTTTGCAAAATGAACGATTAATAATGGGCACAGAATTTCTCATAGGCCCAAATATTGTTTCACGGGCCAGGCCATAATATATTGGTAGGCTTTAAAATAAAGCCCACTAACGTATATGTATATCCATGCAACCATTGCTTACGTTTCTTTCTCTCTTTTTTTTTTCTTGCTTACGTTTCCTTTCCAGTCTGCAACTTAAAAACAACACAAGATAGAGAAAGAAACAGAAGGGAGAAAACGACGGCGTAGGGCTTGTTCTTTTTCCAGTCGCCGCGACTGTGTCTGCGACAGCCCAAAACGACGATGACGGCAGCCAAACAAAAAACAAAACGACGGTGATGATCTTACGGAGGTGTCGCAGGAGAGAGACGGAGTTGTCCCGTTAACACAAAAAGGATCGCCGGAATTTTGAGCGACTGTTGCGAAGACTCTTTTAACAAAAGCGGCGACTCCTTTTATTGATTTGAACTCCGGCAACGACTATTTTGTAATCGCAGAAAGTGGTCGCTGCGACAACGTAACGAACAGGGCCGTAACGTCTGGTTCCTCGCACCAGTCTATCAAGGAATGACGTGGCGCAACGAAAATGGCGGAATACGTAAGCCCCATATCATGCAAAGGAAGGAGCCAAAGGATTGCATTAAATGAATGAAGAAGCCTGCAAAATACATTTAATGCTCCACGAGAGACAGCTTTTTTTTTTTTAACTTGAAACGATACAGATCCCATCCAACATAACATCATCCCACAGTTCGCGTTTTCTAACCACAACACACCCCACGCGTGTGGCTTACTCGCGCTACATAATAATAATACTAAAAAAAAACACAAACAAAAAGGATAAAAGGGGGTTTCCAACCCCAGTCAATACCCGAACCACCAACTCCTCCACCGTGATCGGACCCGAACCCTTCTATGTCGTGGCCCCATCACGGTGACAAAGGAGTTGGATTTCGCCACTCGCGCGGTTCGTTCTTGACTCGACACCCCCCCAAATCCCATAGTACAAGACCAAAAAAAGTTATAAAATTCACAACTCATTAAGAAAGAGAAACACACGCCGCCTTCTTGATCAGGATTAGCTTTCGCACTGTAAAGCAGCCCGAATCTTCTGAACGGTGCATGATATTAGGTTGTTGACAGTCTCCACCGACTCAACCGTGAGTTTTGCCGTTGGGAGATTGTTAACAAGGATTTGAAACGCCACCGTCAAGAGGGATCCACCACCATCCGGTCGCTGTTCACCATCACCTGACCCACCACCGTCAATGCCTCCGTCAGGTAGAACAGCAAAACCGGACGGAAGGAGAGCCACGTAGGATGAATCACCACCGTTCATCACAACATGCATGGCGGGTATGTCGACAGGCGCGTAGACTACAAGCGCTCCAGATGCGTCTATGCAAGTCTCCTGAAGAATTAGCATACTACTCTGATTCGCGTTCATTGCCTGTAGAGAGTTGACAAAACACCAAAATAACCCTTAGATAAAGTGTTTATTTACGAGAATTGCCACTCTGACCAAACAGTAACGCTTCATGGTGAAAAGAAAAACAAGTCAAAACAACTTTTCAGATAAGTAACCAACAAAAAAAAGGAAGTGGTGAAAAGTCAAAAATATACAGGAACAAGTAAAGGTCGAAACTGTCCAATTAATTTTGACTTTTGAAACGCTTACAAAAGCTGTGACACTTTTGTTTTCTACTTAATAAACATATAAATTGAAACTATAGTGTCATCTTTTGATACCACCCAAATTCCTAACTTGTCCTTTCCCAATCCACTCTTTTGTCCGTCATACCACCATCACCCCCAGGGACAAAAACGTCACAATCACCTCATCCATATTCCCCACAAAAACCCAACCAATCACACACACCTAATTAGCTAAACCGGAAACTCTATTATACAGACCGGTTTTACTGAACTAATATCACCTAACCGGTCAGAATAGCAATGTTAAACCAGAATAGCAATAATTCTAGATTTCAAAAGTTTATAATCACACAAGTAGCTAATGCAAATACTCTGTTTTTTTTTTTTTGTTATATGGTAAGAAACGGATTACCTGGTTTTGGATCAGGCTCATACTCGGACTCGAGAAGGAAGAATCTCAAGTCACTCTCTATCTGAAAATTACAGCTTGGACAAAACCACCTGATCCCAACTCTCCCTTTCGTCGCGTTACCGAAACCATAAGAGAGACAGTCGTTGCAGTCTTTCTCAGACAAATCCGGCGTGCACTGCACGGCACCAAAGAATGTGCTGTAAGGCGGAGAGCCAGGATCATTTCCTTGAGCATACTTCCTCTTAGAGCCACCTGCTGCAGCCATGGATCTGAGTCGGTTAAGTAACTCGCTCTGCAACCGAATAAGCTCGTTTCTATCTCCCTTAGCGTTGCTCAGATTCGGTGCTTCCAGAACAGGACTCGTTTCGAGTTTCCCGTAAATGGGTTTGTCTGAGTAACGAAACATACATTTCGTGGCACGCACGTAAGCTTCCCTACTTTGTGGACAGTACATTGTAGTTAGATTCACTGCGGCTTGAGCGACACAGTTAAGACAATCTACTCGATTGACTACTCTGTTGCAGATCCCGATAGCCTCGACTCGTTCTTGATCCGAAATTCTTCCGACAAAGAGAGTGTAGAAGTTGTAGGTGTTGGACTTGAGAGAAGGGATTGAAGAGACAAGACTGTTTAGGTTTTTGGAGAATTGGGATTCGGCGAAGTTGCTTTGTGGGGATAAACATAATGGGTTTGAGGGAAAATCCCATACAGTACTGTTTATGTCAACGGAGATTTGTTGTGCTAAGCTAAGAAATGGGACGAACAAGAAGAAGAAAAAGAACAAGTGTTGTGGTCGAGAAAAAGAACAAGAACTAGTCATGACTCCAAAGTGGACTTCCTGGTTATGAATGAATGTTGTAGTTTGTTTTTTTGGTGAGGTGAATGTTGTAGTTTAGTCATGGTTTTATATAGTTTTTATTTTATTTTTAGCGGGACCAAATTTAATAAGTCTTTGTTATTGCCACTTTGAAAATTTCTAGTCTTTGAAATTTCTCGTGACGTGTTTTTTTTAATACGTCAAAGTAGGTTAGCTGCAACGTAGCTGTATAGCAAAATAACAATCCGGAACTTTTAAGAATATATGATTTTTATTATTTTTACATCGTATATGATTTTTTTTAATATGTTTAAAATGGTTTTTCTTCTTGACAAAAAAAACAAAAAAAAAGAGGCAAGCTTAAAATGTTACGGGGAAAAAATGAAGTTGCGCTTGTAAGTTGTAACCTATGAGAGTAGAAATCGCAATTCGCAACCTTGCAGAAGAAGATAAAAGAGGAAATTACAGTGTTTACCTTTCATTTAAAAAAAAAAAAAGTTGAGTGTTGTTCCAAAATAAAATAAAATTGTAAATCGTATTAATTATATAACTTGTCTACCAAGCAGATCAGAATATATGGTTATTAATCATTTTTGCTTTCCGTTGGATTTTTTTCGTTCTGGTATTCTTTTATTCATTCCTTTATTTAGGTGTCAGCGAATGAGACATCTCGAGTTTTGTTGAAAAATCAAATGATGTTAGTTGGGAATGTGGAATATTGATAGTTCTCAACAATTTAATGCGAACTTGCAATTAACAAAAAAAAAACAATTTAATGCGAACTGTGGAAAAAAGTGCTACATTTGTTATTTGTAGGAGGACTATATAAATAAAAAACTCTTGTCCAAATTTGAAAAATGAAGACCAAAAAACTGCCAGCTAGTAATTCCGATCCAGAGGAATTATTGATGAGAAATGCGATGAGTGTAAATACAGTGACTCACATGAATATATTTCAATGTATTGAATAACGAGATTTACAAGAGTATATTTATACATAGCTAGAGAAGGTTATAGAATACATAGAAAAGGAAGTAGAGAATATTTACAATTCTATAGAGTATCCTCATTAGAATATTGATGAGAAAAAGCAAAGGGAACCACACACAATTGAGGTAAAAGGGATGAGTGTAACTGTAAATACAATGACTCACATGTTTGGTTACAAGATTGACACTACAAGTCTACAAGCTCAAACAACATTCAAGAGTAATCAAGACCATTGATCAAGAGATAAGGAACATCATCACATCAAGAAGGCACAAGGTCTCAGCTTATCGATATGGCTAGCTGGCCTGATGATATTAGATTTATATAATAGTTGAGGACACTGAATTGTATAAAAGGAAAACAGATAGATGGGAAATAGATCATTTTGGCCTGATTTTAATGTAAAAGTAACTTTTATGATGATAATTTTTGTCAAACTTACTTCTTAAACCCTATTTGGAGGTATAAAAAACAGAAACCTAAAAGAACAACTCTTCAAAACCTGTTTTTTCATATAAATACAGCTCTTGCTTACTCAACAAACTGACTTAAAATGAGATCACATACTTACCAAATATTTTACAACACAACCAAAAATCATAGTGACACATTCTGAAGTAACTTTAAAGCGAGAAATTTTTTTCATTTTCGTCTTAATTTAACGAGGATCTAACTCAGTAATTGCAACATCATTCAAAGACGCATAACTTGTGTGATTGTTGAGTCTTGCAAAAGATTCTCCATCTCCCGAGTAAAACGCGGGTTGTGAGGGTCTCGGTAAAGTGATAGCATTTGCATTGAGCATTACAACAACAGAAGCCATTGTTGGTCTACTCTCTGTATTCTCCTGGACACACAACAAACCAATGTGAATGCATTTCATGATTTCATCACTTAGACCTTCAATCAAACTTGGATCCACAACGTTTATGTTGGATTAAAAAGATATAAGAGTGATACGATGTTTCTCCTTGTCTTATGTTGTTATCAAATAGATCATTTTGCAAAGGAAAAATGATCATGAGTTACACAAAGAGGGCTTGTTCTTTTTCCAGTCGCCGCGACTGTGTCTGCGACAGCCCAAAACGACGATGACGGCAGCCAAACAAAAAACAAAACGACGGTGATGATCTTACGGAGGTGTCGCAGGAGAGAGACGGAGTTGTCCCGTTAACACAAAAAGGATCGCCGGAATTTTGAGCGACTGTTGCGAAGACTCTTTTAACAAAAGCGGCGACTCCTTTTATTGATTTGAACTCCGGCAACGACTATTTTGTAATCGCAGAAAGTGGTCGCTGCGACAACGTAACGAACAGGGCCTATAGCTCAGCATGACCAATGACCATACATTTAGACGAAGTTTTGTATTTAGTTTGGGATCCCTTGATTACCAAAATATGATTACAGCTTTTTAAAAGGATGTTGTGTTTTTCTTAATTGACCTAATAATTGGGCTTAGATAGTTAGCCTTGCAAATAGTATTGGGCTCTAATACAGGCCTTAACATTTACTCTTTTCAATTCTATTGATGGGTTACTTACAAAACGTAACGTTGCCATCCCGAAACCCTAATAACTTTCGATTCCCGTTATGAATTTAGTTTTCGTTGAGTTTTACTTGCTTATATTGGTATCTGACTTACTAATTTCCATGATTTTTGGTATCCAGAAACACTGTTCATAGAGGTGTTAAGGACATTCCTTCACAAAACAAGAAGGTAGGTAATCGCGTATCAATCGTTACTGGATTAATCTTTATTACATTTTCTACTAAATATATCGAATTGCTTGTTCTCCCCATTTAGAGATGTGTCTGCGTGAAATCGTTCAGCCATCTATAAGTATGCATAAGCTATTAATCGAGCGTGACAATTAAGCAAAGCAACATAGCATATAGTGTGTCCATTTTGCAGTATTCTTGTCCTTAAACCGTACTACATGAGTCCACCATATGATTTTTTGAACTATATGATTCACGTTTCCAGATTTTATTCTAAAACAGCTCCAGACGGTAGAAACTAGAAACTCAGAATATGTAGATCAATAGTTTAATTTGCTGCCTTTTTTTGTTGTCTCTGATTTGAAATTTTTCTCTTTGAGACATATTCTTGATTGATCAAGTTCTTTTTCCCCTTTTATGTCCCTCTTTCTTTTTTCCTATAATTTAAATGTCATTCATCTTTTTTTGAAATTGATAAGTGGAGGGATAATAACGAGACTGGACATGGAAGAAAGTTCCAAAATAAAGTAGCTCATACTCTAAGGATAAAATCTTTAATGTTTCTTTGGAACCTTCATTTTCATTTCTTTAATACTTTTGTTTCTTGTCTGTTCTCGTTCAAAAAAACTCCATTACATTACAAAACTCTCTTTTGGGCCTTTGTGCTCTGTCTTAATTTTCTTTTGTTATTTACTCTTTTCTTTGTCGGAACAACGATATCTACGCAAGAGGTTTTCAAATTCTATAATCGTTATCATAGTTTCACTATTTCTATTTGTTTTTAGACAGAGATGTTGTCTTGATTGAATCAAGGTTCCTTTCTTAGAAAAAAAAAAAGAAATGCATGTCGGCTTTCATCTTACTTTTTGTGCTAAGTAAATTAAAAAGTAAACTAAAGGTAATTAATGTTTATCCATTGCTTTTGCTAGGTTCATGTTCTTTTATTTTTTTTGGTGCAATAATGGCTAGATTAGTTAAGCCAGCTTGCAGATTGCAATTTGACTGCAAAGTTTCCCCACTTCCATAACTATATATGTGATATCAAATCATTTCATTATGACGAGCGAACTCTTGAGTCTTGACACCTATCATTGTCAGGACTCTGCTTTATTTGGTCGTTTTTATTTTGCTTGAAAAGGTCAAAAAAAGCTTTACTCATTTGGATATTGATTAGTACTCCGTATTACACAAAGTCTTTTCATTTGGATATATTTTCCCAAATGTTTCCACTGCTTTCATCATTCATTTGCTTTGGAGATAAGTCAAATACCTTGACAACTAACTAATTCCCTAACTAAATATCTAACATTTGTTTATTAAGTATTGTCTAATAGTCTTCAAATCTTTTTTGGTGAATTATATTAAGTGTTAATTTATTCGGACCCCATTGTGATCTTGTTCTGTCACATTAATTACTTATATCGAGTAGTTTTATACAACCATTTTGATAGACATATATCCATGTGACCATGTTAAGTACAATATAAATGGGTCATTTGTTGGCAGTTTAGTTGTGGCTCCAGAGAAGATCCAAGTGGCTCATGTTTCTTCGGGTTACTTTGCTTTCATGATCTCTTCTCATAAATCATTTCTTTTGATGGTTCCCTTTGTTTTTCTCTTTATCGGAAAGTTACATGTATACGTTGTTTCTTTGCCACGCCTGATTTGAATTAAAGGCTCACTGACCAAAACATCCAAGCCTGACTTTTGCTAAAGCATATACCTATGTCACTTCCCGGCGACTTTTCTTTTTTTTTGCTCTTTGTCGAACCAAAACAAATTTCTAGATAATGTAGATAATTTATACTTCTAAAAAAATTTGCATACCACAAAGCCACATAGGTAAACTATATACTGGACTTGTAAAACCATTAGTACAAGTTGAAATATCTTAGACATTTGTTTTGTTTATATGAAAAATTTAGTCAATAACTTTTTTTTATGTTTTCTTTTCAACTTGTTTTTTATTTCTTTTTGGCTTCAACTTTGCTTCTTTTTGATAAAAGACACATGTTGTTCCTAATCTTTATTGTCTTTAATTTTGAAAATGCCCCAATTAAATTTTTTTTTTAATTGCACCTTTAATGTGCTCCCTGACTCCCAAATCTACACGATACACTAGAAATAGAGAAAAAGAAAAACCCTCAGATAAAACACTTGTAGATATAAAAGACACACACCTCAGAGAAGAGAAGAGCAGAGCAGAGCAGAGCAGAGCAGAGAGAGAGAGAGAGAGATCCAACTTCCACATAGAACCATGGAAGCTGAAAAAGAAACAGAGCAAGAAGGAAACTTATCAGTAATGATACTTCCGGTGTTACCAATCAAACCCAACACTCACAGCCACTCTATGTCATCACCTATTCACAGTTCCATATCAGCTTCAGTCCCCTTTAGCTGGGAAGAAGAGCCTGGCAAGCCCAAGCAACACTCTTCTTCTTCTTCTTCCTCCTCTTCCTCACCATTAACTTCTTATTCTTCATCTCCTTTTGAAACCCACAAGTCCTTGGAGCTACCACCAAGGCTTCACTTACTTGAAAAAGATGGAGGATCAGTCACCAAACTTCACTCGCCTATAACAGTCTTTGATGGACCTTATAGCATGACGAGATCAAAAAGGATGGATTCACCTTCCTTTAGGATGATGGTGAAAGGTAGTGCTGATTGTTATGGGTCTTTCAGGAGTGACATCTATGGTGATTTAGAGGATGTGGAAGTGGACTCTAAGCAGCAGGAGAACTTGAGTAGTGGCTCTTTGGTTGTTGTAAAGAAGAGAGGGAGATTAGGGTTTTTTGGGTTTAGGAGGAGGAGAGCATTGAAAGGAAAAACAGAGTTTGGTAGAGGTAGTTATGTGTTTCCTTCTTCTGTAGACAGAGAGAGTGAATACAGCAGAAAAGAAGAGGAAGAAGAAAAAGAAGACAAAAGCTTTGGTTATGGTGATGGTGATGGTGATGGTATTAGTTGCAGCCAAAGCAGCAGATTTTGTGAAGTGAATATCTCAAGCATTAGCAGAACAGGGAGCTTCTCTACTCTGCCTGCACCAACTTCTTCTTCTTCAAAGTCTCACTTTTGGGTAAGTCCTCTGTTTTTATGTTCTGTTTCTACATAAAAGTCGCATAAATGTTTGAAAAATCAGTATGTTGGATGGATTCAACTAGAGCATATAATCAGCGTTACTAGATCCTATGAAAATATTCTTGAAATATCATGAATGAGAGCTCTTTGTGTAAAATATATACATATATCGATTGTCCTAGAAGTGAATGTAGAATATGTTAGAATTAATATTGTTTTGTGGTTGGATCAGACGAATGTGTATGCAGGACTAAAGCAAGTGGTTCCATGGAAGAACAAGAAGACTACAGTTTAAGAATGTTCTGCCCTACCAAAGATTCGAAAGACAAAACACCAAAAAACAAGAAAGCTCCTCTGGTTTCTATAGTTTTCTACAAGTATTTTAAAGCTTCTGTTTATGATTTTTTTCAATGTTTCCAAGAAAATGACATGACTAGTAAAACCATTGTGAAACCCAGTTTTTTCACGCTTGTTGTTGTTGTGATTGTAATGTTTGAATGTTTTTGAAACTTTTGTAAAGAGAAATAGAGAATCTTACGAGATGTATCATGGCTTCATGAATCATGATTATGGTACAAGGGATATTCATCATGCATGTTTGTAACAAAAAAAGCAAGAACCTTTCAAGGCCTCTTATATATGTAACCGTCTTGATCATATCTGCTTTCTTAAAAGCTCTCTTAATTGAACCAAAACCAGACAGAATTGATTCCGGTTAATGATTAAAAAACAACATAGAAAACTTATATTTTCGTCAAATAAGTAATTAAACCAGACAAGAAAAGAAAGCATCGCAAAAGTTGTGCAATGGAACGACATGAAGAAAACGGAGGACCAACATATTTATTAGTTCAAAGATTTCAAGAATCAATCAAGAAAATTGAAATGTGGCCTTAATTAATTCAAAGATTTCAAGAATATCAATCAAGAAAATTGAAGCATCTGCGTTATCACTAAAACGACAGCGTACTGGTGAGTTTGCGACTTTTTGCTTACACGTATCGTTGAAACGTATTTATGTTTGGGACTATGAAATTGAGAAGGCCCCAAAGAAGCAAGTTAACGTTATCACACTTTTATTTATTGGGCTAAGTTAAACATGAGGCCCATTTTGAAGCTCGTTGATATGATCTAACCTTGAGGCCCATTTTGAAGCTCGTTGATATGATCTAAATTCTAACCTCGTAAAAAAATAAATATATTAATTATTTACTGTCCAAACTCCAAAAACATTACAGGATTAACGTATATTTTCTTTCAATGAAGGTTTTAACTTTTAAGACTTTTAGTGCTAAATTTGACATTTAAGGATTTAAGGTCGTTTGATTAATTTGAATATATTAGACATTTTAATTTTTTTTATCGCGTTGCTAGTTAGATGTATTGTATACTCTATTTTTTTTTTTGGCCTCGAATGAAAATATCAATATAGTATGCTAAATATCAACTACTTATGATGATGATGATGATAATGATAAAACCACCTAATAAGAAAAGAGAGAATTAAAAGATAGTCAAAACAAACACACCACTAAAATGCCCATAAAAGTGAAACCCAACACTTCTAAACTTTAGCCTCCAAATATTCTTCTCTCTCTCTCTCTAAGTCATCTCTTTGAACATCAAGGTCAGTTCATCTTCTTCCCTTTTTCCCTTATCTCCTTGTTTCTTCTGCAAATTACTTTCTCTTTCTTTATTTTTCCTTATAAATTTCTTTTACTTTTTGGTTTTTGTGTTTATTAGGGTTTTTTTGTTTCTTTTTACTTTTCAAAGGTCTTTCCACCTTCTGATTTCTTTGAAATTTTGTTCCCTTTCTTTAAAAGATGTCTGGCTTTTTTATAGATCACCTTCTAATACCTTTTTATTAGTTTCTTGTTCGATCTATACGTTAGAAAAGTGATTATTTGTTCCCACTCTCTCAAATCTTTTATTGATTGATCTAGATCGTTCATGTCTTATATATATGTTGTCTCTCAATAAGTTTTATTTATTTATTTGTATGTGCTAATTTTTATAAGATCCACTTTTGTTATCATGCCTTTTTATGCTTGATTCAATATATGGTTTGATCATACATACTTATTACAGGAATTAATTATAAACTGTAATTGAAGCTCACATCATGGACCATCATGATCAATACCAACATCAAATGACTATTACTTATAACAATAATCCCTATAACACCATCGTCACAACACAACCACCACCACCTACAACAACAACAATGGATTCAACAACAGCAACAACAATGATAATGGATGATGAGAAGAAGTTGATGACGACGATGAGCACTAGGCCTCAAGAACCAAGAAACTGTCCAAGATGCAACTCAAGCAACACCAAGTTTTGTTATTACAACAACTACAGCTTAGCACAGCCTAGGTACTTGTGTAAGTCTTGTCGGAGATATTGGACTGAAGGTGGCTCTCTCCGTAACGTCCCCGTAGGCGGAGGTTCTAGAAAGAACAAGAAGCTTCCACTACTACTTCCTAATTCCTCTCCTTCTTCTTCCACCAAGAACCTCCCAGATCTCAACCCTCCGTTTGTCTTCACATCATCACCATCATCATCAAACCCTAACAAGACGCATCATCAAAACAATAATGACCTCAGCCTTTCATTCTCCTCCCCTATGCAAGACAAGCGAGAACAAGGGCATTACGGTCATTTCACCGAGCAAGTTGTGACAGGAGGGCAGAACTGTCTTTTCCAATCTCCTATGGGAATGATTCAGTTTCGTCAAGAGTATGATCATGACCACCACAAAAAGAATCTTGGGTTTTCATTAGACAGGAACGAGGAAGAGATTGGTAATCATGGTAACTTCGTTGTTAATGGAGAAGGAAGTAAGATTATGTATCCTTATGGAGATCATGAAGACCGTCATCAACATCACCATGTGAGACACGATGATGGTAATAAGAAGAGAGAAGGTGGTTCAAGCAATGAGCTATGGAGTGGAATCATCCTAGGTGGTGATAGTGGTGGACCAACATGGTGATATGAATATATATTGTCAAAAGGACAAGATGTTAAAGACAAAAACAAATAGTTACGAGCAAAAATATGTGATTATATTTGGAATTTTCAGACCCGGAAGAGTCGCCTTGGGAGGAGCATGATGATTCTTCTTTCCACTTTCTATAAATTCCCCTGTTCACTTTCTTTGGTCTTTTGTCTAATGGAGCCACTTATTTGGCTTTTAGTTTGCTTCTTTAGACCTTTTAAGTTTTAACACATAAATGTCTAGTGCCTATTATTGTATGTAGTCTTATATCATATCATATTTTTGTTTGATAGAGACGAATTAATTAGGTTTAGGAAATAAAGTACTTTTGCTGTGTTTCACGTTAATAAGTATAGACATCCAAATTTAATGAGTATGTGAGAGACATATGGGGTTTTTTTTTCCTATGTTCATTGGTATTTAATTTGAGATGATATTTCTTCTTTAATTTCGTAATTAAACATGATATAGTCCGGAATAAATTTGGCAATAATTGTCTTAATAAACATGTATATATCTAAATCGTGAGTTACTTGTGGTTAAAAACATGTTTTTTTTTTAAACCACACAACTCACGATTTACATGCATACATGTTTATTAAGACAATTGTTGGCTATATGATGAAGTAGAGCATGTCCTTCATTATTAAAAAAACGATCAAACGAAATAATAATATAATGCTTACATTTCGGGAATTTAAAGTTTCTAGATCCTGCATGGCTCTGATTAGTTGTTATATATGTTAATGTTTGATTCAATTGAATTTATGTGAGACTTATCTCGAAAGCAAAGTCTAAGTAGGAAACTAATTATGTTAAGGTGCTTTTGTGATAGGAATTAGTCTATCCTTCAGGGATTGTGCATATGTTCTGTTTGTAAGTTTCCCAATCGATCAATATAATTATTCAGACGACAAAAAAAAAAAAAAGTAGGAAACTAATTAAGGAGACCAACTGTCCATGAAGTCCCGAACAAATTGCGTATTGAATACAACACGACCTGTAATATAAGATAATCATAAAAACTGCAATGTAAAACATAGTATTCTTATTTTTATATTAGTATTATTTTGGCGTAATAAAAAGACACGACAACATACCTGCTCCAACTAAAGACTATTCCAATCACAAATCGTTTTCTTAAATTCCCACTGAGATTCTATTTCTATTTGTATTAATTTGTTTTTTATTCGCATGAGAAGACCAAAGATGACCCCTGTCTCTTTGCATTTTTAACCAAATAGATACACGCATAGTCATAGTCTCATAGTCATAGCTATAAATAAAACAGTATATTTTATACTTTTATTATACGTATTGTGCAATTGTTTTTTCGGCAACGTATTATGCAATTTTTTAAATAAAAATACAGGCATAAATAGTTAAAAACTTTGTTACTGTAAAAAAAAAGAAGTTAAAACTTTGTTTTAAGTCTAAGTAGATTTCCAAAGACACCACTTCTTTCTACAAAATTTGATTAGTAAAATCTTCTTACAAAAATAAATGAGGAAAAGATGACGATAGGAGCGTGAAAGCATAAGGCATATATATTTAGGCAGCGTAGTTCGATCGAGACCGGAGCAGCAAGTTGCTGAAGTGATGCAGAGGAGTGCAAGCGATACAATACGAAATTAACAATCTCACCGATGGTTGCCATGTGGTAGTTCCGTAGTTGTATGGAGACAAAGCATAATGTCGTTTTTCCTAGTTAAATTCTCGCTTGGAACATTTCTGTTGATGCATGTTGGACCTACGAGCTTGTCCACTTCTGGATTTATCGGATTCTAGCTTGAATTACTAGGTTGTTCAAAAACAAAATCATCTTTGTTTATTTAGTTGGCTTGTAGCAATTTTTTTTTGCCACCATTCTAACCTCACCACGACCATCGACAAGACCGTAGGCGACTGTAATGTATCAAGCCTTTTGGTAAGAAGAATCAATGGTTTGGAGAATTTTTGGAACATTGATTATATAATTATTAAGGGGAATCGCTTAAATTTTCGCTATTTTCTAAGTTGATATCTATATTTTCTCCAACTATGAAGATTGTAGAATTAGGTAACAAACCAACTTGCTTTATTCATTCACCAAACAATGGTATTTATACATGAGAGCTCACGAGAGCTTTGATAACAAGATAAGCCTAAGATCCTAAAATGTAGGACATAAACTCTATCACAAAAGATATGATCTAATCCTAACCGGATTATACACATATATCTCCAATACTCCCCCTCACGTTGGAGTGTGAAGATTCTGAACGCCCAACTTGGACATTAAATAAAGAAACTGTGAGCGACCAAGAGCTTTGGTAAAGATGTCGGCGAGCTGCTCCTCAGTCCTAACATGATGCGTCGTGATAATGCCGTCGCGAACCGCATCTCTAACCGAATGACAATCGGATTCAATGTGCTTGGTACGCTCGTGCAAAACCGGATTAGCAGCAATGTAAATAGCAGCTTTACTATCACAAAACAGGCGCGCAGGAGCGGATTGGTCGATGCCTAATTCTCTTAACAACTTCCGTAACCACTTTATTTCTCGAAGAGCAACTGACATAGCTCGATATTCGGCTTCTGCTGAAGAATGAGAAACAGTGTCTTGCTTCTTTGTCTTCCATGAAATAGGCGAACCACCAAGAAACACAATATAAGCACTAAGAGAACGTCTAGTCAAAGGACATGTTTGAAAATCAGAATCGCAATAAACTTCAAGAGTTAAATCTGAATCTGCTTTAAGCATAATGCCTTGACCTGGAGAGCCTTTTAAAAAACGAACAATGCGTATCGCAGCTTGCAAATGAGACTCCCGAGGTGCTTGCATAAATTGTGACAGGACATGGACTGAATAACTCAACTCAGGCCGAGTATGAAGAAGATAGAGAAGGCGACCAACTAGGCGCCGGTATGGCTTGGGATCCAGAAGCAACGGACCATCATCGGAGGCAAGGTTATGATTTTGTTCCAAAGGTGTATGAGCAGGACGAGAACCAAGATTACCACTATCTGATATAATGTCAAGAGCATACTTGCGCTGAGATAAGAAAATGCCATCAGGGCCACGACTTACTTCAATTCCCAAAAAATATTTAAGCTTCCCCAAATCTTTCATGGAGAAAGAACGACCTAAATATTCCTTGAACTTTTGAATCATGTACCCGTTGTTACCACAAATCACGAGATCGTCAACATAAATCAACACGCGAAGTTCAATTCCGTTGCGTGTATATGAGAAGAGAGAGTGATCCTCGTAAGCTTGAACAAAACCAAAACGGAAGAGAGCGTCAGATAACTTTTTAAACCAACACCGAGGAGCTTGTTTCAAGCCATACAATGACTTGCGAAGACGACAAACTTTGTCGGGAAAAGAATGACGAAACCCAGGAGGCAGCTTCATGTAAACCTCCTCTTCTAGATCACCATGAAGGAAGGCATTATTTACATCCATTTGATATACCTCCCATTGATTTGCAGCAACGAGACGAAGAAGAGTACGAACCGTTGTCATTTTTACCACTGGCGCAAATGTTTCATTGTAATCCTCTCCTTCAACTTGTTTATTTCCTTGAACAACTAAACGAGCTTTGTATCTTTCGATGGAACCATCAGCATTGTACTTGGTCTTGTAGACCCATTGACTTCCAATAGCTACTTTTCCTGGTGGCAAATCCACTATATCCCATGTCTTATTAATTTCCAATGCATCAACTTCTTTAAACATTGCATCATTCCACACCTTTATTTGAACAGCCTCTTTAAAATGCTTGGGCTCAACATTTGCAGTGATTGCAGCGAGATAAGCTTTATGACCTGTGGAAAAATATTCATCGGAGATATAGTCCGTCAAAGGATAGTGTGAATTACCTGGGAGCGGTGTCGAGGACTGAGAAGTGGAAGTGAGGAGAGCGTGATGGGTGTCCGGAGTGGCAGTAGCATTGTACAAGACATAGTCTTTCAATCGTACAGGTTGTATGACTTGACGTTTTCCTTGACGAGGAGGAGTTTTCTCAACAAAAGGAGAAGAAGCCGCCGATAACGGGGAGGGCTTAGAAGTCGGAGAAACTGACAGAGTTTCAGTCGGAGACTCAGCCGTGTCGCTTGGAGATGAGATGGTTTCTTGTGGCGGAGAAGCAGGCTCTGTACTCGGATTCGGAACAGAGTCCAAAACAGAGTCATCGCCGGAGGTAACAGTCGGGGCAACACTTGTTGCTGCATCATAATCGACGACTGGTGCTGTAAGAGAGTCAGAGGAAGCACCTGGCAAAGCTCCGGGTGTAGCTACAGTGGTTGGAACCACATTGTCAATGCTCCCCCTGTCGACCAACGGCGGAGAAGGCAGCCAATCTTCATCACATATAACTGGAACTGAGGCTAACGGCCTCGAGACTGAATCAGCAGCACTTGACATAAAAGGAAACACATCCTCTCTAAAGACAACATCACGTGAGATTAAGAATTCATTAGTATTCATGTCATACACTTTCCACCCCTTTTGTCCAAAAGGATAACCAACAAAGATGCATAAACGACTTCTTTCGCCAAACTTGTCTTTATCCCGTGTAACGCGGTGAGTATAACAAGCACACCCAAAGACGCGGAGCTGATCATAACTCGGCTTGCTGCCATGAAGTATCTCGTAAGGAGAGAGGCCGTTATGAATAGAAGATGGTGTACGATTGATTAAATAAGCAGCCGTCAAAACTGCTTCACCCCAAAATTTAATAGGTAGATTCGCTTGAAACAACAATGCTCTAGAGACGTTGAGAATATGTCGATGCTTTCGTTCTACTCTACCATTTTGTTGTGGAGTCCCTACGCAAGAAGTCTGATGAGTTATACCATGTTCTCTAAAATAAGACGAGAGACACATAAATTCCGTCCCATTGTCACTGCGAATTGTTTTCACGGATTTGCCAAACTGTTTTTCCGTGTAAGCCAAGAAGTTAGTGAGCACGCCACGCACTTCTGATTTTGCAAGTAAGAGATACGTCCAAACGGTTCTTGAAAAATCATCGACGATTGTTAAAAAATAAACTGCTCCACAAGATGAGGGCACGCGATACGGTCCCCAAACGTCACAATGTATTAAAGAAAAACACTCTAATGTTTTATTAATACTATCGGGAAAAACTTCTCTTGTCTGTTTTGCTCTAAAACATACGTCACATGAACGAGAGCTAACAGCGGTAGAGGAACCCGTAAACAAAGGTAAATTGGAAAGCACTGAAAAACTTGGATGTCCTAAACGTTGATGCCACAAAGCTTGATCGGAGGAGACTGCCACTGTATGAATCTTTGCCGTAGCCACATCCGTTAGATAATACACCCCATCACGTTCTTCCCCGGTTCCAATCAAAGTCCTCGAAAACCGGTCCTGTAAAACACAAATTGTATCAGTGAACAATGCCAAACACTTAGTCTGTTTTACTATCTTTGAAACAGATATTAATGTGCAATTCAACGCAGGCACATAAAGAACATTAGTCAACTTGACGTTATCCGAAAGCGGGAACGCTCCCATGCTCACAGCGAACGTTTTACGTCCATCCGCAAATCCCACCGAACAAGGTGGTATAGAGACAATGTTAGTCAAGAAAGATAGCTGCCCAGTCATATGGTGGGAAGCTCCGGTATCAAGAATAACATCGCCAAACTGTGCCTTACCAGACAATTTATCGGAGTTGGCATTATCTTTGTTTTGAATCATCTGTGTGATAACTCTCAATTGATCTGGTGTGAATTCTGGAAATGAGGAGAAGTTGGAAGTTGTAGCATGAGCTGCTGTGACTTGTCCCTTTCCACGACCAGAATTGGTGAAACCTGAGCCACGACCACCTCTACCACGAGCGCTGGACCCACGACCACTACCATTGTTACGCTCCATCCACCAGTCAGGGAATCCTACGATCTGCCAGCACTCTTTCTTTTCATGGCCACTACGACCACAATGTGAGCAAAGAATGGAACGATCTCGAGATCTCACAATAGAAGTCTCTGTTTTTCCTTCCATGGTATGCTCTGCATTTTGTTGATTGCTGCGAGTGACAAATCCAATCGCTGACTGTTGTTGTTCACGAACCTGAGCTGATGCAAGCCTCTGTTCTTCTCTCACAACCCGAGAGTAGATTTCTCCAAGAGGCGGAAACGGATCCATTGCTATGAGGAGTGCGGAGAGTCCTCCAAAGCGAGAATCGTCAAGTCCTAGCACGAATTGATGAATCTTCTCTTCTTCCCTTTCTTTTGAAGGTTCAAGAGTAGCACCACATGTACACAAACCACACTTACACACGGTAATAGGTTTGTAAATTTGGTATTCTTCCCAAAGTTTACACAAGCGACCATAGTATTCAACAACAGGCTGTCCATCTTGCCGACACGATGCAAGCTGAGCCTTAAGTTGATGAACACGAACTTTGTTTCCCACCGAGAAACGCTGCTTCAATTCCACCCACAGTTGATGAGCATCAGATATGAAGGTAACTGTTGATTTAACTTTCGGTTCAATGGAGGTTCGAATCCATCCCACGATCATCGAATTGACTGCAGTCCAATTCTCATAATTCGGATCATCACATGGTGGTTTTGGAATCGAGCCATTGATGAATCCGGTCTTACGTTTGGCTTGAAGGGCATTCAACATCTCCGTGGACCATTCATTGAAATTGTCACCAGTTAACATAACTGATGAGATCATGGCCCCTGGATTGTCTGTGTTTGCAAGAGTATACGGTGACACCTTTGTTGTATCTGATTGACCAACCGTGGATTTTGACGCCGACGAGCCATCTTCTGTGAGAGACATTGTTGCTTGACACGCAAGAAACAAAGTTTTAAGAACAGAGGAACGAAACTATCGTAAACAGAAAAAGATTTTTGAGATTTTGTTGGATCTTTGGCTCTGATACCATGTAGAATTAGGTAACAAACCAACTTGCTTTATTCATTCACCAAACAATGGTATTTATACATGAGAGCTCACGAGAGCTTTGATAACAAGATAAGCCTAAGATCCTAAAATGTAGGACATAAACTCTATCACAAAAGATATGATCTAATCCTAACCGGATTATACACATATATCTCCAATAAAGATATTTCTTTTTATTGATCAATAAATTTTATATCTCAACAAAAGAAATAATTATTGAGATGATGCAAAATCCTTGCCCGGATCCTGGTGAGGGCAAATGGTGTCGTTCACGAAACACGCCGATTACGAACGGCTTACTGGACTATTAATGACACGTTCAAAGCTGGATTAAGTTGTGTAACAGGCCTAATAAAGGTTCATACCTATTACAAGGCCCAAGAAATCATCTAACTAACCAGAGATGGAGAAAGCTTTTGGTTTTTCCCTCAAAATAAAGATTAGAGATTTGGATAAATATAGAGAAGAGACCAGAAAAGCAAGCGTGCAAATGTGGGACTTATTTTAGCCTATTAAGGTAGGCCTAATCGCCCTTTTAAGAATAATCGGACTGGCCCAAAGAGATATGCATCGGTGCCACGTAGCTATTTCTTATTGATTCTAGCTTAACTTGTATAACATATAAGTGAACGACTCGGCGTTGATGAAAGGAGAACTATCGATTTCTCTATATGAAAGTGTTAGAAAACGTTTAAAAACAATTCAGGTAAATATAGTTTTAAACTATCAAACTTGTATAACTATATCTTTTAAACTTGTATTTGAAAACAGTACTATTGAATCATCGAATAATTTTGATCAAGAAAATAAAAATCATCAAACTTTTAAATGCGAAATAAAAAAGAAAATAGGAGACAAAAAGAAGTAACGTGAATACGTGATATATAGGACGTATGACTTTGTAAGCCACTTTGATCCACTAAAAATGTTGTGTCAGCAAAATCCGAAATAATCCATGAGAAGTTGAGAACAGAAGTCAAGAGCTTATTTAGTATCCATAAATCACATTGAAAATCATTTTCTTTTCTTAAAACTAAAAACATTATTTGCAAAAAATAAAAATTAAAACAAAAACATCATATTTTTATTTGGTGTCATGTAATCTTCGGTGCCGATTCTATACACTAAATGTTCATTTGATATTGCAGATAGAACAACATAAATTCTGCCTCATGCCGATGATATCAGATTTTATTTTGTGAAATATACAATAAAATCTTTATTAAGAAAATCTAATTTCAATCATGACCTAATTCCAACACGATATATTTTAAAACTAATTCGATAAGACAAAAAAAAGTTAAACCGATCTTCTTATCACATCACGAACAAAAGGTGATAAGCTGAAGGGCACTTCATAAATATTCACAAGACCCAATAGGGAAACCCGAAGTAGCTAAAGTATTACAAATTTTTTCCTTCAATTAATTTTGGACCACACAAATGTGAATTAAAAAACATAAATAAAAATCTTGTTTAGTGATAATATATATAAGTGCGTCCACTTAGGGCAAGATAATATTTTGATAGGTAGCCCAATTAAATTAGGTCTCTTATAATTTGGGGCACACTTAGTGACCTAAATTAAAGTTAGGTTATGTCAAATTTTCTTCTAATTGGTTTGTGTGTATATATATAAATGTACCTCTCAAGAATTGTAACTTTTGATATGTACATTATTAAAAGGTATAGTGCAAGTCAAACGTGCCACTTTCATATATCTTTATATCAATAATTGGTGCATGTACGTAATAGTATTTTTTTTAAAAAAATATTCTAATTAACTTAATTGCATGAAAAACAAAATTAATACATCAAATAAGACTAGTAAAGTTATTTCGTCATACAGTGAATTCTCTAATCATAAAAAGGAATGCGAAGGGCTTTATTTGCTTACGACAATCCACTTTTAATGTGTTTTACTTAATTGACGTGAACTTGTTAATTGTGTATGTAATGTACGCATGCAATAAACACGCACACATATATCTTTGATATCACTTAGTGGCTAGTGGCTCGTGCCTAGTGCATGTAATAGTTAACCTTTTGGTTGATGGAATTTGAGTAATGAGCTACTCAGTGATATCAATATATATATTATGAAAAAGATATATATAAGTTATAATAGACTATAGTACAAGTTTTTTTTTTGTTAATGCAAGGTAGACTATACCAAAATCTTGGATCGTTTTTAGATGTGCAATTAATGTATATGAATCGAAACTTCTTATATCTTGTGGCGTTAAATTTATTATCTAAAATTTATGGCCTTTTTTTTGATAAATATAAAATTTATGACGTTGCAATGAAATGGATGGATGTACGAAGGTTTCAACATCAGTACTTATGCGATGACGACTTTGTAGCACAAAATTTAACAAATCATATAAAATTTCAATTAGGCCACTTCATCTTTTTTGCATATCAAAGTGGGAGAGAGTGATCAATAATATATATTAGTAGATAACAAATAATATTAGTTCACCACTTAAAAATCACTTCAAGAATTTTCAAAAAATAGTAAACCCTTATAATCTCTATATATGTAACACTCCAAATTGCATTGCTCATCAAACAAACCCAACACATTCTTAACCAAAACATTCATATTGTTCAGAAGTTTTGGTTTAGAATTCAGGTTCTCGGGTATAATAATATGGCATCACAAGAAGCTGGGAAACTAGAGTGGAGGATAAGTGTAGACAATGGGACAACAGAGAGATTGGTTCCTAGATCCGGACTAAGTAAAAGGTTCTTTCTTTGGCTAAAGGGTTTGGTAATGAAGGTGATCATGGAGCGAATTGCAAAGTTTATGAGGAAAGCTTGGAGGATTGGGGCAGATGATCCGGCCAAAGTGGTACATTGTCTTAAAGTAGGACTTGCACTTTCATTAGTCTCAATCTTTTATTACATGAGACCTTTGTATGATGGTGTTGGAGGAAATGCTATGTGGGCTATCATGACGGTTGTCGTCGTCTTCGAGTCCAATGTTGGTATGTAAACAAAACCCATTTTCAAAACTTTGCAACCTTCGTCTTCTTAATGTGCGAAATTGACCTATATGTATGTATATGTATCTCCATGTGCAACAGGAGCAACATTCTGCAAATGTGTAAACAGAGTTGTGGCAACTATATTAGCTGGATCACTAGGCATTGCTGTTCATTGGGTCGCCACTCAATCAGGAAAAGCTGAGGTTTTTGTGATTGGATGCTCTGTTTTTCTCTTTGGTAATGGCCAAAACACTAACAAGGATCAGCCTCTATTGTAAATAACCAAAACAATGATCTTCATTAAATTTCTCTTGTGGGTTTGATTCTTGCAGCTTTCGCAGCTACTTACTCGCGGTTTGTGCCGTCATTCAAAGCCAGATTCGACTATGGAGCAATGATCTTTATCCTCACATTTAGCCTTGTCTCAGTAGGCGGTTACCGAGTAGATAAGCTGGTGGAATTGGCTCAGCAAAGAGTATCAACTATTGCAATTGGAACATCTATCTGCATTATCATTACTGTCTTCTTCTGTCCCATCTGGGCAGGATCTCAGCTTCACCGTCTTATTGAACGTAATCTCGAAAAACTTGCCGATTCACTAGACGGTAAGGGAATAAGAAGACCAAAATTGTTATGAAAGATTCAGCATTAGCTAGTGCGCTGACTACTATTAAAACCGCAGGCTGTGTAGCAGAGTACTTCAAGGAGAACGAAGTCTCGACGAATCGAAATGAAGACACTAACATGAAATTGCAAGGATTCAAATGTGTGCTAAACTCTAAGGGAACAGAGGAAGCCATGGTAACTTAACAGATTATCTATGGGATAAGTTAATTTTTCCTTTTGAATTGCAGCCGCTTATTCGCTTTGTGGTTTTTTTTTTTTAACCTCTCAGGCGAATCTAGCCAGATGGGAACCTGCACACGGAAGCTTTAACTTCCGGCATCCATGGAAGCTATACGTAAAGATAGGTGCTGCTATGCGCAGATGTGCTTATTGCCTTGAGAATCTCAGTATCTGCATCAGCTATGAAACAGAGGTAACCTTTTAGATTTTATCACAGTTTTGAAGAAGACTAACGTTTAGAGGTTGTGAAACTAATACTAGTGTCTTCTACTTTGCCAGACACCAGACCAGGTCAAGAAGCATTTTGGAGAAGCTTGTATGAAACTGAGCTCAGCTTCTTCAAAAATCTTAAGAGAATTAATGGAAATGATGAAGAACACGAGAAAATCATCGAAGATGGATTTCCTGGTGTTTGATATGAACTCTGCAGTACAAGAACTTCAAGAAACCTTAAAAACTGTTCCAATTGAAACCAATAAGCCTGAAGAAGTTCCATCTGAAGAGGAGAACAAAGTAGACAGTGAAGAGAGAAACACGTTGATGAGCCTACATGAAGTCCTTCCAGTTGCCACTTTGGTTTCGTTGTTAATCGAAAACGCAGCTAGAATTCAAACTGCCGTCGAAGCAGTTGATGAACTGGCAAATCTAGCAGATTTCGAACAAGATTCAAAAAAGAAATCCGGAGACAACAACACTAAACAACCACCACTAAGCTCCTAAATCACTTTCAATTACACATCGAAAACTCAACATACATGAAGATTTTAAACCTAGTTTTCATGTGTATATAAGCCTTTTTAGTGTATGATTTTGCTTAGTTCTGTAACCGAAATTTTCTTCGGCTTGGTTTTAAGCAGTGCTAAAAAGCAAGAGATCGAACTAAATCTTGATTGGAATCCACAATGAATCTAGAGAATCCTTACAGTGTCACCATGGCAAGCAAGAAATGAGATCAAGGGGAAAATAAGATCATGACTAAACATTGGCCAATCTTATGTACTTTTCGATGAACATCATAGAACATGTGTTCACCTGGAAATGCTGGTGCCAAAAGCTTTCCTGTTTCTCTTGAGGGTTTTAAAGCCAAGGTTCAGAGCTAAATCCTCAACAGGAACCTTGATCACATCGTTTCTAACACCGATATCAGTAGCATACCTACTCATACAATACATCCCAGCAGTGACCGTTGCTACACCAACAGGATTTGGAATCAACAATGTGAGAGGTGACGAGAGGAGTGCAGCTAGAGGAGCGCCTAGAATGGAGCTGGCTTGACCGCTTCTACCAACTCCGTTCTTATCCAGAATGAGCAATCCTGTCTTGCAGTAGAGAGCAAAATCTTCGCAGTTATTCTGGAAGACGTCGTAGTTACCAAATCCGTTTTGGAGAAGGTGCATTGCTCTATGGATGACTGTTTGAAGCGGGTCAGATGGAGCAGTTGTGCACGTGCCACCGCGGAATCTGGTGAGGAAAATCGATGAGCTGACTCCATATTCGAAACGGTAAAGAGAACCTTTCTTGAGAAAACAGTCAAGGCAAGAAAGTACTACTCCACTCTTTGGTTGTTTATATCCACAGTCAGGAAATGTAGGACAAGGAGCTTCTGAAGAATCATTAACCTCTGAAACTGAAGAAGACGAAGAAGAAGAAGAAGAAGCGAGTGTAGGAGATATCAAGCTGTGCTCAGGTTTGAAATGAACCACCTTGCAACCACCAACAAATACGCCTACAAATGTGGAAAAGTTGAAATGTCAACAAAAGCAACCAAAATCTATTTGCTACCACCATTGACTATAGAAGGACAGGTCATCATCACTACGATTGAAACCAGAGAATACAAAAGATGAGACTTTTTGAAGATCCGTTTCAACAAAGTCAATAACTTTTGACAAAATCCTAATAACCAAACAGAGTTTTTGACAAAATCCAAGACACAATCGCCCAATAGAAACCAAACGACGGTTTGTTTCTTCTTCTGCGCAATGGAAAGAGATGACATAAACCTAAAAGACCCAAATTGAGAAAATCTCTGTATGATTCACACCAAAAGCCAATTGATGAAGAAACGAAAAGGAAGAATCAAACAAAGGTACCGTGGTGAGAATAAGCGAAGACGGCTCGATAAGTGTAGATGTGATCACCAGGTTTAAGCTCGTCCCTCTCGACTTTGTTCGTGAGTACACCCATTGCTTCGTCTTCCTCAGACAAAGCTTTCTCCTTTTGCTTGTGGAAATTGCAGTGTACAAGGAGATTCTTACGTCAGCGACGGAGATATGATTGGGCGATCGAACCGGAGAGACTGTTGAACCAATGCCGTTACGGTATCTTTTAACGGCGTTAACTGTTAGATGACGACGATCGCTGTGAAGGGTACTGTACTGACTTTTGTGAAGACGACGCCGTTTAGATGTCCCCGGAATCTTATTCTTCTTTTCTTTGCGTACTGGACTCATATTGGGCTTATAGAATACGCTCTACGGCCCAAATATCGAATGGAGTATTATTTATTTATCAACCTATTGTTATTTTGCTCATCGCCAAGTGCCAACTAATGAATATGCTTAGAATTAATCAAATTTTCTCATTACTATAGTGAATTGTAAACTTAATTATTATAAAGCTACATAGGTTGATGAGTTTATTGGACGTGGGTATATATAATAAGAAATATATATAAAGCGTAGTGGAGGTAGAGCAGGCAATAATGGAGGAAGCTTCGAGGAACTTCCCTTTGTGTTGTAACCACAAAATCGAATATAACAATTAATACGGTTTGAGTATGAGTAGGCTTGCAGATTTTCAGACAGCACTCCTACTGACAGATGTTTGAAGATTTAATTAAATATTTATTGCGATTATAGAAACAGTAAGGAACTTTATGGTTTATTTCTCATTGGTTATCAAAAGTCTTAAATCATTGACTTTTGCTTTGATTATACTATTATCTGTAAATTATTTTAAAATAAACGTACGCGTATTTAATTAATTTGAATAATAATACTAATTTGAAAGTAAAATGGAATGACGAAAAAAAAAAAAAAAAAAAAAGTAAAATGGAATATCCCAATATCGAGCAAAGCCGTACGGGAAAGGGAAAGTCAAAGGCGTAATAACGGTTTTAAATGAAGGGTATTATGGTCTTTTTGAGGAATGGTAACGTTCCGTTTTCTTTATGAACAGCCAATCAGATTGGACCACACTCACCACTATTACCAAACCTTCGCTTTTCTGGAAAGCAAAAAACCACAGAGAGAATAGAAGAAGAACAAAGCAAAATATATATTCAAAATTTAAGCAATAAAGACGAAAAAGAAAAGAAAACGAGTTTCAAACACGAAACCACGACTTGTCCAAATCAAGATTTGTCCTTTTTCCTTTTTAGTGGTAGAACGCGAATCAAATTTAGGAATAAAATTTTCCTTCTTTTTCAAAAAATTCTGGGTCTTCAGCTTTGTCTCCAAGCAAACTTTTAGTCAAATCATTTATTTATTTTTTCTTGATGGACTTTCTTTCATGCTTGAAATTTCAATGACGAAAGCTCTTACTGGTTTTTTTCTTGGAATTTAGGTAAGAATTTATACTCTGTTTCTCTCTCAGTTTAACTCAGTTCTTGTTTTTGGTTTCTGGGTTTTTTTTTTTTTTTTCTGTTTGATCACCAATTAATCAGATCTTGAATATTTATTATTCAAACCGTCAATAAAAACTGCAACTTTATTTGTTGTTTAAAAACTGAAATTTCATTGTATGATTGAAATTTTTCTACAGGAATTTGATAAACGGTTTCTAACATACACAAGAAGAAAAAAGAACCGTTTTTGAGTAGTTGCAAAGTAAAGCTATTGAGAACCAATGGAGGAGGAGAAGTCGTTCTCTGCGTGGTCTTGGTCTGTTGAGCAATGTTTGAAAGAGTACAAGACAAGATTAGACAAGGGTTTAACCAGTGAAGATGTCCAAATCCGCCGTCAAAAGTACGGTTACAACGAGCTCGCTAAGGAGAAAGGCAAGCCTTTATGGCATCTTGTATTGGAACAGTTCGACGATACGCTTGTGAAGATTCTTCTCGGTGCTGCGTTTATCTCTTTCGTTTTAGCCTTTTTAGGTGAAAGCGAGGAACATGGGTCAGGTTCAGGGTTCGAGGCCTTTGTTGAGCCTTTTGTGATTGTTTTGATTCTGATTTTAAACGCTGTGGTTGGTGTGTGGCAAGAGAGTAATGCTGAGAAAGCACTTGAGGCTCTTAAAGAGATGCAATGTGAATCTGCAAAGGTTTTGAGAGATGGGACTGTTTTGCCTAATTTGCCTGCTAGAGAGCTTGTTCCAGGGGATATAGTGGAGTTAAATGTAGGAGATAAAGTCCCTGCTGATATGAGAGTTTCCGGTTTGAAAACATCGACTTTAAGAGTCGAGCAAAGCTCGTTAACCGGTGAAGCAATGCCGGTTTTGAAAGGAGCGAATCTTGTAGTCATGGATGATTGTGAACTGCAAGGGAAAGAGAATATGGTTTTCGCAGGAACAACGGTTGGTAACGGAAGCTGTGTTTGCATTGTGACGAGTATCGGTATGGATACGGAAATCGGGAAAATCCAGAGGCAGATTCACGAGGCGTCGCTTGAAGAGAGTGAGACTCCGTTAAAGAAGAAGCTAGACGAGTTTGGGAGTAGACTGACTACAGCTATCTGCATTGTCTGTGTTCTTGTGTGGATTATTAACTACAAGAACTTTGTTTCTTGGGATGTTGTGGATGGCTATAAACCTGTGAATATCAGGTTTTCATTCGAGAAATGCACTTACTACTTCAAAATCGCGGTTGCTCTCGCCGTGGCAGCGATACCCGAGGGTTTACCCGCTGTGATAACGACATGTTTAGCTTTAGGGACGAGAAAAATGGCGCAGAAGAATGCAATAGTGAGGAAGCTTCCGAGTGTAGAGACACTCGGTTGCACAACTGTTATCTGTTCAGACAAAACCGGGACTTTAACAACAAACCAGATGTCTGCAACCGAATTCTTCACATTAGGCGGTAAAACAACGACTACTCGAGTCTTTTCAGTCAATGGTACGACTTATGATCCTAAAGACGGTGGAATTGTTGATTGGGGATCCAACAATATGGATGCTAACTTGCAAGCTGTTGCTGAGATATGTTCAATTTGTAATGATGCTGGAGTGTTCTATGAAGGGAAGTTGTTTAGGGCAACAGGTTTACCTACAGAAGCTGCCTTGAAAGTTCTTGTTGAGAAAATGGGTATTCCAGAGAAGAAGAACGGTGAGAATATCGAGGAAGTTGCAAACTTTTCAGACAATGGTAGCTCAGTGAAGCTAGGTAAGTTTTAGAATGTTTTCACACCATGACATTAGCATAATTTCATTCAGCTGCTATGTTGTTGATTGATCTTTTCTAAATTCTTGCTGCACCAGCTTGTTGCGATTGGTGGAACAAAATATCGAAAAAGGTAGCGACATTGGAGTTTGATCGCGTCCGTAAGTCCATGAGTGTTATTGTGCGCAAACCAAATGGACAAAACCGGCTTCTCGTTAAGGTAAAACACCATCTTTTCTTCTCTTGTTTTCGATAAAAAACGTTTTGTGAATCTTCCCTTCCTTTTTCTTTGCAGGGTGCAGCTGAGAGTATACTTGAGAGAAGTTCTTTTGCACAACTCGCTGATGGATCTCTTGTCCCTTTAGATGATTCTAGCAGAGAAGTAATCCTCAAGAAACATTCTGAAATGACTTCAAAGGGATTAAGATGTTTAGGATTGGCTTACAAAGACGATTTAGGAGAGTTTTCGGATTACTCTTCAGAAGAACATCCGTCACACAAGAAGCTTTTAGACCCTTCTAGCTATTCGAACATCGAAACAAATCTAATCTTCGTTGGAGTTGTTGGTCTAAGAGATCCTCCGCGTGAAGAAGTTGGAAGAGCAATTGAAGATTGCAGAGACGCTGGGATTAGAGTAATGGTGATAACTGGGGATAACAAATCAACAGCTGAGGCTATATGTTGTGAGATTAGATTGTTTTCGGAAAACGAAGATCTTTCGCAGAGTAGCTTCACCGGTAAAGAGTTTATGTCTTTTCCCGCTTCACGGAGATCCGAAATTCTGTCAAAATCTGGAGGGAAAGTGTTCTCTCGAGCTGAGCCAAGGCATAAGCAAGAAATCGTTAGGATGCTTAAAGAAATGGGAGAAATCGTTGCGATGACAGGTGATGGTGTGAATGATGCTCCTGCGTTGAAACTCGCTGACATTGGTATCGCCATGGGAATTACTGGAACTGAGGTAAACAAATTAACTAACTTAACTGTAAAACAACCTTCAAGAATCACAAAATATGCAGATTCTGATACTTACTATATGATGAGGTACATTTTCAGGTTGCGAAAGAAGCTTCGGATATGGTTCTTGCAGATGATAATTTCAGTACTATTGTCTCAGCTGTAGCAGAGGGTCGGTCCATTTACAACAATATGAAAGCTTTTATCAGGTAACAAAAAGCCTTACATTAGATGACATCTTGTAACATTTTTTCTTTGTAAATTATACTGATCTTGTGGTTCTCAATGATTTCATTTCAAGGTATATGATATCATCAAACGTTGGAGAAGTAATCTCCATCTTCTTAACCGCGGCATTGGGGATACCGGAATGTATGATACCTGTTCAGCTTCTTTGGGTTAATCTGGTAACTGATGGTCCTCCCGCTACAGCGCTAGGCTTTAATCCAGCTGATATTGATATCATGAAGAAACCACCCCGCAAAAGCGATGATTGTCTCATCGATTCATGGGTTCTTATTCGATATCTAGTGATTGGTTCTTATGTTGGAGTTGCAACTGTGGGAATATTTGTCTTGTGGTACACACAAGCTTCTTTCCTCGGGATTAGCCTAATCTCAGATGGACACACGTTGGTCAGCTTCACTCAGCTTCAAAACTGGTCAGAGTGTTCTTCGTGGGGAACGAACTTCACGGCGACTCCTTACACAATCGCAGGTGGTCTTAGGACCATCGCGTTTGAGAACAATCCTTGCGATTACTTCACTCTAGGGAAAGTCAAGCCAATGACTCTATCGCTCTCTGTTCTTGTGGCTATTGAGATGTTTAACTCGCTGAACGCGTTGTCCGAAGACAACAGTCTCTTAACGATGCCACCATGGAGAAACCCTTGGCTACTAGTGGCCATGACTGTCTCCTTTGCGCTTCACTGCGTCATCCTCTACGTTCCTTTCTTAGCTAATGTGTTTGGGATTGTGCCTTTGAGTTTCAGGGAATGGTTTGTGGTTATTCTTGTTTCCTTCCCTGTGATTCTAATCGATGAAGCTCTCAAGTTCATTGGGAGATGCAGAAGGACAAGAATCAAGAAGAAGATCAAGACAATGTAAAAGTCTGATCAACACAACAGACAAAAGACAGTAACTCTTTTTTCTTACAATCTTTTGTTTCATTAAGAAATCTCAACCAAAGACACTGTAGTAACTAAACCTGTTGTTTTTTAATTCTTTGTGGAAGCAAAATCAAACTTTGGGTTTGATATAATCTCTTTTACAATCTTTTGTTTCATCAGACAAACAATTTATTACAGATTCTCTCAGATTCCATAAAAACATCAACCAAAGACAAGTAGTGTAACATTTCCTGAGTAAAGACGCAAACTTTGGAATTAGATATGATCTCTTTTACAATCTTTTGTATCATCAAGAAACCCAGACAAGTTTTGTTGTGACCAATTCATTACAGATTCTCTGAAATTCCATTAAAACATCAACGAGAATCCCAGATTTACCTCTTGTAATCAACATCTTGACCAAGCCCTTCAAGTGTTTACCAAATTTACCTCTCTCAACAACATCATTGACTAAGACCTTGTTCCTCTTCTTTTCTTCTCCCACAAGAAACACCATCAATCTTCTGACATCTTCTTGAGTCCGACCAAGACAATTCTTCGATTGACAAACGCTAACGAGCGCCGCAGCAAACCCCGAGGCCGCTTTATCGTGCACCGGAGGAGGAGTAACTCTAGAGGGTTTTGTGTGCGGAACCGGAAACGAGATTGCTCTGGAGAAATTCTGGTTTTTGTGGTGGGAATATGATGAAGAAGGTGAAGACGATGTTGGTTTTGAGAGATTGGTAGATGCAGCAGAAGTGGTGGCGTTTGCGCTGGATTTAAAGCGGCGGGAGATGGATCTCAACGGTGGCTGCGGCGGTGGAGGAAGAGAAGGGAGGTTCAAGGATGAAACGGATGCTGAGAGAGTATCCATGGAAGCCGATAAAATGAAAACTTACCTATTATCCATCCACCCGAAGATGATTGATTATAAATATTTCATTTTTTTCTTAATATTTTAAAGAAAATAATCAAATATTGTTGACAGAAAAAAATATCTTAGAATTCGTAACGTACATAATTAAAAAACACTACAAAAAAAAATACAAAATCTATAGTTTACAAAAAAAAATCTGAAGTAGATTTTGTATAACCAAAATTCTTTTTGTATTTTTAAATCTAATTTGCACTAATTTACTTCAAAGGTTTTATTCATTATTCCTACATTTTATAGCGCAAATATTAAATGGGCCTAATCTTTGTAACAAATGGGCCAATTTTGTATTTCAGAAACTAGAGGTATCTATAAGTAAGTATTAATTTATGAGGACGTAAGAAGTGAATCCAATGCTTTTCTTTCTGTTACTGATATACTTGAGTATAAGGCATGTTTCGTGTTGGCTAAAGTTGTCCCCTCTCATTATAGAGCTTACTTACACAACAGCTTTTCCATAGCTATTTTAACCAAACATATGGATACAATTCTACATATTCAACGACCAAATATACATAACGAGAGTTCAGAATAATGTTTAACAATCGACAATCTCGTCGGAGATTCCGGCTTGGAAACTTAGCTAGACTTGTCAAATTACGGCAAAGTCTAAACGCCTTTCTGGATGTTCCAGATCATCAATCATCATAATCCGAACTCTTTTCATTGGGCACACAAAGAGAATACATCCTGAAAATAAAAATTTCAATATGTAATCACCTTTGTGGTTAGTACTAGTAGAAACATGATGTTAATACTGCCAATGTATTATGGCTCTAACAGATGCTGTACCGTTGTAGTTACCACCTCTCTGCCAGCCACATTAGTCAGTTAACAAATGCATCTCCTAAACAAAACTTAACTTGTAAACCTTAAAGGTAAGCTCCCCGAGGAGAATTTGTAGTGGCATCATAAGGAGGAACGTTGCGTGCAACAATGGAACTGGTGCCTGTAATATCCATATCATCTGTCACGCTTCCCCTTGTCCTACATACAGACACATTATCATTGAAACATAGAATCATCTCAACTAATCTCAAGATAATCCGTACCGATCTTATAGATCCAAGTGAGATGCAAGCAAGGGATTAAACTAATGCTAAGAATATATCAGCTTAGATATACAACGTAAACAAGCTAGGAATAGAAAAGATGTGAAGCTTCTGTTTCTTGAGTTTTAAGCTTGGCTCCAATCTGATGATCTGCAAGTAAAACACACAATAACTCAGAACTTGCAATCTAGATTCTTCAACACAAACCAAATCCAACTCTCAAAAATGATTAGTTATCTACTCACAACCAGGTGGTTATCAATCTAGATTCTTCAACACAAACCAAATACTTCCCTAACATCCACCTGACAGCGGCATGAAGTTCTCGGACTGACTTGCCCTGCCTCATCATGCTACCCAACCTGATAACCGGCCTTCTTGTGTTTTCCCACCAATCTGAATCTATTACATTATAACCACGATTTGCTACTGGAAGATGTAGCACATTACAACCGTCTACAAAGCCCCACATTTGAGTATTTCCATCACCTTTGGATTTCCAAGAAAGAGAAATAACCAATTCTATTGTTCGTTCCATTTGCTTTATGCTCCCTTGTCAACGGGATCTTGAGGCAAAAGTAATGGAATTTCTTGCAAAGATGATCTAGAAGAAAACGAGTCATCTCTTCTAATCCTTTTAATACCGTCTTCGTCTTGCTTGCACTCTGGCTCCATGTAGTGGTGTATTACCATGTGATGTTGGCGCATAAGATGCAAAATTGAATCTTTATATGGTGCTCTATTTCATTGAAATAACCATTGGTTATCTTATGGTAATAACAAAATAAAAACAAACAGACAAGAAGCTAAAAAGTTCATGAAGAATAAAATACAACCTTAGTATAGTTCCAGGGTTGAACAACTTGCTTATAGCTTTGTCCTCCTACAAGTTAATCAAGTCTGGCCAAATATAGAGTTCTTGGCACAGCCACCAAACACAGATATATATACAAGACAAATTAGGTCAGTAGAATCTATATAAGAGGCTAAAGTAGAGTTGAGAGAGCAGCCATCCTCTTTTCTTTTCAGCTAATTAAGAAGAAGGCAAGGCCATATTAAGAAACCAACACTTGCCGGAGATACAAATTAATAAGTCGAAGAATGAAAGAACGAAAACATGATAATAAGAAATTATTAGATTAGGGTGTTCCCTAGCTCGATTTGCAGTGAGCTTGGAACATAAGAGCACACAAGTGGGTAACAGAATCGGTTTCTAGATTCGCCAAGATCCACTTGTTTCAAGTATCCATTCTTTCCAATGATGTAAGCAATGTTGCGAGATTTACCACTGTCTTTATCAAGAACCACAGCGACGTTCTTCTCCTCGTCAACAAAGAAACTCCCAGCGTATCTGTCAAACTGAAAACCAGTGAGTGGTTTCATATCAACAGCTAAGAACAAGCTGGTTCCCCACGACACTGCATTGGGCTCAATCTTAGTACTAATCCATATCTTGACGGTGTATCCAGGTAAACCGCGTTTCTGAAAGAGCACGGCAAGCTGCTCTTCTCTAACACTAGAAAGAGTGACAGTATCTCCAAACAAAGCGTGGAAAGGCAGAGGCAGACGCGGTCCAAATCTCTCGGTTGTAAAATCAAAAGAGAGTAGAAAACCAGGGAGATCTCTTATGACTGGAGGACCATCTAGGTCGATCTTCTCTTGAGCATACCAGTAAGTGTTGCCCTTTAGAGACAAGCCACTGTGATTAAACGATATAGTCCAGTCCAAATTGAGATCATCAAGAACCTTCCATGAAGAATTAGAGTAGATTTCAAACTCACAAATTCGGTGATTCACGTTGGGGTCGTGATTATTAACAAATCTCAAGACTTTCGAGTACTTATTTGTCTTCTTCTTCTCGTATCCAAGAGCGTACCTGTCCCATCTGTGATAAGAATTTCTGGGTTGGATCCGCTTTGTTTTTCCCAAATAAGGGTTCCAAACAACAAGTCCAGAATTGGTCATGCATAAGAATAAACCGTCGCAGTGAAAGATTTTAGATATGTCGATTTGATCTGCATCGAGATTACCTATACGCTCTACACATGGATAGAGGAGATTGACGCTCATCAAAGAAACCCTAGATTCTAGCATCATGACCACCTCAATCTGCTTCTTCTTATTTGCAATGTGCTTCTTTAAAAAGCTTTGACTTTTGGTTAACCTATTCCATTTTTTGCATGTCAATCGCACTTCTCTCAGAGATGTCACCGGAAGCCTAGAGAGCACCTCCTCGGCCATATCCCTTGGAAGATCGGACATCATCATCGGATCGAATCTGAGTTAGGTGACTCCTAACTTATCTGTAATGGAAAAAAATGGCTCCCAAATCTCTCTCGCTCTCCTCCTTCACGACTTATCTCCGATTTCTTCCGACCATTATTCTTCAATCTTCACCTTCCTGTCTTTTGTGATAAGTTGACTTTTTAACTTGGGCTTTAAAGTAATAAGCCCAAGGCCTATTAATGTCTCCCTACGTATTGTTAATAAAAATATTTGTAACAAATGGGCCAATTTTGTATATTTTAGAAATGAAAGGTACATGAAGACGTGATTTGTGAAAGGACATAAAAGGTGAATCCAATACTTTTCTTTCTATTACCAAATATACTTAGTCTCAAGAAGGTATGTTTCGTGTATGCTAAAGTTGTCTCCTCTCGTTATAGAGCTTAAGCTTATCAATATCTATTTTAACCAAACATGCATATGCATACAATTCTACATATTCAACGACCAAATAATAATTAATGAGAGTTACCAATAATGTTTAATAATCGGCAATCTGGCCGGAGATTCCGGCTCGGAAACTTAGCTAGACTTGTCCAACTACGGCAAAGCGTTAGCCACCAACCGCCACAACAGAGGCCGCCACGAAGGACTCTTCAAGAAACTTTGTCTCAATCGCCACCACGGTCACCGCCATTTCAGCCACAATTACCACCATTTCCATCTACCATACCTTCACCATCAACACTTTCACCGTCTTTTTCAGAATCTAGGGAACATCACGGCTCTCCACCACATGTACCACCGGAACCACCACTGTCGCTATTATCACCAAAATCAAAGGAAGAGCCTCAATCGCAGCCAATGCCACCACTGATGTCAAAACATGTCAAAACACATCGGAATCTATTAATCCAATCACCTCCTAAATCGCCGCCAGAATCCACTGAATCTCAGCAGCAATTTCTAGCATCGGTGCCTCCTCCACCACTAACACCAGAAGCAAAAACACCATTGTCCCCCTCGTCAACGCTAAAGTCTACCGAAGAATCTCAGTCCCAACCGTCTCCACCGCTTAAATCTATTGATGAAACTCGGTTCCGACCACCGCCTCCAACATTATCAGAATCTGGTAAACCTCAGCCGCTTTCACCACCACAAGAAGCCAAAACTCCACCGTCTCCGCCATTAACGTTAAACGCTAATGAAGAATTCCAATCCCAAACTTCTCCTCCGCTTTTGCCGTCTAAATCCATTGATGAAACTATTTCTCAAACAAAGCCAGTTTCGCCACCACCACCACCAGAAACCAAAACTCCACCGTCTTCACTGTCAACGATAAACACTAATGAAAATTCCCAATCACGACCGTTTTCACCGCTTCTGCCATCAAAATTCTTTAACCAGACTCAGTCCCGATCATCGCCACCGTCATTGTCAGAAACAAGTGAAACTCAACCACCTATACTACCACCACCAGAAGCCAAAATTCTGCCGTCTCCACCTTCAACGATAAACGCTACAGGAGAATCCCAGTCCCAACCACCTCCACCGTCTAAATCCATTGACGAAACTCGGCTCCGATCACCGTCTCTGTCGCAAGCATCATCATTATTAGATTCTGGTGAATCTCAACCGCCTTTACCACCACCAGAAGCTAAAGTTACATCGCCTCAGCCGTCGACGCAAAACGCAACGGAAAAATCCCAGCCCCAACCGTCTCCACCGTTTTTGCCGTCCAAATTCATTGATGAAACTCGGCTCCGATCACCGCTTCGGTCGGAGGCATCACCACCTTCATTGTTAAAAACTGCTAAATCTCAGCCACTTTTACCACCCTTAGAAGTCAAAACTCCACCGTCGCCAATGCTAAAAGCTACTCCACCTCCTCTGCCGTCAAAATCTATTGAAGAAACTCAATTCCGATCATTGTCTCCGTCATTATCAGAATATGGTGAAAAACCCTTATCATCGCCAGAAGCTAAAATTACACCGCCTCCGCCGTCAACGCTACAAGCAACTGAAGAATGGCAACACCAACCGCCACCACCGCCTTTACCATCTAAATCCATTGATGAAACACGGTCCCAATCACCTCCGATTTCACCATCACCACCATCAAAATCTACTCCAGAACCTAAAACAATACCGTCATCTCCTGAATCTGATAAACAAGCAAGATCTCAGACACACTCATCACCACCAGCATCGCCATTGTTGTCTCCGAAAGCTAGTGAAATCCACCAATATCAATCACCTATGCCACCACCATCTCTGACGGAACAGAGGTCACCATCGCCGATGAAATCACCGATTCCCGCACCGCCGCCGCTTTCATCCCCAATCAAATCACAAATCATACCGTCACCTAAACCATTGTTACCCCAAACTAAACTTAACCAAATCAAATCTCCTTCTCCAAAACTTACAAACAACGAATCTCACACTTCACCAGATCATAATCAGAATCCAGAGAAACCTGACGCCAACCTCATGAACAAGATTCCACCTAATAATGAAGTTCCGAAAACAGAGATCACCGGAAAAGTTAGCATTAAAAACAGGGGAAGAGCAATTTGGTCAGAGAAAAAAACAGAGCCAATGATTACGATGGTCATTAACAGTAACGTCCAAGGATTCAACACTTCTCTTTCCCTCGATTCATCTTCCATCGATCATGAACCAGGTGTCCACTTTACGATCGATTATGATCAAAGTTGTGATTTTTCTTCAACACTATTTTAAATAATTGCACATATTGTAATACAATCGTCTCTTCATATAATTAATTTATACTGTTCCCGGATAAAAATTACTTCACGATATCATCAAGAACTATCTATTGAATTACAAACAAAGAAAATTGGCGCTAAAAAAAATAAAGCACACAATGGACCTTAAATTCACTACTGGATTGATTTATGTAATTAAGAAGATAAGATTTGAGCCAGCCCATTGAATCTTGGTTTTGGGCTTTATTTTGATGGTAATAAGAGATTATTTATTTATTTTACTTCATGTTAACCTTTCGTTTAAAAACGTTAGATTAATTTCATTCGTATGAATGTCTACAGAATTCTAAGCAGAGTTATAAGAGAAATGAATCTTTATACACTTTTTTTCTTTAGTTGGTGAATGTCATATGTCGTAAATCACATTAAAACATTTAAACTGTGATATTATTTACAATTTTTAATGTCATTATAATCTATTTTACGAAAATTTCAGTTCAATGATATGATAGTATCCATGTCTAAACTTAATTACGTTAATGTATTTTGAGTTTACTTTAAGTTTAATGTAATGTTATTTTTTTGTTACGGGCCATTCGTGTAATCGTGTAAATGTAATCGGCTGTGTAGATTAGAAAAGGACCTAATTGGCTAATTGCCTTGTCCCATAAGACATAAAGAGCGGGTTTATAACTCATATATTGGGCCAGCTCAACATAATATACTCAAAAACATTATAAATTTTATTTGCATATAGTTACTTTTGACAAAAACAAAACTATACTAATTATAAACAAACAAACAAAAAATTATTCTTCCGTTAATGCACTGGTATATGTATTTTGTTATTGTGTATATATACAGCTGTTGGTCAAACTGATACAGTAACTATGTTAAACGAAAAGTCAAATCAGAATTCAAATTCCCATGATGTGCAATAACATAGTTCACTTTTAACCATGGAAAATACTAAGTTTCTAATGGGTTTGAATGAGAGTTATGAGCAGACTCGTCGTCATATTTTGATGTTAAAGCCAATCCCTACATTAGAGGAGGCTTTCAATATTGTGACACAAGATGAAAGACAAAAGTCAATCCGTCCTTCTTCTAAAGTTGACAATGTGGCTTTTCAGACAATTGCTTATGAAGCTCCTGTGATGGAGAATGGAGATATGGGATATATTGCAGCATATAACACTGCAAGACCAGCTCAGAAACCAATCTGTACTAATTGTGGAAAGACAGGGCATACAGTTCAAAAGTGCTTCAAGATACATGGTTATCCTCCGGGTTATAAGATTCCTACTACTTATAGGAATGCTCCTCAACAGTTTCAACCAAGGATGCAAATGTCACCTTATCAACCCCGGATGCAACAACCACTTGTAGCTCAAATGCAAATGACACAACCTCAGATGTTCATGCCTCAGTCTCAGTTACAGATGGTGCCTTATTCTAATGCAATGCAGTCTGCAAATGCAGCCTACTCTGAAGCTGGATCTTATATTCCTATGTTGCCACATGTTACTAGTGGGGGAAATAATCTCAATTTGCAGGATCTTACACAAGATCAGATACAAAATCTTATTTCACAATTCAATGCTCAAGTTAGGATTCCAGAGCCTGCAGCTACTTCTACTGGTGCTTCTAGTTCTACTGCGACTATCACAGAGCATGGTCTTATGGCTCAGGCTTCTACTTCTGGTACTATTCCCTTTCCTTCCACAAGTCTTAGGTATGAGAATAATAATCTCACTTTTCAAAATCTTACTCTTTCATCTATACAAAATTTTTTGCCAAGTGATGCTTGGATAATAGATAGTGGTGCTTCTAGTCATGTCTGTTCAGATTTAGCAATGTTTAGAGAATTGATACCTGTGACTGGTGTAACTGTAACTTTACCAAATGGTACTAGGGTTGCTATCACACACACAGGAACCATATGCATCACTACAACACTCATTTTATATAATGTCTTGCATGTACCTGATTTTAAATTCAACTTGATTAGTGTTAGTTGTCTTGCTAAAACTTTGCTTTGTTCTGCTCATTTCTTTCCTAATTGTTGTTATATCCAGGAACTTTCTCAGGGCTTGATGATTGGGAGGGGTAAACTCTACAACAACTTATATATTCTTGAAACACAGAATACATCCCTCTCACCATCATTACCTAAAGCTAGTTCTTTCTCTGGATCTGTTGTAGCTGATAGTCTCATTTGGCATCAAAGACTTGGTCATCCGTCTTCTCCTGCATTAAAGAAACTTGTCAGTATCATTCCTTCTTTAAAAACAGTGTCTCCTGATGTTTTACATTGTTCAGTGTGTCCATTAGCAAAACAGAAAAGATTAGCATTTGTTTCAAATAATAATCTAGCAAAGAATCCATTTGATCTTGTTCATTTAGACATATGGGGTCCTTTTAGTGTTGAGTCTGTAGAAGGTTTTCGTTATTTCTTAACTCTTGTTGATGATTGTACTCGGATTACATGGGTTTATATGCTGAGAAATAAAAGTGAAGTTGTTACTGTTTTTCCAGTGTTCATGAAACTCATTTCTACACAATATAATGCAAAAATTAAAGCCATTCGTTCTGATAATGCTCCTGAATTAGCTTTTACAAATATTATTAAAGAACATGGCATGGTTCATCAATTTTCTTGTTCTTATACTCCTCAACAGAATTCTGTTGTTGAGCGCAAGCATCAACATCTATTAAATGTTGCTAGATCATTGTTATTTCAGTCAAATGTACCCTTACCTTACTGGAGTGATTGTGTTCTTACAGCTGCTCATTTGATAAATAGATTACCTTCACCATTGTTGAAAGATAAATCTCCTTATGAGTTACTTTTAGAAAAACAACCTGATTATACTTTGCTAAAAACATTTGGTTGTCTTTGTTATACTTCTACTAATAATCATGAAAGAAACAAGTTTTCTCCAAGAGCCAAACCATGTGTTTTTCTTGGATATCCTTCTGGTTTTAAAGGATATAAAGTTTTGGATTTAGAATCTCATGCTGTTTTGATTTCTAGAAATGTGATTTTTCATGAAACTCAGTTTCCTTTCAAAACCAGTGAGTTACTTTCAAAATCAGTAGATATGTTTCCTAATAGCATTTTGCCTATGCCTGCTCCATTGCATTTTGTTGAAACATTTCCATTAGATGCTGCATTACCGGAAGATACATCATCATCATCTGCATCATCTGCACATTCAGCACCTAGTACTGATAATAATGAACAAAATGCAGCTACACCAGATACGGATATCTCTTCTGTACCTATTGCTAGGCCTAAACGGGTTACTAAAGCACCCGTATACTTATCTGAGTATCATTGTTCCCTTGTTCCTTCTATTTCCTTTTTACCACCTGATACTTCTTCCATATTAAATACCACTACACAAAATAATCCTATCCTATCTACTTCCTCTTCTTCTATACCACTTAAAAGAACTAGTCCACATCCTATTACCACTACTATTTCATATGATAAGCTTACTCCTCTTTTCAATTCATACATATGTGCTTATAATCTAGAGACTGAGCCTAAGACCTTTGCACAAGCTATGAAATCAGAAAAATGGACTAAAGCAGCAAATGAGGAGCTTCAGGCTCTTGAACTTAATAAGACTTGGGTTGTGGAATCTTTACCTGAGGGTAAGAATGTTGTGGGTTGTAAATGGGTATTTACAATCAAATATAACCCAGATGGAAGTGTGGAAAGGTATAAAGCAAGGTTAGTTGCTCAGGGTTTTACCCAACAAGAAGGTATTGACTATATGGATACTTTTTCACCTGTTGCAAAGCTTGCTAGTGTGAAGTTATTACTTGGACTTGCAGCTGCAAAAGGGTGGAGTTTGACACAGATGGATGTATCTAATGCATTCTTGCATGGTGAACTTGATGAGGAAATTTATATGCGCTTGCCTCAAGGATACACACCTCCAACAGATACTGTTTTGCCTTCTCAACCGGTATGTCGTCTCTTGAAATCTCTTTATGGCCTTAAACAAGCATCTAGACAATGGTATAAGAGGTTTTCTTCAGTTCTGTTGGGAGCAAACTATGTACAATCACCTGCGGATAATACTATGTTTGTGAGAATGACTTCAGATAGTTTTGTTGCTGTGCTAGTCTATGTTGATGACTTGATGATTGCCAGTAACAATGACAAGGCTGTTGAACAGTTAAAAGAGCTCTTGAGATCAGAGTTCAAAATTAAAGATTTAGGACCTGCTAGATTCTTTTTAGGATTGGAAATAGCTAGGTCTTCTGAAGGAATCTCACTGTGTCAAAGAAAGTATGCTCAGAATCTCTTGGAGGATGCAGGATTACTTGATTGTAAACCAAGTTCAGTACCAATGGATCCAACTCTGCATCTAACTAAAGAGATGGGTACTTTGTTACCAAATCCTACTATATACAGAGGTATTATTGGACGTCTTCTGTACTTATGCATCACCAGACCAGATATTACATATGCAGTGAACTCTCTGAGTCAGTTTCTTTCAGCACCAACGGATATTCATCTTCAAGCTGCATATAAAGTGTTACGATACATAAAGGCTAATCCTGGTCAAGGATTGATGTATCCTGCAGATAATGAATTGTGTTTGAATGGTTTTGCTGATGCTGACTGGGGAACGTGCAAAGATAGTAGAAGATCTGTGACAGGATTCTGTGTTTATCTTGGTAATTCACTGATTTCTTGGAAATCAAAGAAACAGAATGTGGTCAGTAGAAGCAGTACTGAAGCAGAGTACAGGAGTCTTGCACAGGCTACTTGTGAGCTTATTTGGTTGCAGCAATTATTGAAGGACTTACATATCTCAGTTACTTGTCCTGCAAAGTTGTTCTGCGACAACAAATCGGCTTTTCATTTGGCAATGAATCCAGTGTTCCATGAACGTACCAAACATATAGAGATCGATTGTCATACAGTGAGGGATCAAATTAAAGCTGGAAAACTGAAGACATTACATGTTCCTACTGGCAATCAGCTTGCAGATATTCTAACCAAGCCTCTTCATCCAGGACCATTCCATGGTTTGATCAAGAAAATGTCTCTGTCAAGTCTATATCTTCC